CTGAACAATAAAAACGCGCTAAAAAGTTGTTAAAAGTTTACTAAAAAGGTGCACAGAGCAGCCCTGCAGAACGGTGCAGTTCACTCTCACACACACCTGTCATAATAATATAATAATAATAATACATCAGTTTTATATAGCGCTTTTCAAGAACTCAAAAACGCTTCACAAATTCTAATAACCATAACCAAATATTAAATACATCCCTCATATTGATAGAGTAAAGCAGAATTTGAGGTAAGAAACCTGATGTGGGCTAATAAACTCTCATACTAAATGTATCGAACAGGATCATATCATGTCAAACCGAATCCCATTGCAAATCAGTCATGTCGTTATTATATTATCTTTGAATCGCATCGTATCGTGAATAGGAACGAATCGTATTGCATCGTATCGACAGGGACTTCAGTGTATCGTTAATGTATCGAATCGCTGGTAGTGTATCGAGATGTGTATTGAATCGGCCTCAGTGGTGGAGATATTAGGTATGTAGATATACATCCCTAATGCAGACCAGTCTTCACCTTAATCAAACCCAGCTCCCCTTTCCTGCATCGTCACTTTAGTGCCACTCGATAGAACTGTGTGAACTTATTACTGCTGCTGTGTCACTTTCCCTCCCTCTGAGGAATTCACTGCAGTCTGTGAAAACCATTTAATCCTGGAGTCCTTTAAACGCCTCGTGACGTGTTCGAGGACCTGGCCTCAGTTCTGGTGTGAAAGTGTGACTAATGCATGTGTGACTGGTCCCAGGACTTAACGCTCTGGTTTCAGGGAGCACAGGTGGACCGCAGCCAAAACACAGTCCAAACTCCAGTGAATTTGCTGAAATATAACACTAAAAAAGTCTTAATCGTTTTAAATTGACTTCTGTGACTCAGGAAAACTGTGGCTGAGATCATAGACTGTACATTAGGAAGAAGCTGATTTAGAGCTAGCTCGAACACGCTATTTGAGCTTGAATGTGCGGCCAAATGTGGTGTAATTTTGTGGTTGGCAACGACCAAGTTACCAAGAGCCAATCAGGAGTGGTGCTGGTCTGATTCCATTCACACTACTCAGCACTAAAGCCAAATTCGGGGACAGAAGGCTCCTGATTGGTCAAGTTTTAGGGCTCATACCTTGTTTTACCAAGAAAATATCGCAACATAAAAATGGGATTAAAGAGATTGCTAAACCATAGACTTTTAAACCCCAAAATGGTGTGTGTAACACAAACGTCAAAGAGCTATAGAAGTTTAAAAAAAAAATGTGTTTGTTTAATGGAATAATTTTGTTTTGCATATAATTGACTGTTGCTGCTGTACTGTTATTTTTGAATCTGTTTTTGAGGACCCCCTCGGAAACGAGATGTTTCATCTCAAGGGGTTATTCCTCTTAATAAAATGTTAAATAATAAAAAATAATTTACAATGGAAGTCAATAGGACCCAAACTTCGTCCTTGAGGATTTCCCTGTTGGGCTTCATTTAGCTAGCAGGTTAGCGTTGCCCATCTATATACACTCTATGGTTTTAGAGTAGACAGTGCAACAAAATGTATTTGTTTGTACTAATTTTCAACGTATTCATATTAGCATGTACACATTCTGCTATTTACATTCATTAAAAAACATGAGAGATAAAAGGCAAAGTTTAATTGTATAGCACAATGCAACTCAGTGCTTTACAAAACAAGATAAAAATCAATCTAAAAAATTATGAAAATCATAAATAATCACATTACATTAAAAAGAGTGAAGATAAAATCCTTCAGTTGTATGCACAGCTGAACAGAACTGGATTTGAACCTTGTCAGAGAAGAATCTGTCTCACATTTTAGCCCCAAAAATCTGAAATGCTGCTTCCCTGTATTTAGTCCTGACTCTGAGCACCAGCCGTAGCCAGTCCCTGTGCTCCTCCTTGGTTCATATGGCACTAACATGTCACAGATGTACTTTGGTGCGTGGCCATGGAGCTTCTTTAAAGTCCATTCTCTGAACCATCAATCTGTGTATTGCAATTGTTTAAGTTTCTTGAGTTTTTATAAATCCAAGTCCATATAATGCACTAATATTAAACTTTTAATTTATGTATTCACCTATAGAAGTATATTTGATTGCCACGCACACACTCGACACACACGTGGCTCAGAGGAGGGAGCTGAGGATCCGCCCCGAGCTCCGTCCTGACTTCCAGCCGGTTTAACAGGCCCCACTGCCTCTGAAGTGCCTGTGCTCAGTCTGTCGTCGTGGGCAGTGGAGGCTTCCCAGACACCGCTCCTAATGATGGTTACAGTAAAGACCTAATGAGAAAGCCACAAGACGCGTAAAACACAGCCATGTTTAGCTGCTACTGCGTTCTGAAACACGCCACTTTGAGCTCACTCCTCTTTGACTATTTCCAGGTGTGAATTTAAAGTAAGCACTATCAATTGAAATTTTAGTTTGTAGTTTAAGAGTGCACCAGTGTTTCTCCATCAGGGGTGGGAGACTACTTTGGGTACATAAGCAGTTGCCAGTGGATTCAAATAGATTCAATTTGTATAAAAGCTGTTAGAAGATATCATTGACTGAGATGCAGGACATCTGGATATGCTGCCAGAGGGAAGAAGCTGGAACATGGCTTTTCCAGGGGCCAAAAGCATCTTTGATTATTTTAAGAACTCTATTGAAGATGGATTGAATTGAAGAATCTCCAGAACAGACGGCTCACAGTCCTCTTTCAGAGCGGAGCACCTTGTTTAGGAAAGGAACGTTTATTTGTATAGCACAGTTCATATAAGATCAAATGTACAGTATCAGAAGGCATTTGCTCAAAGAAGTACGTTTTTGCCTCTCTGGTTTGATGCTAATCTGCATTTGGTTTTATTGTTCTGACTTTGTAATGACAATCTATTTGAATCTAATATAATTTAAACTACTTTTGGGTTCATAACTTAGAACATACCACAGTAGCACATATTAAGTTACAAGCCTTCAGCCTTGAGTATTGACTCCTGATTGATTTTAAAAAGCAACAGACCAGTTTGGAACGGCCTCAGAAGTATGAATAGGGGCACATCCAACTGCACTTTGCCCAAATCAGTATTCATTTTATGAGAACTTGGAAGAGTTCATGTTAGACTTTCAACTGGTGCCATTTCCTTTTAGCATTAATATGTTCATATTTCACTAATGCTTGATATTATTTGATTAAGAGATGAAGAAAATGGCACTTTACAATGACCCAAATTCTTTTAATGCTAATAGGGTTCAACAGAAGAGTATTTGAGAGTCCAGAGTCCAGTGCAGCCCCCTGTTTCTGACCTGGATTCTTGGAGGTGAGAGAGTTGACAGGTTTGTGTGGTAACGACATGGGACAGTTTATATAACAGGTCCGACAGCACAATCATTCACTCACGGCTTTATTACAGAGGCCCATTCACGGACCATTGTAATCCTGTGTTTACCCAATGATCCAACAACACGCAATACTTTAATCTGTGACTACTTGTTTGTACCTGCTCAAAGGTATAGGTTAAGTAGAGGTGGCCGTTCTGATTTTCAATACATTATTTGTATAGACAGACTGCTTTAAGACCAATGTTTAGGCCGGTGTGTGATGCTACTCTTGACACACGCTTTTTAAATTTGCACACAGTTGTTTTTATAATTCTACCCCACAGTCATTGCATTTGTATGGGTACTATTGCATGGCACACTAGGCTAACAATGCTATAGCTTTACTTGCCTATGAAAAAAGTTTTGTGTCTTCTAGTAAAGAGTGAATCGGATGAAATTATGCCACAAAGATACCACAATATTGTTGTTACTGAGATGAAAAAGTTTTGTGTATGTATATATATTATATACTATACATATACAGTACATATACATTTCTGTTATTAATGAGATTCTCAATTTGTAAGCACTTTTTTCTATCCCTTTGTGTGAATGAATTCTGCTGTCATGATGGTAAAATGAAATGAACCCAAAAGGCAGGACTACAAAAATAACTATTTAATCAAAGCAAATACAGACTTGGAATTGTAATGACAGAACAGGGAGTGAAGGAATACACAGGGTTTAATTACACAAGACAAACAAAACACAGGTGATATACATGAGGACAGCAGGAAAAAGAACTAGGAAAGATACAGAGGCTGACAAATTACAAAACAAAACAGGAAATAACCCTAAACCATGACAACTGTATTTGAAATTATAGTTGAAATTCAGTATTGAGTGATTCACGTCTGTTCAGTTAGAGCTCTGTGAAATTGCTTAGTTTTCTCTTAGTTGATAAACATAATTTTGGTGAATCACAAACATTTTATGAACATGCAACTCCCTAAAGTTACAATTGTATGTAATTTTTGCTATAGCTTGCCTTCAACAGAGGTAGAGGGAGGTGTCAAACCACAAAACATACTGATGCTCTCTGCGTTGTTCCTGTCCAACAACCACAAGCTCCGTTTAAATATGCTTGTCGCTTTACATGAATAATCGTGGTGCGTTTTGCGAATTAAACCACTTTTTGACTTTCAAACTAATGGCCTGATCACTCTCCTTTTAGTTCTCAACATCTTTTCTTCTTCAATTACAGCAATACCAACAGTAAAAGAGATTAAACCATTGAACGTATAATAAGGACAAAACTGACCAGGGACCAATGTCACTGTCCGTACAGTGCTTTGGTAAGCCTAGGCTGTTTTTGTGTTCTACGACTAAAGATTTGATCTGATTCATTGGTCAGTTGTTTTGGCTCATAGCTGGTTTTGAAAATATACCCTGACACTATAAACACCAATATCACAGAGAATATTAAGCCACGGAATTTCAAAGCCCAAAATGGTGAGTGTGACATAAATGGTCACTGAGCTAGAGGAGTTTACTTTTTCAATGTAAGTCAACAGAAGCCAGAGCGAGTTGCAGCTAAACTTTATCCATGAGAATTTCCCTGTTGGGTTTCATTGAGCTAGCAGGTCAGCATTGTCCGTTTATAGTCTATGGTTCCAATACGTATCCTTTCGTTTCAGTCGGGAGAAGTTGTGGATCTGTATGGAGTACTGTGGGGGAGGATCTCTACAAGACATTTATCATGGTAAGTATGTGATTATGTAGCTTTATTATCTTAAGTATTCATTATAATCACCAGTAAAGGCCAAAGCCATATTTATCTTCCTGCTTTTATCTCAACAAAGGAGATTCTAGTTTTATTGACTTTATTCAATCCCTACAATCCTCATTGTAATTTAGTGTTTTTGGATTTGTCTGTTTCCCCATGAGCAAATTCTGTGTATGGAATAAGTGGAAATGGTGTACTGAAAAAAAAAAATCGATGATGATGATGATGATGATGATGCCTTTAATTTGTAATGCACTTTACATACAAATCTCAAAGTGCTACAGCACAACAACAATAAAAGCACACATTAAAGTTAAAACGGTGTTAAAACAATGTTAAGAAGGAAACAGAAAAGTTTTAGATAAATCAAGCTTATTTTAAGGCTGACAATTTGCAAAAAATAAAGAAAATACATTTAACTTAATTTAAGCAATTTTTGAGTTGTTTTTTGCAGTGCTGCTCCTCATTCCAAAGTTTTATCATTTCAAATGTAGACTTTTGTCTTTGGAACAGCTTCTTATGTTGCCTATTGAATGCTTTAGTACTGATTTGATTGGAAAGCTCTTTGCCTGAAATATGTGCTGTGTACACGAGGACACTGCAACAGTAAAACGTTAGAGTTGGGTATCGGATTGGCCTTTTGTTTATATGAAGACGGTGTTTCAAGGGCGTGAAAATGCAAGCGATGAGAAACAGCCTCTAGAATGGAACAGAACAGATACGCTGCGCGGCATGGGGGTGTTTCACAGCAGTGTGAAGAAAAAGGTGTAAATTCTCTGCCTGTTATGACCTCACAACTTCTCCGCACAAGCATTTGGACATGTGCAGTAGCCGAGAACAAACGTAAATAAAAATGCAAAGAATGTGTTTTGAGCGCTACACAGATCTACCCCTTCGTCCGTCCAAACGAAACCATGCAAAGCTGTAGTTTTTCAGTTTCAGTCATCGCTATCCTCAGACCCTCTTGAATCCAGTCGACGATGTTGTTTTTGTTTGTTGTTTGTTGTTTACTGTGGCACAGAATTCCGTCCATGGAGCTGGTGAGACGGTAAACATTTGTCATTCACACTTCAGCTCTGTCGCATGATGTCACATTTCATGTTAAAGCTCAGACAAACTTTAACTCTAGAACTCCCAGAATCCAAAGACAACTAGAACTTGAGCTGTCATTTGGACTGCTCCCATTCAAACCAATGGTATTCTGAAAACTTGGGAATAAAAGTAGAAGATCTATAAGGTTTTTTTTACTGAAACACAGCAAAAAAAGGTTTGTTGAAAAGTAAACAGTGTGTTGCCGTGGTAGCTAGCACTCTCTGGTTGGAGTTAAAGTCATAATTTGTCAAATTTCCAAAATAAAAGAATATTTTATTACAACAATGACATAGAAACAAACTAATATATGGCCAGCCATTGGACTGGTTTGAATTCCTGTGTCTGCGTAGGTTTCCTCCTGGTGCTCCGGTTAGCCCTACTACCAAAAACATGTACAATAGCTCTCCTCCCTCTCTGGTTCCAAGATACCCCTGAAAAAGAGATTCTGAAATCTCAGTGGGACATTTTGACATTTTCACACCCGCACTTTAAATGCTCAAACTATAAAAACAATTGATCTGATTAATCACACATATAGTTTTTGGGTTGTTTATAATTATTATTCAATTCAAACATTACTATCAAAAGTCAGTTTATACAATTTTCAAACGTATCGTCTTCAACAATTACTTATCATAATACTGTACATGATTAAACTGATAAAGGAGTGGGAGGAAGAAAAAACAAATGATTATTACATATTGATTAAAAATTGTTGTGTTGGCAGTGACTGGACCTCTGTCAGAGCTTCAAATCGCGTATGTTTCTCGGGAGACGATACAGGTATGCACAGCTGAAGGCCAAAACTCATACTTTTATTCAAATTCTCATTGATAAATTGCTACCTGTGATTCTAATCCTCTGTCCTCTGCAGGGTTTGGGATATCTGCACACTAAAGGAAAGATGCATCGAGACATTAAGGTACTACAACCTTTTTTTACACAATCAATATTTGTATCGTTTCTATGTTTTTAGAATGTGAGGTTCTTTCCTAACCCTTTTAATGGTTTCCTTAACCATTTGGTGGATCACGGTTAAGTCACTATATCTACTTGAAGTTCGGAACTGAAATATCTACCTCATTGTTGCATCTCTATCACTTTTTAGGCCCTTTCACCATTAAGCTGTGTCTCAACCATTTGGTAGTCTCATAATTAAAACAAATATTCAAACACATTATTTTTGTTATCAGTCCCAAATGTAGCATAGCGTAGCACATTGTATCGCAACACAGCATGTTGTAGCATTGCGTAGACTATTGTCATTCCTTGCTTTAGTCGGTGTTCTAATTATTTTCAAAAGAGGTTTATTATCGCAGAGTTTTGACTTTAGTGCAAATAGCCTGTCCACCGGTGCACAGGGAGAAATCTGGTGGTCATTTGGCATCCGACCATGTGTGTGACCTTCTGACCTTTTCAGGAAGTGACGCTGGAATTCGCTACACACAGACTGCGTTTGTGAGACCGAAGAGGGCTCAGCTTTTGACTTTTTTTGAGCTTGAAAAGAAAGAAATTAGCAAATATCCATGTGCAGGAATGGAACTGATGCTCTTTCTCAACAGCTTTGATACATTAGCTCAGTCTGTTACAGTAAAAACCACGTCCAATTGGATGAATCACTGCATGAAAAGTCTTAATCATGATGTTAAATCACTCCACACCCTCTCTACTAGGCTTGTTCCCGAACACACACAAGAGGAATGAGAGTTGTTTTGACTGATGTTTGCTGTGCACTTTCTCACAGTAGAACTAACGGTTCATCAATGGTACTTAGGATGATATTACATGAATAGTAGTAATGTTTAGTAGTAATCTTTATTTATATACCGCCTTTTCACTGCACATCGGAGTCTCAAAGCGGTTTACAATTGTGATTTTTGGGAGTGGGGGTGCCAGTACAGGAGGCACATGCCAGACCTATTGTACATATTTTTAGTGGTAGGGGAAACCGGAGCACCCGGAGGAAACCTACGCAGACACGGGGAGAACATGCAAACTCCACTCAGAAAGGCCCTGGTCCAACCGGGATTCGAACCCAGGACCTTCTTGCTGAGAGGCGAGAGTGCTATCCACTCAGCCACCGTGCCGAATAATACACACAAAATATGAATTTACACACTTAAACATACACACCACTTTGACCTGCTGGCAAACAACCAGGTGGACTCTAACTTGCACAGTAAATCTTATTCATCTTTACTCCGCTTAAATTTTTCCAGATCCGTCTTCCATCAATTGTAAACTATCGGAACCGGAAGTAGCAATCTCAAAAACAAACCCAAATAAACATTGAAAATAATAATAATAATAAACATTTGAAAAGATTACTCTACAGAAGTTGTTCTCGCTCTTCTAGCTTAACAAATACTATTCAGCTAACCAGGTATCAAATACAAAAATGCACAAAATTAAAATGAATACAAAAAAAGTCTTTAATTTCTACGCAAAAGCACACTAGCGCCGCCTTGTGACGGAACGCAAAACTGTCTGTGTCAACAGTTACGCTACTACAATGTGCGTTAAAACAGGACTGAAACGGGACTGAGCCTGAGCTATAGCTGCATAACGTTCTTCATCCTCCCCAATATATATCCATGTTTTGGTAAAGAATACTGTATTAAAGCTGGGGTACCTAACTTTCAAACCACAAAACTGGAACTACGTATTCACAGCCTTGTTTTGGTTCCATCTCTAGTTTTACACAAAATAAATGAATTACAGAAAATCTCCAACTTAAAATCTCCATAATGAAGAAGCAAGAATTCAAGAATTAAAATCTCTGACTTGCACCGAGCCAAAGCAATTTCCAAGTCTGTGACCTCCTGTTACTTACGTGGCAATAAAAATGACTCTGATTCTGATTTAGCCTAATGAGAAGTATTGCATAGATAGATACTTTATTCATCCCTGAAGGAGAAAATCAGGTGTCCAGTAGCAGCAGATACACATCCACACATACATCCACACACACAAAACCAAAAAATTGATTATTCTAAAAGTAGCTAACAAAAGTATTATAATACAGCAGCACTTTAGGTCACAGCAGCAGAGGTGGTGGAGCTGCTTAGTACAGCCCATTTTTTCTGCTCTCGTCCAAAGTAAAATGCTCACTGCACTACACACTACACTGTACTATAAAAAAGTCTATCTTTAGCATAATAAAGAAGCGAGATTTAATATAATCTTACTTTAAAGACAATCATTTATGTGAACAAATAAGTACAATGTTACTTATCTCTTGCTTATGTTTTTTTTTTATAATGGGATAGAAAACAAATCAAATCAATTTCTTTTCATTTCACACAGGTCATATAATCCAGGCCATGCCAAGAACAAAGCCTGTTATTATCCATGTTTACCCCTGTTCAGCTGATTGTGATGAGAGATTTGGGTGTCCCCCTTGTGGTTATTGAGGTATTATACCTGCTTGTGAAAGCTGTGATGGGAGACCTCTGGGAAGACCAGCTATAAATTGCCAAACTGTAGCTGTGTCCTTAGGCAAGGCACCTCACCCCCATTAGAATGAGTCTGGGGTTTATTGGTGAATGGTTGATGGTGGTCAGATGGGCGGCTGATGTTTAGAGATAAATGCCTCAAAAACATCTTTTTAAATGTGGTCCTCTTAAAAAAAAAAAAATCTTTGTTTCTTAAGATAATTCAAACAACAAAAATCCCAGAAAATGCTCTCATGGTACTATTTGTGTGCTATAAGAGGGATATTGATATTTCTCAGACTGTAGACTGTCTGTCTATCAAAAAAGGTATTTAGTCAGCCACCAGTTGTGAAACTGGTTCTCCCACTTAAAGAGATAAGAGATGGCTGTCATTTTCAACATAGCTATACCTCCTTATGCAAGACACCTCACCTCCATTATAATGAGTCTGGGGTTTGTGGGTGAATGGTTGATGGTGGTCAGAGGGGTGGATGGCACATACTGGTTGCCTCGCTTCTGTCAGTGTGCCCCAGGGCTGTTGTGACTGTAGTCTTAGTTTATCACCACTGTGTATGGAGTGAATGAATAATGACATGTGAAGCAATTTTGAGTGTCCAAAAAAGTGCTATACAAAAGCAATGTATTATTATTAGCTGCATGCTAACGCTATCATCCCCTGGAGATAGCATTAGCATGTGGCTCAGTGACTCCTGCTTCAGTATTTTGGGGTTATCACAGACGGTCAGGGCTGAACCTATTATCTGTTCAAACCTCTACTTCCTGTTTCCTCTGCTCTCACCACAGGATCACTGTAAAAATACATGTGATGAGCCGTCATGTAATCTGTGCTTTTATTATGATATTGTGCTTTGTGCTAATTGTAGAATGATTGTTTTGCCTGCAGGGAGCTAACATACTTTTGACAGACAACGGGGATGTCAAGTTGGGTAAGTTACATCATTTACTATCATATACTCTGGATCATATACTGCTGTAATAATTGGGCTTTGATTCAAATCTATGAAAGAAGCTGAATGTTGTATTGTTTTTTCAGCTGACTTTGGAGTTGCTGCTAAAATCACAGCCACCATTGCCAAAAGAAAGTCCTTTATTGGAACGCCGTACTGGTGAGTACTGGTACTTTTATTTTGTTTTTAAAGCCATTGTTTCAGTAAATGTGGGCTTCTTCTTTTTGTCATATATGTCTTTATTGACTTTTTGTCATTTAAACAACATAACAAATATATGAACTGGTAAAAATAATTGAAAACTCGGACATAGTATGGATATTGCATTTTTATGAGAACAGAATCTTGTTTCTATCAACATTTTACTGGATTCAATTTGGGCATTATGATGTTTAGAGATATGTCTTAAAAACATATTTTAAATGTGGGCCTCTTAACATTTCTTTTTCTTTACATTTCTTCAGATAATATAAACAACAAAAATCCCTTACGGTACTGTTTGTGTGCTATTACAGGGATATGGAAAATGGATATTTAAGTTCAGACTGTAAACTGTCACTGTTGTGAAACTGGTTTTCCCACTTAAAGAGATGGCTGTCATTTTCAACATAGCTATACCTCAACTATGAAAGATAAAATGAGAATTTATTTGTCTGACTGCCAGGCATTTTCAGATTTGAGAAGTGCATTCTGCCAGCAATTTCAGGTGATTTGACCCAACTTTGAAGTGCCACAGAATATTCATTTTTTAGACGATGTAAACACCAAGGGCACCAAATTAAAGATTCACCTCTCTGCTTTACTCTGAAAAAAACAGTTTGTTTCTACCTCTTACCGTTCTTGCGTTATTCGCCATAGAACAAAGCATACTTTCACCCATAACACCTGGTCCGAGCAAGAAAACAGAGAAAACGAGCTGTATGTAAACAGGAACATATCAAGCAGAAAAGAGACTTTTAGATGCATTTTTGCTGCTTTAGTGACAACTCAAAACATCTTCACACTTGTTCCATTACAAAAATTATAAAAACATGACTCTGACATAATACTTTTGATGGCAAATTGTTGGCAATTTATTCACAGATAGAAAATTTAACTTTCTTCTATACCATCAACCAAAACGTCAAACAACAACACAAAGATCAATAAAACTATAGATGTATAAAATAGAATGAAGCATGTGAATTTGAGTGTGTGTGTGTGTGTGACTGTCAGTGTGCGAGTGAGTGTCTGTGTGAGTGAGTGTCTGTGTGTGTGAATGTCAGTGTGTGTGAATGTCAGTGTGCGAGTGAGTGTCTGTGTGCGTGAGTGAGTGAGTGAGTGCGTGTGAGTGTTTGTGAGTGTGTCCGATAAATCATGATCAGGTTTGCTGAACGAATCCGAGGCATCAGTAACAACAGCAGCTGATACGCTGCGAGAGGCGGAAGGTGTGTCTCTGCTCTTGCTCCGCGCAAATGTAGCTGCAGAGACGGACCTCCACCGGGGTCTCCACTCTCTCCCCTCTCGACCTCACTCACTGATCCGCGAGTCAATCTCTGAAGCAGTGTCAGCTGCTTATAACTATTCTTTTTCGCCATCACTCTTGCTATACTATCGCTAAACTAGATCGCTGATCCGTCTCAATGCTACAGCAGCACGCTCTCTCACACTCCCACACTCCTCCTCCTTCTCTCCACTGACTTATGACCTCTCCTGTGGTGCAATACTGCATCCTACTGGTGGTGATTTATCATTACAGGTACATTTGCACTATATATCAGTATTGTGGGTCATTAACAAGGTGCGCCAGACATTACTGCAGCCTCCCGTGTAATAACACGAAAAACTCGTCAAACTCGTCATGGGCAGTGAGCGTTACTATACAACATGACGAGTTTTGTCGTCATGGGCAGTGAATGAGTTAATGTTGGTGGAAAATTGTTAACATGTTAGGTTCTGTCGCGGGTTCTACTGCGTCACTACGCGGGAGCGTGAGGGGGAGAGCTCTTCCTGGTGTGAGATATGGCGGTTGAATAAAAAATTGCTCTCTGCAACAAGAACCTTGTCTGTTGGAATTTACATGGTAGCAGAGGATGGTTTCCAACTATAGAGTACCGCCGAAGTTTGACGAAGCTCGGCCGTATGAGTGTTGGAAAAATGAAGTTAGTATTTGGATACTTGTTACGGAGCTGGACAAGACAAAACAAGCGCTGGCAGTGGCGCTTGGGCTCGAAGGGAGAGCCAGAGAAACGGCGCTGGAAATATCCGCGGTGGATTTAAACAAAGATGACGGTATGGAGACGTTACTTGCAAAACTGGATGCGGTGTTTTTGAGAGAGGAAAAGGACCGCGCGTACGAAGCGTACTCTCATTTTGACTCCATCACTAAAGGCAGTGCTTTGTCCATGGCGGACTACATCATTGACTTTGAGCAGCGGTATAACCGCATGAAAAAGTACAACATGACCCTTCCTGACGCTGTACTGGCTTTCAAGCTCCTGGACACGGCATGTCTGGAGGAGAAAAGCAGACAGCTGGCATTGACTGCGTGTACGGAGCTGACTTTTGCATCAATGAAGTCCGCATTAAAACGCATATTCGGAGGAAAAACAGCATGTGGGACAAACGCCATCGAGGAGATTCAAGATGGTGCATTTTTCACGGAGCAACGGCCCAATGTGAAATTCAAACGTAGCAATGGCTCGTCCCAGAGCGGATATCAGCGGCAGCAGCAAGGAACGAATCCACTTGACAAGTACGGTAAGCGGACGAGATGCGCTGTGTGTCAGAGTACCTATCATTGGGCTAAAGACTGTCCCCATCGCAGAAATGACGTTAAGTTAATGGAAGATGAAAGTGTTGAAGAATGTAACATCACTCTGTTCACTAAAGCAGCTATGACAGAGTCAGAAATATTCCTAACTGAGTCTTTAGGATCTGCTATTATTGACACTGCTTGTACACGTACCGTTTGTGGTCAGAAGTGGCTGGACAGTTATGCTAAGGGTCTTAACAAACGCCAAATCAACAAACTGCTAAAAACAGAACATCCTAGCAGCCGTCCGTTCAGATTTGGAGATGGTCAAGTTGTGTACTCTAGCAGAAGAGTGAAACTTCCTGCAAAGATTGGACAGACAAAGTGCCACATTGAAACTGAAGTTGTCCCAGCTGATATTCCCCTGTTGTTGAGCAAAACGTCCCTGAAAAGAGCAGGAACTATTTTAGACATGGAGAATGACAGAGTTGTCATGTTTAAGCAGACTGTGCCTCTGGAGCTTACAAGTTCAGGACACTATTGCGTGGACATTAGAGATGAACATGCTGAAGTGAGCTGTAATGAAAGTGAAGTCCTAGTTGTCACTGGAGAAATGTCCACTAAAGAAAAGCGTAAAGTTCTTCTAAAACTTCACAAGCAGTTTGGCCACGCATCTGCAGAAAGACTTCAGAAGCTCATTCAAAGCTCCGGAAACACTGATCAAGACTGCCCCATCATTCTGCAGGAGATCATTCGTGACTGTGAGATCTGCCAAAGATACAGCAGGTCCAAGCCAAAGCCTGCTGTTGGTCTGCCATTAGCTTCACAGTACAATGAGACAGTGGCTATGGATCTTCATGAGCTGGAGCCTGGCGTATGGTACCTCCACATCATCGATCATTTTACACGTTTCAGCGCTGGAAACATTGTGAGAACCAAGAAACCTTCGGAGATAGTCAACTCGTTCATTCACTCGTGGATAAGTGTCCATGGCGCACCAAAACGGATCTACACAGACAACGGCGGGGAGTTTAACAATGCAGAGATACGAGACATGGCAGAGAACTTCAATATTGAGACAACAGCAGGATACAGTCCCTAGAGCAACGGACTGTTGGAGAGACACAACATGACACTAACTGAAATCCTTCTAAAGGTGAAAAGGGAAAATGTGTGTGGGTGGCAAACGGCTTTAGATTGGGCTCTTATGGCCAAAAACAGTATGCTCAATGTGCATGGTTACAGCCCACACCAACTTGTGTTTGGTCAAAATCCCAATCTTCCTTCTGTTTTGATTGATAAACTACCCGCTCTAGAAGGTACTACTGTGAGCACCAGAGTAGGGCAGCACATAGCGGCATTGCATGCCTCTAGAAAAGCTTTCACAGAGGTTGAATGTTCAGAACGAATTAGGAGGGCAATCAGAAAGCAGCTTAGGCCTACAGATGAAAAATATGAGACCGGAGACAGAGTGTACTACAAAAGAGCTGACAGTACAGAATGGAAAGGCCCAGGTGTAGTTATTGGGCAGGATGGGTCTGTAGTATTTATCAGACATGGGGGAATCCTAGTACGTGTGCATCAATCTAGGTTGAGTAAGGTAAATACACCTGATGCAGATACAATAGAAAATGCTACCGAAAACATTACAGAAAATAAAAAAATAGTACATACTGGTGTGTCAGAAGCACAAAGTATACATGGAGTAGATCAAATTGTTGATTATAGTGAGAATGATGTAGATGAGAACCCTACAGAAACCAATGTAACTCCTCCTGATGCAGAAAGTAATGGAACTGCTGATTTAAAACTGAAAACTGGCCAAACAGTCACATTTACAGACCGAGAGGGTATTGAGCACACTGGCAAAGTTTTAGGGAGAGCAGGAAAATCAAAAGGGCAATACAAAGACTGGTACAATGTACAATATCTTGAGCCTGATGGTAGTGAGGGACAAAAACTAGCATTAGATATGTCAGATGTTGATAACCTTCACATCAAGCCGGAAAATGCAGAGGCTGATGTTCTTATTGTCAAAGATATCTCTTTTGATAGTGCCAAACAGCTAGAGATAGAGAATTGGCAAAACAATGATGTTTTTGAGAAGGTAGCAGACAAAGGTCAAAAATGTGTGTCTACTAGATGGGTCTGTACACTCAAAGAAACACAGAGTGGTATTCTCCCTAAAGCGCGGCTTGTAGCAAGGGGTTTTGAAGAGGTAAATAATAGTAGTTTACAGAAAGATTCCCCAACATGTGCATCAGAGTCTCTCAGAATGACATTAGCGGTTGCCAGTCAAAATAGGTGGAAAATTCACTCTATGGATATTAAGTCTGCCTTTTTACAGGGAATGGAACTCTCGAGAGATGTTTACATTCGGCCCCCACCTGAGGCTGAAGGAGACAATGTATTGTGGAAACTAAAGAAATGTGTATATGGACTTGCAGACGCTTCTCTTTACTGGTACAACAAGGTCAAAGAACTGATGCTGAACACAGGTGGAAAAATGTCTCAGGTGGATCCAGCTGTGTTTTTCTGGATGAATGAAAATTCTGAGGTCATTGGTGTACTGTCATGTCACGTAGATGACTTCCTTTGGGCAGGATCTGAGCAGTTTGTGACAAAAGTGATTCCTGTGGTAAAGTCTACCTTTCAAGTGGGGCGTGAAGAACATGAGAATTTTTCTTATGTAGGTATGGATATTGTCACAATTGGAGACAATATATTGGTACATCAGCACAGTTACATTGAAAATCTCCAACCAGTGTCTTAAAAGGCAGCTCGGGCAGTGCAGAGAGCTGCTCCTTTAAATGAGACCGAGAAAGAGCAGCTCAGGTCTAAAATAGGACAGATTCTGTGGGTTGCTAAACAAACAAGGCCAGATGTTATGTTTGACACATGTAGCCTAGCATCTAACATTACAAATGCAACTGTCCAATCCATACATGAAGTGAACAAGGTAATCCGTAAACTTAAGTCAGAGAAGGTCACACTTAAGTTTCAGCCTTTAGGAAACAAAGATGATCTGAGTCTTGTGGTCTTTAGTGATGCTTCACTTGGCAATCTCCCAGATGGTGCAACTCAAGGAGGGACTTTAATTGTGCTTATGGGTAAAGGAGGCATGTTTTCCCCTTTGTTTTGGCAGTCTAAGAAGATCAGGCGTGTGGTAAGAAGCACTTTGGCAGGAGAAACTCTCGCTATGGCAGATGGCATAGACAACGCTATGTTTCTGGCCACATTATTTTCAGAGCTTACTATTGGTAATGCTAACATGAATGCCCTTCCTCTTGTTTGTGTTACTGATAACCATTCACTGTTTGATGCTCTTAAGTCCACAAAGCAGGTCACAGAGAAGAGATTGAGACTAGAAATAAGTAGCATTAAAGAGCTACTACATGCAAATAAAATCAGACAGATCTGTTGGTCAGAGGCAAAGTCACAACTTGCTGATTGTTTAACCAAAAAGGGAGCTTCACCACTTATGCTTCTTAAAGCATTAGACGAGGGCTCATGGTCACTGTAATTTCTTTTTCTGTTTACACAGGCTCTTAGCACTGTTGTTTTGTTGTGTACATTGTTCTGGATGTGTGTATGTCTCTCAAGCACACTTAAATGTTTTTTTATTTTTAAAGAAAGGGGGAGATTGTTAACATGTTAGGTTCTGTCGCGGGTTCTACTGCGTCACTACGCGGGAGCGTGAGGGGGAGAGCTCTTCCTGGTGTGAGATATGGCGGTTGAATAAAAAATTGCTCTCTGCAACAAGAACCTCGTCTGTTGGAATTTACAAAAATAAGTATTTAGCCAATAACAAAAGTCTGTCTCAATACTTCTACTAGTACTTATAATACTAGTACTAATACTAATAATACTAATTCTAGACCCTTTGTTGGCAATGACTTGAAAATTAAATGCTACATCTCAAGGGTCAAATGTTTTTTGTAAGTCTTCACAAGGTTTTCACACAGTGTTGCCAGTATTTTGGCCCATTCCTCTGTGCATAATTCTTCTAGGACAGTGATGTTTTGGAACTGTCACTGGGACTGTAATACAGACTTTCAACTCACTCCAAAATTTTTCTAAGGGTTTGAAATCTGCAGACTGGCGAGGCCACTTCAGGATCTTGATATGTTTCTTACAAAGCCACTCCTTTATGGCTTGTTTTGTTAAGCCTTGTGTATGAACTGTGCTATACAAATAATCTTGCCTTGCCTTCATCCGTGTTTGGGATCTTTGTTATTCTGAAAGACCCAGCCACCTTTCATCTGACCTAAGTTCCTGATATTGGTTGATGGATCTAAAAACTGGTTGTAATAATGTAATTATACAATGTTGTAATAGTTAGAAGTTGTGTTTTTCTTCTTTAAGGATGGCTCCTGAAGTGGCTGCGGTGGAGAAGAACGGCGGTTATAATCAGCTGTGTGACATCTGGGCCGTGGGGATCACAGCCATAGAACTGGCAGAGCTCCAGCCGCCCATGTTCGACCTGCATCCAATGAGGTATCTGCATTTTATTGTTTTTTTATTAGTAGAATAAAAGCGTGTATACAAACCTACATCAATGAGACAGACTTACAGGTACAGGACGACATACTGGTGGACTTGCAAGTACAGGAGGACATACTGGTGGACTTACAGGTACAGGATGACATACTGGTGGACTTACAGGTACAGGATGACATACTGGTGGACATACAAAGGGGTGGGAGAGAGATGGAGGAAGTAAGTCAGCAGTGATGACTCAAAAGAGAGGGAGAACGGAAACATAACTAAATGAATAATTACACCAATTTAATAATATATATCCTTTTTTAAAATATATCTTTCCATCTTAAATCTTTCTTTCTGCACAGCACCAGTTTGAGTCCTGTTTTAGTCATGACTTGGCTGTTACTGGAGTCAAGCTTAGTCCTTTCAGCTCTCCCATTTTTATCTTGTTCCACCAATTAAAAGGCAGTCGCTGTTGTGCCTGATTATTACTATTTGTATGAAAGGGATCCAATGAAGACCTGAATGAACTTTTTTACTGTTTGTTCAAATTGGCAAGGCTTGACAATTTTATTTTTTTACTGAAATTTGAGGTGGTCATCCTAGCCGAGCGGAAACTCATGGTAATCTCCCTTTAGTTAAAACAAGCCAAACCTGGGGAAAATATGGTATGTTTTGTTTAGTTCCTGGTTCAAGATAAGATAACCTTTATTGATCTCACAATAGAGAAATGTACAGTTAATTCTTGCTTCATAAGTAATAATTATAATTCTAGATGTCGTTGAACAAAACACACAAAGCAGTCATAAGTTTTGACTGTATTTCACTGTTTCAGCTCAATTCAATAGGATAGCATTTTGTCTCCTAAATTCAAGATATGTATGATAAGACAATGTGGCAATAAAACAAATACTAAAGCACAAACTGCTGAATGAGAGACGATGGCAGCCAGCCTTCCTTGCGCCATCTTGTATTTCCATTTTCCACTAGATATATTTATTGTCAATGTGTGTTTTCCTGTTTCATTCATGTCCCTGCTATTCTTAGACCAACGTGCCTAACCTCTTGTCCTTTTTTCCATTCTCTCTTTGAACCATCTTTCCGCAGGGCCTTGTTTTTGATGTCCAAGAGCAGCTTCCAACCTCCGAAGCTAAAAGACAAAAACAAATGGTGAGCGTTTATGTTGGGGAGATTGCAGTATCAGAGTTTACGCTTCGGTTTTGGAAATTGTTATTGATTTCATTAAACAAAATCATCTCGCTCCACAGGTCGGCCTCGTTCCATAACTTCGTCAAAGTTTCTCTCACCAAGAATCCCAAGAAGAGGCCCACAGCGGAGAAACTGCTCTCAGTAATACAGCTTTATGTTAACATTGTATATACAGGAAATGATCTATTATACCCAAACTTGTTTAATAGTTGATTATTAGTACTGAGTCGGATGTGCAAAGTTTTCCTCTTTTATTAGATTAGATTATTACAGTATTTTCTTGATTATGAGACCAGCTCTATATAAGCCAAACCACCTGAATTTAGCTGCCATGTAACGGCTCAGTACTGCTAACGTTGTTTTAATTTTTTAATTTTTAATTTTGTAATTTATTATCTTTATAATATGAAATCAAAGGGATTTTTATTTTCTATTTTCTTCAGTTCTTTCATTCATATAACCATAGACTTTGAAATTACAAAATGATGAGTTTGATATAAACTGTTACTGAGCTAGAGTACTGGCAGCTCAGAAAAGTAATCGTAGCAACAGGCTTATATCACTTCACTGCCGAACGGAACGTTTCAAGAGATAATTTTTTCCTTCATCTGTCACACTGTACAACACACATGGACATCTGCATTTCTCCCAAGGGGGAACAATAAAGTATCTATATCTGTCTATCTCGAGGAGTTAACTTTTAAATGTTAGACAATAAGAGCCAGAGCGAGTTGGAGCAAAAACTGTGTCTCTGTGCACTTCCCTATTGGGCTTCATTGAGCTAGCGGATTAGCATTGTCCATCTATAAAGTCTGAGAAAACTGTATTCAAGACAACAAACACTAGAGTTCACTAGAAAAAAAAAACTAATCTCAAAAGGAACAATGAAAGCAAAATCGGTTGTTTGGAAAAAGGTAATTCCAAGATCATAATAATTTATAGATAGAAATGTTCAATAACCAAATTATCCCCCTAACGAAGATACCTAACAGAGATACTGCAGTTCTTTCAGCTCTACTGTTGCTCTTATTGTGTTTTGTCCTTGGGTAAAAATAACATTTCCCTTATCCTCAATGTAGAATGTGCAATATAATCTCTGAGGATTATGGTAAACCACTAAAACAAACTACAACTGTTAGAATATTTGTCATAGTCTTTAGCAGCTGTGGTGTCAATATTAGCCACTGTCTATTAAATGTCTGTCTATTTATGCTTTCTGTTGGACTATTGAATTATTGAATGGTTGAATGTTTCTTATCGCTGGTGTAACTCTTCTTAATCTCGTGTCCTTGCAGCATGTGTTTGTGGCTCAGACCGGTTTGACCCGGAGACTCGCCGTGGACCTTTTGGATAAAATGAACAACCCAGAGAACCACCAGCCATTCGGAGAAGTGGACGACGACGATCTGGAGGTAATGATGTCACCGTGCCAGGCCTCTGCGAAGTGGACAGTGAGGAGCAGAGGCTTCAAAGACACTTCCATAAGTTTCATAAAGGGTTTTGTATCGCTTTAAAAACATGCAATGGAAGCGACAATGAAGTGAGAATTAGAGGAAATCAATTCTACTATCGGGGCTTAAATGTTGCAATATCAAATACTTGTCCTGAGTATCTCCCAGTCCTGGTTTAGTCTTTGAAACAGCCTATAACAACAGTGTCATATGATCAGAAATATGCATTATTATAAAAATAAAATACAATTTGAGATTTGATACCACACTTTAGAGTAGCCATCACTGATTTACAGAAGATGAAATGCTATTTAGTGAATAATTTATGGTTAGTTATCTGTATGTATGTATTTATTAAGCAATTATTCAGTCCTTATTGGCCTTTTTCAAAGTCTTAGTAACTATTATCACTTTCTCATTTGGGTTAAGATTAGGGCTAGAGAGAGGGCTAGGTTGAGGGTTAGGGTACATTAATTAATCCCTTAATGAGCTGTTAAATACAGAGGGTTAATCTAAAGTGTTACCGAGTTGCTTACATCACCTTTAAATGATTGGCATAGCAACAGGTTTCGGGGAAAGGACCACATTGAAAAGTCATCTTTTTGCATTATTTTTTTACCTTGAACTCCAGATCTAGTTGTGACACTTTTCCTCTGAAGCTTTCCCTCTTCTGTGAATGTTTTTATATATATATATATATATATATATATATATATATATATATATATATATATATATATATATATATATATATATATATATATATATATATATATATATATATATATATATATATATATATATATATATATATATATATATATATATATATATATATATATATATATATATATATATATATATATATATATATATATATATATATATATATATATATATATATATATATATATATATATATATATATATATATATATATATATATATATACCTTGTTTTGTTGGATGATCCAGGGCATATAACATTTAACAACATTTATGGACATTTGTCATCTGCCCCTTATGGACCAATGGTTCTGTGTATTTTATTGTTGCATTTCCTGTGTTTGAACGGTTTGATTCTCTGATCTGTGCTAGCAACAACTTTTTCAAGTCCTAAAATTTGATAGAAATTAGTTCTTGTTGCTTTTGAAGTTCAATTCAAAACCGGTGAGAAACTCCCAGGTCACGGCTCCACCAGGACAAACCAGGATTGAACGATGGCCGAGTCGTGTCTCCTGTTGTTGTTATGGTCTCTGCTCCAAGAGGAGGTGGTACCAGCCCAGTTTACAGCTCATTGTGCGATTGTCTCACTAACAGCAGCCTCTCTGTCTCTGCTCTGAAGGCGACGACTGTAGCCAATGTAGAACGCACTATGGGAGGAATAATAATGAGAACATGCTAAAGCAGACAACAGACGAGCCTGGAACACTTTTAAAGACAGGTTTATAAGCAAAATCAATTAATCGCATTTTATCCCGTATGTTGAAAAAAGATTAGATTCAGTAATGTATCTGCCAGCATGTATGGGATCTGTTCATAAACACTCTTTTCTCTGCTGTTTACCCTTTTTTGATGGAGCCCTGAAACTTTATAAGAAATAGGGTTTGACTAAAATAAGAGGGAATAGACAAATATGTAATTAAAATGCGGGGAAACATTTGTGGTAAGCCAGATCACTGTATGTTTACTGTAAGTTTGCACAATATGGCAAACTTATAATATAATTGAATTAAAATGCCAGAAGGCGTATATGTTTCATTTGCTCACACCTGATAGAAATTGTCCTGGATTCAGCCGCTGTTTAACTAATATAGTGAGTGTCTCTATAGTAAATTATACTTTTAAGGATTAAATTAAAATGTTGCTTAGAAAAATCAGAAAAGATGGTGTCCCATGGTCAGGAAGGTACAATGAAATACAAGTTGATGTAATCACCTATTAAATGAGGGACATAGCGACAGGTTTCAGGTAAAGAGTAAAGTAACACACAGTCTTCTGTTTGCATTATGTTTTTTGACCTTGAACTTCAGTTGTTGTTGTGACACTTGTGTCACTGTGTTTCCTCTGAAACTCATTTCTGTGAATGTCCTTTCTTTTATATCTATTTCTTGTTTGTTTGTCACCATCATAACCAGTCATTGTATATTATATTGTGAAATTGGTGACCGTTAATCATGACTCACCCCGCCCTGGACTTGAACTTTGATCCAAACAGTAAAATAAGGGGAAAAATATATATATATGTTTTGTCTTATTCTAAATCTATGCATTTCTTTATTTCAGCCGATCGCGGTCAGACACACCATCAAATCCAGCAAAAAACAGGGCCGGTCCGAGAGGACGCCTTCGGAAATGGACTGTAAGTCACACAGACAACTTCAAAAAGACTTTTATCTTATATTGAGATTAGTCAATATAATGTTGTAGCGGCAAAACCAATTCATTATATTTATAAATGATACTTACATAGCGCTTTTGGTCCACTCCCAATTACGCTTATTTTGATTGGCTTTATTCATGGTCTCCCATCGCCGTACCCACCAGGCCACCCCTGCTTAACAGGAAGGTATAGTGGAGGTTGAAGGTGCCAATGGCACAAATCAGAAGCTTCTCAGGTTTGCTCTACCTGTTTGTGTTTCCATTACACTTTAGTATCTGGTACCGTATTCTAGCAACCTGCCCACAACAAACCAGTATCCACGGAAATTCCTTTGCAGCAGCACTCGGACCAGGGCCAAGCAGGTACTAACATGAGTAGAGTAGGGTGGAGTAAGGTAGGGTAGGTTTAGGGTAAAGTAGGGCTGGTGGAAACGGGGTTTTTGTTAAAACTGTGTCACTGTTATCTCTGTAATTTTCTATGTAATTTTCACATGTCTCCTGTATTCTATCGTCACACTATATCCACTTCCTGTTTATCTCTTTGATTGTTTCTCAGTCTTGTGTCTGTGTTTCTGTGTGAAGCTCACAATGGAATAGACGACCAAGTCTTTTGTTCGAGCCCAAAATCTTCTCAGAGACGACGAGAGAGAGGTCCGTGGTCACAGTGTGTTTTATAACTGCAGAATTAACACACTATAGTGGTAATAACTGCTTTGTCTGGAGTGAGACTAAAACTAAACTTGACTAAGCTTGAACTAAATTATCATCCAATCATAAGAATCATTTTCACTCTCAGGGACATACAATTTGAAGTTTTTTATATTACTATAATTATAACTTTAGCGTAGAGACAAAACCAGCTGGATTTCACCAAAGAAACTCAAACTAGCAACCCAAACGAGAGGCTCATGTGATGATAATTCTTCTCTCTAGTTTGATACTTGAGAACCCAAAATTGGAATTATTTGTCCATTGCATTTTCGTTTCATGATTCAGAATAATTTTGCTTTTAAGTTTTTGATTATAAAATTGAAAACAGAATTATATTTAGATATTTTTTGTTTTAGTTTATTTGAATAGGGGCCGTACACATTAATCAACATTACTGTAAATGTGTCAGTCAAATGAACTGGCTAGAAAACAAGTTTTCTTTGTTTTAATGAATTATTATTATTATTAAAGATTATTCTGTTTTCATTGTAACTTTGTCCCAAGCTGTTATTGCAGGAAATGCAGTGTACTCTCTCTGCTTTTGTAAGAACAGTTTTGTTAGAATCTGGCGTCTAAACTAAACTATGTCTGAAGAAAGGATTTTAGTTTGTTCAGATTCAAGGAGCTAAACAATATAGCACCTTTGTGAAGTTTTTGAAATAGGAGAAAAAAACAAAATAGTAATATTAATGGACATGATGACAATGAAAATATAATGATACTTATAATATTAGATTCACATTCGTTTTGTTTTCCATTTGCATTAAAACAACATTGGAATACATGTGCAGACCCCAGTGTGCACCAGTCAAATACATAAAAAAGATGCAAATAATGTTATGATTTAAATTAGTGGTAGTACAATTTAATTCAATTCAATGAATATCTGCACTGCCCTAAATCACAACAGACTTTACAAAGCTGTAGAGAGAAAGTAGGCCTATAGTTTATGGAAAAAATAAGGCATCTGTGGTTTAAAAGTTCCGGTGAAAACACATCATTATTCTAGTAGTAGTGGTAGTGGTGGTAGTAGTAGTAGTCATATTAGTAGTAAACATTTTTATTTCAAACAGACACAAACAGCTTTGTCTAACTAGTCTTGTATGTGTGTGTATGTTGTTGTTCTTCTGCAAATATTATCCCTGCTAACTCACACTGTGAACAAACACGGCTTCTTGCAGTCGAGGCTTGAGCTAAAGTCTCTAGTTTCGGTCCCAACCTCAGCAGCAGTTCAGAAGAGGAAGTGTTTTTGTCTCAGCTCCAGGTAGAAGCTGAGACAAGCTGGTTCCAAGTTCCTGAGAGACTCTGGAACAACGACGCCTCCCAGTGGCCATAACGTGTATAAGACAAGTTGGATTGAATTGAAATGTTTTTTTTGTTTACAGTCGAAAAGCTGGAGTTCCAGCCGCCGATTCGCAAAGAGACAGAGGCCCATTCTGAGATGGTATTTATATTATATACGGTTTTGTGCCTCAAAAACTCCATTCTGATTTAATAATACTAGTTCATGATAATAGAAATGTTATAAATAATGATAATAATGCATTATAATAGAATACAAATAAAATAATAGAATTAATAATAATATTATGATGATGATGATTTATGATGAAAGCAACAGAATTAAAGTTGAGGTACCTAATTTGTCCTACAACAAGACTATAATCGAGGCTCAATTGAAAATAGATTTTTGGCCTGTGACACATTTTTAGATCAGCTTTTTCAAACATAGAAATGAAGGGAGGACTCACTCAGCCAATCAGCTCTCAGCCCAAGGCGTCAACAAGTGACTCACAGGGTGCTTTCTTACATGTCTGCAAAATATAACATGTTTTCCAATAAGATGAAAGTTTGATTTCTTCACAATAATTTACTTTTAAAAGACTCTTTCTGTTATTATAAAATGATTGCTTTATTTTAATTAATCTCCTATTGTTTTTCCGTTTCTCAGGATGTAAACAAAGAGAATGACTTTTCTTCGGCCTGGAGTCCTTTTGCAGACGGCGGCATCACATCCAGGTATTATTTAAAAGCACACACATACATGGGTTGTACATTTCTCTGTTCTGGTAATAAAGCAAACGGCTTGAATTGTTGCTTTTAATCTTGTTTTGTGTCCGGTGTTACTTCGTTGTTGTTTCAGTTGCTAACTTCCATTATCTGTATTTTTTAACAATAACACATAATCCACAAACTAACAGATGGCTACACAAAGACCAATTTTAGCAACGCTTTGGTTTTTACCTAGCTGTGTTACACTGGGAATTTCAGGACATACATATGACATAAATATTTCTTTGTCCATCAGACCTGTCTGATGAAGGGCCTCAGCCCAAAACGTTTCTTTGTAGTCTGTAAATAAAAGAAACTTGGGAGCAACATAGCGGTGCAAACCTTTATATAATCCAGTACGCTAGAAAACTAGAAAATTACCAACTGTAAAACACAGAACAACAACACAGCACAAAAGAGTTACTTTCAAAAGCAGGTAATGACTCCTGATTAATACATTGAAGCAGACGGACTGGTTTGAGGTTAACAGCTGGGAAGGGTCCTGCCCAGGTCTGATCTAAGATTAACTCCAGGTCTGTGTTGTTTGAGGAAACAATGTTGTAACATGGTTAAAATCTCAAAGTAGCCTCTGCATACGTATGCCTCCTTTAAATGTATCCTAACTTCTATGTTTTGGCTTGAACTTCCCCAAAATCTGTCCAATCACGGCTCTAGTTCTGCATGCTTCACTCACTTTTTGTTTGTTTTGCTTTGACTCTCGTTCCTCCTCTCGCCTTGCTGTCCCGCTGCTGTTTGCCCTTTCAAGGAGCCTTCTCAAAAGCGTTGAGGACGAATTGTTCCAACGGTAAAAACTAACACAGCGTCCCGCACCCTCACTCCTCTGCATGCTCTGTCTCTGACCTCTGACCTCACACACAGACCGCCGTCCAATCAGAAAGCAGGATTACAAACTGCTCAAAGTGTATTCAGACTATTGCAGGAAGTGGGGAAGCGATAAATAGTGGATATGTTCAGTCAATTTGGTCTTTCTGGTCTCTCTCTCTTTCTGGACTCTCTCTCTCTCTGATCCCTCTCGGGTCTCTCTCTGATCTCTCTCGAGTCTCTCTCTCATTTGGGTTTTAGTGTGATTCCTAAGTGTATGCACATTTGTGGTCTTTCTGACCTTGTGACTTCATTTGTATTCGATATGTAGCTTATTTCTATGTCGTTATTTTTCCTTTAATTACCTTTTTATTTTTGAAAAGTGATTAGTTCTACCTTTTGCTTATTCAATTAAATGGCAAATTTAAATGTAGCCATTTTCAGTCGCTTGGTAACAACTTTCTAAGTTGCTGGTCCCGGACTGGTCTGGATCTCTCCACCAGAGAAGATTACTCGTTACCATCGCAACAAAGCAGTTAGCCTTTCAACAATCTGTTGCTGCTGTATTTTAAGTTGTATTCACCAGCTGTAGCACTTATTAGAGTGACTTTTTTTTTTTTTGTTGGGGGAATTTCTGAGAATTCTATTGTCCCACACGACCTTCAGTCAATCCTGCACCTGTCCTTACCTCCCCCCTCTGTTTCCCTTAGCCCCTGCCACACCTGTCTTAAGCCCAACGCACACCGAAACGCCTTGACGCGCGGCAAAAGAGCCGCCTCCTTTATTTTCTATGAGAGAACGCACACCAAGGTTGCAGTGACGCGCGGCGACGCTGGACCGGGCGCCACGATTCAGTTTTGTTGAATCCAGACGCGGCGCCGCGGCTGAAACTGTCCCTCCAAGCACCCGTAGTTTTCTTCTTCTGCGCTTCTTATCACGTAGCTGTGAGCGCGGTCTCAAATTTACACACTTGTCGGCGCTATTGCTCAAGTAAACCGGTCACAATGGACGAGGAAAGCTTGATAACCCAAGTACAGCGTTACCCAGAGCTAGTTATTAGCCTGTTTAAAAAATGGGTCCAAATAGTCTTTTCTTGTAATATTTGCCAGCATAATTTCACGTAAATACTTTGTTTCCTCCCCCAAAATATTAGTAGAAACTTCCAAACGTCACTCACCCATTTCATCTGCGATCAGCTGGAAAAGGACGCTAGCCAAGGCGTTCCGGTGTAATTTGACACATGTCATGAACGCGCGTCAAATGACGCGCCGCGAGGCGCTGCGTTTCGGTGTGCGGTGAGCTTTAGCCCCTGCCACACCTGTCTTAGCCCCTGCCACACCTGTCTTAGCCCCTGCCACACCTGTCTTAGCCCCTGCCACACCTGTCTTAGCCCCTGCCACACCTGTCTTAGCCCCTGCCACACCTGTCTTAGCCCTTGCCACACCTGTCTTAGCCCCTGCCACACCTTTCATTGAACTCCTCCCTCACTTTCCCTCAGCCCCTCCCACACCTGTCCTAAGCTCCTCCCACACTTGTCACATCTGTCTATCACATCCTTGCATTACAGAGCTTGTTATTGCTCTGGTCGCTCCCTTTGGATCCAGTAATGACCTCCCTTCCTTTCCCCTCTCTCTCTCTCTGGGGACCCAAACATTCGTTCCATAATTCTCCCTATGGACGACCATGACTCTTTAATTCCACTTGTTTGTTTACCTTGTATTCCAGCGGGCATGTGGCTCCGTTGGAAGATGCATTTGAAGACGTCGAGATGTGAGTAGTCAGCAGAGGTTCAAGTCGATGTGGGTTAATTGGACGTTTGTGCTAAGAATAGTTTTGTGTTTCTCACAGATCGACTCTCAAACCTGGAGTTCCCCCGCCCCTCCCCCCAAAGGTACGACCGTAATTGGGTGTTCTTTAAAATCTCGATCAGACGTTGGTGAAGTGTTCTACAAACATGTTTCTGCTCATTAGTTTGAACCAGGGAGATTAATTGAATCAAAGAGCAGATTGAGGCTCTCATTTGGGTCTCTCTCTCTGGTCTCTCTCTGGTTTCTCTCTCTCTGGTTTTTCTTTCTCTGGTTTCTCTCTCTCTCTGATATCTCTCTCTCTTTGATCACTCTCTCTGGTTTCCTGTTTAGACCTAGTTCAGTCAGTCATACGTTAGTTCGACATGGGTCAGAAAGTCTCTCTCATATATATTTTAACTTCTTTCACATAATGTCCAGCCTCGGTTGAGTTCCTCGGACGACATCGGTCTAAACGACGAGCGCTCTTTGACGGTGAAGAGGTTCCCGAACTCTGAGAACGGTCCGGTCCCAGCGGCTCGAAGGCAGTCCACTCCAGGACAGGGAAGCAAACCAGAGACCAACCAGGACTATCTGTCTGTGAGCGTCAGCAGCCCTGGAATTCTGACCCACTCCTCTGACCCTGGTGAGGAATAACATAATTTTGAACTGGATCAAGTATTATCCACTATTTTTGGCCATGAATAATGATAATGCAACTATTCACTCTTAGAATATGAATTTTGTAATTTCTGCAATTTTTTTACATCTTTGAATCCTTATATAGCAGTGTGGCTAATATGTATATTTTTATTGTGGTAGTTGACTTAATTTGACTCTTTAGTAGCTATAGGACCCTTATTTAATATCAGAATGAGTCCTGGGAGCTAATTGTTAAACTATTAGACACCTTGTTATTAAATCAAGGTATGACCAGGCAAAACGGTTGTCTCTGCTACATTACAACATGAAAACCTTTGGCTTTTATTCAAGTGTGGCCTATATAGGGACAGAATTGATTTCCTTTTTAAAAATTTGCTTAAACAATACTTTATGCAAATTACAGTATTTGTATTGGGTTTCATACTTAAATTATTCAAAATCCTGAAGACTTTATTCTGTCTCTGTGGGATAATTTTGTTATGTGAAAAACTTACTTAAGCTCATTATTATAGCATAGCATATCACACCTATACTGCTTTGAAGTTAGCACTCGCCGGAGACCCTTTTTGACTTCTAATTCTATTAAATGATCAAAACTCTTTGTGGTTATTGTGTTGCAAGCCCTCTATACATCTAAGTGTAAAGGTAAGTCCACACCATGTCTATGCGATTTCTCTTGTCATTCATCTCCTGCTGTTCTTTCCTAGTTTTAAAGTGATTTTTTTTCATTTGTCAGATAACGACAGTGACGACACAGTGGACGGCGACGAACCCAAACCTGCGCAAAATCGGCAGCACCGCAGAGAGAAGAGGGACTTCCCTGTGAGTTTGACTCACATTCACACTGCTGTGAACATACTTAGAATTGACTCATTTCCAAGTCAAAATGAGAGATTTAAGATGCCATTTTAGCTCTCTGATCCAAAGTATAAAAAACACTATATATTCACTGCAAAAAAATGTAAAATGTGAGGTAATAATTGCTTGAGTTCATTTTGACGTAAAACAAGACTTACCAAAGGGCCATCCATCCATCCATTTTCTTCCCCTTTATCCATTGCTGGGTCGGGGGGGGTGGCAGTCAGAGCTGCACCCAGTCCACAGAGCACCAGCCCCTCACTGATCCTCCTGCAGGTGGTGAGTCCACAGGAGCTGAGATCTTTCAGTGGGAGCTTCAGGCAAAGTGGGGTTAAGTGTCTTGCCCAAGGACACAACGACAGCAGTCATCAGTGGGAGTCGTGAAGTAGGTCTTATGGCTTGAACCCACGACCTTCAGGCCCAAAGGCCAATGCTCTACCAACTGAGCTACTGTCGCCCCCATGGAAATACCATTTAGTTTTATTTCAAGAACTGTGTTTTTATTTTCTCATTCCAAGGGAGACATCTCTTGTATCTTTTCAACAAGATCATTTTGTTCTGTCCCATTGGCAAAACTTTGGCTGTGAGCACTTCCCTTTTGGGTGACATTGAGCTAGCGGATTAGCATTGTCCATCTATATACAGCCTATGCATTCAACCAACTCAATTCAACACCATTCATCTCAGTTACTTTTTTTGGTTTTTCATGGTTTTCAAACCCGCACTAGTTCTTTTGATACAGTTTTTCTTAATCACCTTCTATATATTCTCTGTGGAATGTTATATGTTTCCTCTTTGTCTGTAGAAATCTGCTATCAACGGCCTGCCTCCCACTCCCAAAGTCCTGGTAAGTGAATCTGTCCATTGTTCCAGTGCATTGTAGACATGGTTGAGGTTTTGAGAATACGATTTCCAGAGATCTGCCATTTTTTATTTTTTTTTACTATTAGAAAGTGTGTTTGCAACCGGAGAATCACTGTGAACAAGTGACTACAGTAATTTGGCTCAAATTATTTTGTATTGCAAGGAAAGAAGCCAAATGTGTTGCTAATATGATGTATATATGATCATGTCCAGTTATTAGTTATTTAACATTGAAACAATAAAGTAATTATTTTAGCTCTACTCATTGCCATATACTACTATGTTGTTTATTATTGTTTATTTTCATAGTATTATGGTATGTATTTTAACTCTTTTAGTTTTAGTTTTATTTTTCCATTCAAAGCTCCCTCCCCCTGGTTTCCCCTGGCAACGACCCAAAATATCTTAAAATAATAAGCAAAAATGTTAACAAAAACAAACCACTTGCCGTAAAGATGCCATCTTTCTATATTTAAGTGCACACTAAGTACTCTTTTCTCGTAAAGGTCTCCGCAAAAGCCGACTTGGATTCACATAGAAACCTGCATGCAATTCTCTTATGTAAAAAAGAAAAAGTACTTTGAAAGAAAGAAAAGTCAGTTTAGGAAAGATTTATGGAGGTGACAGCCAGTAACATGGAGAAACTGATGAGATAGGCAGGAAGACCAAAGACAATGAAGACGTTTATTATCAACCAATAAATGATCGCTATACTTATTATTGTTCCTTGTTTCAGATGGGAGCATGTTTCTCAAAAGTATTCGATGGGTGTCCACTCAAGATCAACTGTGCCACATCATGGATTCACCCAGACACAAAAGGTGAGGATCCAGGACGGAGGCTGTAGATCCAGGAGGCTGTAGATCCAGGACTGAGGCTGTAGCTCCAGGACTGAGGCTGTAGCTCCAGGACGGAGGCTGTAGATCCAGGACGGAGGCTGTAGATCCAGGACGGAGGCTGTAGATCCAGGACGGAGGCTGTAGATCCAGGACGGAGGCTGTAGATCCAGGACGGAGGCTGTAGATCCAGGACGGAGGCTGTAGATCCAGGACGGAGGCTGTAGATCCAGGACGGAGGCTGTAGATCCAGGACTGAGGCTGTATAGATCCAGGACGGAGGCTATAGATCCAGGAAGGAGGCTGGATCTGTAGCTAAAGTAGAATTCCTCAAACTTCACAACTGTTGCATACGTTTTTAATCCTTATGGTGCACGTTGAAGAGCATAATCAAATGCTTGGATGGCTATGGCCTGATGTACACTTCATATTATGAGCTTTCAAATTGCAAAGAAGACATGCTAACTCGGGTATGAAATTAGACTTTTTTTTCTTCCTTTTTTTAGATCAATATCTTATTTTTGGGACAGAGGACGGCATCTATACTTTGAATCTGAATGAGCTGCATGAAGCCACAATGGAGCAGGTAATACTTTAGATCTATATTAAAAGTTAATTAACACAAACATTTTAATATACACAGTGTTTAAGATCAGATGCAACTTTATTGTAATTTGTAAGTGAAATTACATTCTTTACAATTGCATATGGTAATTTTTGAATATATAAAAAAAAGATGAGCCTACTTCTCCCTTTGGTGGCAGCATAGGGAGTTGCAGTCAGAAAGCATTTTTTTCCCCCTTATACTTGTCTCACATGACAAAGTAACTAGTCTCATTATCATTTATAAGTTGCTCTTCAACTTGATTAACCAATTTCTCTTTTCCTTCAGCTGTTTCCGCGGCGATGCACATGGCTGTATATCATCAACAACAACCTCATGTCTCTATCAGGTAATATTTCCATTTCCTACTCTTGTTTTTTTTTTCTTCAACCACACCCACAAAACCTGCAATTAACAGCAACAATGTCACCTGCTCCCTTCTAAATCAAGCAGCAAAAGCCTATAGATCGGCAGTGACGTCACGTGAGGCCCGACAATGCAGCCACTGTCACATAAATCATTGTTCTAGCTGCTGCTTCTTTGTCTAATCTATCTCTCGCACGGTAAATCTACGGCCAAAATTAACCCCATTGTGTCTTTTGGGCTGTGACTCACTCCCTCGTTTTGAATGGGCATTTGATCCAGTGAGTTTTAGCAGATGACAGATGCGGTAAAACCTACAGATAGATGCCATTTGTTTGGATTGGCTCAAGCTGTACTCTGAGATAGCGACGCATAAACGGGTTCAAAGGCGATTTTAACATGCTCTACAGAAGCTATTGTTGGCATTTCAAACAACACTGATCTATTTTTATACACTTTTCACGTTTGTTATGAAGTAAAGCTGAGATACACAACTTTCAAAAATCCTATCCAACAATTTCCTCACTCTAAAGTGTTTGGTTTCAGGAGTTCAAGTTTGCATTCTTGTATTTGTGGTCTCAGTCACAACTTTTAGATCAGCTTTTTCAGACAGAAAAGTGAAAAAAGTGAAGCCCATTTGCACTCAACCAATCAGTTCTCAGCCCCAAAGAGTCAAATAGTGACTCACAGAGCTCTTTCTTACAAGCATGCACATAATAACATCTATGAACCTAAGTCACGCTGCTCCCTACGGACCAATGGCTCATATGTGTTTGTTTATTATTGCATTTCCTGTGGTTGAACGGTTTTATTCTCCAAGACGACTGCTGTTGTGATTTATTGCTATACAGAAATCATTTTAAACTAGAAGAAGACAGCCTGGTGTGGTCTGCTTTCTCCACACCACTTAACTTTAACAAAATTCTATATGTTGGAACAAACATGCGATATTTAAGAAGTATTTAATATTAAGATGCAATTAAGACTGTCAAAATATGTAAAAGTAACCAGGCATTTCTCACAATATTTTGCTCAATATTTGCTGACTGTTGTCTTCTTGTTTCCTGCTGTGGTGGCTTCACTGATACTAACGGCCTCATCAGAAGGTAATCCTCCATCTCCACATCCCTCTGCTCACCGCTAACTCACCGCCTCCCTTTTAACATTCATTTAATTTACTTTTGCTTATGTTCATTTGAAAACTTCCGCTGGTGATTTGTACAAATGAAAGATGAGGTTTTTGTCCATATTGCAACAAAGAACTAGTCGACATTGCAGCGCAGTTCCATCTCTTTAGGGTTTTTGCTAACTACTTCACCAGTCTGATCAAAGTTATAGCAAATATAAACAGTGTTATTTCAAAAATATGATACATAATGTCTAACTTGTTACTATTTTATAAGTAATGTGTTACTACAATATTACAGTCTCTGAATTGTATAGCATTACACTACCACTGCATTACTTTGAAGTTGCCATAGATCAGGGGTGGCCAACCCGCGGCTCGTGAGCCGCATGCGGCTCTTTGGCTGGTTCCGTGCGGCTCTCGGGCTTTCACATGACAAGCGTCAAAAACGCCTCGGTGGTGGCGCTGCCTTTCATTCCATATGTAGTTCTGACCCATAGTAAAGGCCGACTTCACTCCACTAGCCAGGCCACCAAAACAATCTGACGTCGGCGAACGTCAATTCTGATTGGCCAGATGCGCTGTCAATCACTCTGCAGCCGCTGCCTCAGTTGTTGCAAATATCATAACAAACAACACGTTGCCTCGACCCATGACGTCCGTACGGAAAACAGCTCCTTGGTCGCTGGATGAGGGCAACACCTTCCTCAGTTTGAGGAGAGGACACCAGCCTGATCTCGCTGGTTCCACCAGAAACCAGCTGTTTGTGGAGCTAGCGCTAAGGACGGAGCAGAATGATTCCCACAAACATGACAATGCAGAGAAAAGTTAAAAAGCTTAAAAGTGACAACCGTGAAATGAAAGATTACAGCAGCAGAAGTAGAGGCAGACCCGAAAAGTCTGGAGGTGGTTTGACCAAATGGATTAAATTTACGGACATCGGCTAACACCGGCTAACATGCTAAAACCAGCTAACAACAACTAGCATTACACCAGGAGATAAGCCAACTCTGCCTGGTGAGTGTCTGTCTTCAATCAAATGCAAAAGTATCTGGTCTTATACTGAACATGTGTCTGGTTCTAAATCAGCTAAAGTGGTGTTGGTGTTATGTGTCAAATCTATATCTTTTACTAAACGCAGTCAGAGTGAATCATGGTTCAATAAAGACAGTTGTGTTTCTGCTGAACACTGGGTTGAAACTTGATTTTTTTTCTTGGTTAGAGATTGAAAGCGTTCATTTCGGAATCATAATTGATGTTCGCTGACGTGAGATTGTTCTGGTATCGACTCGCCCGGTTACAACCAGGGCCAAACCATAATAAAAAGTACCGGGGAGCGGCTGAAGCGAGCGGTAGAAGCGCCCGCAAACCGGGGAGAGTTCAGCCCTTTAGTGCTGTACGAGTCAATTTCTGTCATTATCATGTTGATGACATTTACAATAAATCTGTCTGAGCAGAGCACACCTCTCTCTGCTCAGACAGATTGCATGTGTTTGTGTGTGTGTGTGTGTGTGAGCGTGTGTGTGTGTGTGTGCGCGTGTCTGCTCGTGTGCGTGAGCGTGCGTGTGTGTGTGTGTGTGTGTGTGTTTGTGTGAGAGAGCGTGTCTGTTCGTGTGCGTGTGTAAGGGTTGGGGTGATGTTTATGTAGTGCACATTTGTATGATGTGGCTCTTTGCTTAACACGGTAAAAAAAATTGGCTCTTAGTCTCTGACTGGTTGGCCACCCCTGCCATAGATAATGTACTAACTAATATAAATACAAACTAAATGTAGCTTCTGATGCTTTTGCGTGAGGTTGATAGAGCATTTGGTTTCCACATAAAGTCACTTAACTGATATGTTCCACATAATTTTGTCTCCAACAAACTGTGAATAATGGGAGTCTGTCCAACTGTAAAATGTACTATTGTCAATGTAGTGGGTGCTTCTGCTTCAGCCTCAGCCATCTTCTACCAGAAAGGAACAACACAACAGTAGCCACTGTTGGAGCAGATTTGATCTCTCTAGTATAAAAACAAAACACTATTTTTGTGTTAAAATACAATGTAACGTTTCTGGCCTTTTGAGCCCAGTATAATATTCGTGTTTTTGGAATGCTTACATTACTGTGTAACAGCAAAAGCGTAACATTACACTTATTACATTAGATTTGTAATGTGTTACTCCCAACACTGATGATAACGTGTCCAGTGTATTTTCAAATGACCCTTAATAACTAGTGTAGAAGTAGAACTAGATATTTTACTTCTTCTTCATTTTCAACATTATTTTTAACACGGTGATGTAATGTTTGTGGTCGTTGCAGGTAAAACGTTCCAGCTTTATTCCCATAATCTCATCGGTTTGTTCGAGCAGCTGAAGAAACCGGGACTCGCTGCTCAGTTTCAGACCCACCGCTTCCCCGACAAAATCCTTCCCAGGTGAGACCAAAAGCAGGTCTAAAAGAGAGCTGAACCAGGACTGAACCCGGACTGAACCCGGACTGAACCCGGACTGAACCCGGACTGAACCCGGACTGAACCCGGACTGAACCCGGACTGAACCCGGACTGAACCAGGACTGAACCAGGACTGAACCAGGACTGAACCAGGACTGAACCAGGACTGAACCAGGGCTAAATATGGACTGAACCAGGATTTAAAAAGGACTAATCCTGGACTAAACCTGGACTAAGCCAGGACTGAAACTGGTCTGAAAATTGTCCCAGTGAAATAAAGGTTAAAAATATAAATCAGGACCAGACCTCAACATTTGTTTTTATTGAGACAAACTTGTATTTATGGAAAGAATGCTACATTACAGTTTTAAGATTATAATTATTACACTTAGAAAGTATGTGCATGTTGTAGTTTCTGCTTTAAAGCGTTCTCTACTTGTCACAGTCCAAGAGCAGAATGTACAAATGCCGCCGCGGACCTCTCTCTCTCATGTTTAACAGTCTCGGCCTCAGACCCGCTGCGCTCTGGAGAAGGTCAAAACTTTGCCTTTTAAACTTTCGGCCTCACGCTGAGCCAAGCCTTTGTCCTCGCTCTGATTTGTGGCTTGTTGATTGGTCGCGGTTGTAATTGAAATAAATGGTGTCGCCCTGGTCCGCTCTCACCGTCCGACGTCAGCAGAAAAAAACACATCCCCTTTTCTGTTTTTTTTTTTCCCCCCAGGAGATTTGCCTTGACGACGAAGATCCCTGATACTAAAGGGTGCCACAAGTGCTGCATTGGTGAGTGGAGACATCGGGGACCAAATCTGGATCCAGTGACAACCGTTTTATTACCGCAACCTGCACCGGGCTCTAAAAAGAATATTAAGATTCAGTTTATTTTCTATTTGCAAAAAACACACTTTGGAAAATATGTCCAAACGTCTCCAGTGTGCATTAGACATACATAAATGAAACAAGCTAAAATGTACAGGAATTAATCAAGCTTAAAAAAAGTGGGGATGGAGGAGTGATACCCTAGGGCCTTCATTCCCACTGCTGTCAGACTGTACAACAAGTCACTTATTGACAGACCTGCACTGGGACTAGGATCTTTCTGAAGCTAATTGTAAAATTTTTGTATACATTTATTCTCCTAATTTTCTCAATTTATTCTATTTGCCATCAAGAGAAATGCACTGATCAGGGAAAAGTGCTAATAAAGTGCTAAAAATAATACTATAATATACAATTTTATAAACATAGTGTCTCTGTTTGTGTATATTTGTGTGTGTGTGTGTCGCCAGTGAGAAACCCGTACACAGGACACAAGTATCTGTGTGGAGCTCTCCAGTCGGGGATTGTTCTGCTGCAGTGGTACGAGCCCATGCAGAGGTTCATGCTCATCAAGGTCAGCACTGGGAAGGATACTTTACTGCTGCTGCAACTGCTACTGCCAAAGTGACTGCACTCAGAGAGAGACCAGAGAGAGACCAGAGAGAGACCAGAGAGAGACCAGAGAGAGACCAGAGAGAGACCAGAGAGAGACCAGAGAGAGACCAGAGAGAGACCCGAGAGAGACCCGAGAGAGACCCGAGAGAGACCCGAGAGAGACCCGAGAGAGACCCGAGAGAGACCCGAGAGAGACCCGAGAGAGACCCGAGAGAGACCCGAGAGAGACCCGAGAGAGACCAGCCAATGGGAAACCCGTTATAAGAGCAGTTTCTAACCTCTTCTTCTTCTCTCTCGCTCTCTCAGCACTTTGACTTCCCGCTGCCCAGTCCTCTGAAGGTGTTTGAGATGCTGGTGGTTCCAGAGCAGGAGTACCCGCTGGTGTGCGTGGCCCTGTCCCGAGGCCTAGACCCGGGACAGCTGGTCCGCTTCGAGACCATCAACCTCAACTCCTGCTCCTCCTGGTTCACAGAGACTGGAATGAGTGAGTCACAAACACTCTAAGCTATTGAAGCATCCCTCACTGCGTCCAAATGTCCTAGAGGAGTTTGCTTCAATGTAAAACAATAGGAGTGAGTTGCGATCAAAACTTTGTCCCTGAGCGTTTTCCTGTGGGGTTTCATTGAGCTAGCGGGTAATCATTGTCCATCTTTATACAGTCTATGGTCTAAATATAAAGTTACTTAGCTCAAAGTCACATTTACCACAAGATTTTAAATTATATCCTTGATTCCAGAGTCTGTTGGATCTATTGTGTTAGTAATTTTAGCTTTGCAGTGTTTTTCAAAGCCTAAATAACAAGAATTTATTTACTCATTTTGCATTATTTATTAACCAAATTTGAAAAGCTCCAACGAGGGAGCTGCTCTAATTTACAGAGGTAGATTATTCCACAGTTTGGGAGCAGCAACAGCAAAGGCCCAGTCGCCTCAAGTTTTTCGACTAGACCTGGGCACATACAACAGAAGTTGGTTTTCTGACCTCACTGCTCTGACTGTAGCCAGGGCTGGACTGGCCATCGGGCGTACCGGGCAATGCCCGAAGGGCCGATGCCCATATTTGGGCCGGTCTGTCTGCCTCATACAAAAAACATATTTATGAAAAGTGTAAATCCGTGGAGAAATGTTCGAGGGGAGCGCGCCTGTCCGCGGGGCACCTGCTGTATGTACTCGAACGGGATTCTACCACCTCAGCGGACGCAGGAACCGCTCACAACACAACACGGTGAGCGCGTAGCCGCAACGTGACCATGTACCCAAGACCATAAACGCGCACAGGACCATGCATGTCTTTTCGTAATTTGTGCACCCAATAAATACACCGCTGCAGAAAACAGTCCTCGTCTCCCCTCTCCTCTAAATTAAAGCTCGGGTACCTACATTTTCCATTGCATTAAAAGTTCATGTTTGAGCCCAAAAGTAAAATGTTGTGAACAGATTAAACAGATTTAGAGCCAGCTAATATATCCATATTAGCTGGCTATGCATATAATATGCATTTCAGAAATTTTTACCATTTCTCATCCCTGTAACAAACAATAGTGTTGTCTGTGTCCACCTCCCTCACTCTGAGACATGTTTATTACTCTGTTTAATGTAGACTATTGTACTGTATTTTATTGTTGAAACTGCAGACATCCTGATCCTCTACTGTATTTGCTTCCACATACTGTATAAACCAGGGGTCGGCAACCTTTAGTGCCCCTAAAGTGCCAGGCGGCCGCTGCTGTAAACAAACCGGCGTGTGTGCATTATAGACTGTGTGTGCGCATGGATCCCAAAGATAAAAAGAGAGTCGATAAGACTGGACTAAGAATGAGAATGAACATTTGCTTTCAGTCAATGAGGAAGGACTGCTTCATGTTTGCAATGTAATGAAAAGTTTTGTTGCAACAGGAGGAACAATGAAGCTTTAAACACGTTCACTGAAAGATTCATTCATCATAAAGTCAGAGCACCTATTTTCAGACTTCGAATACCTTCGCAAAGACGGTGAAAGAAAAGGCCATTAAGGACATTCAGCTCCAGCAAACTTCAGCCTGTGATGTGATCGATATGAACAGACAGTGATGCAGGTGAACTCGGAGCCAAAAAGCAGATGTATTTACTGTATTGTATTTACTGTATTGAGTTGTCACGAGTTGTCACGTGGTGCGTCATTCTCTCCAGGACACGCTGCAATGAAAATACACATTTGATAATCATGAATGGTTTTTATGTGTTTAGCCTTTACTTTGACATTTAGATATTAGGCTAATATAGCTAATATAACTAAGGTAGCTAATACAGCTTCAGCCCCTGTTACCTTCATATAAGCCTTATACAACGCTGTTTTTTTTTTCTCCAGACAGATGTTGTTTTTAGTTTTTTTGTCAAATATGGCTCCTTGAACCTTTTGAGTTGCATGGGCCGCTAAAAAGGAAAAAATGCTCGGGCCGTTTTTTTGTCCCAGTCCAGCCCTGACTGTAGCATACGGAGATAACGGCTTCGACAGATATACAGGGGCTAAACCATTTTAACATTTAAAAAACAAGCATCAGGATCTTAAAATCAACCCTGAATGTGACAAGAAGCCAGTGAAGTCAGGACAACACAGGGGTAATGTGCTCTCTCTTACGTGTCAGTCGGCAGAATGTAGACTTTGGTGTCATGATATTACTTATAGTCGTAATTGATTTGGCATTTGGATTGACATGTATAATAAACTGTATAACATTTGGAATGACCTTTATGATTTTTACATCTTGTTTTTCTCCACAGACAGTCAACAGGTCGACGCCATTCACGTCACTCAGCTGGAGAGAGACACGGTCCTGGTGTGTTTGGACCGTAAGTATTATGCTTCGTTGTCAATGTATATTTCCCTGATCTACTTATTTTTGTAACGCCCAGAATCATCTCGAAATGGCGTCACATAATTGTCGATTCGCCAGCAGCAAATTAGAAAACCATACGACTAGAAAACAAATACAACAATAAATCACCTAAGAGTTATTCATAGGATAACTGGTTAAATCGGATCTTGTACAAATCTCTCACTGAAATCTGAGTTGATGTTTTTTTTTGGTTGATTTGTAGAAAATTTGAAGATCGTGAATCTTCAGGGGAGACTAAAGTCGAACAAAAAGCTGGCGTCCGAGCTCAGTTTCAACTTCTACATCGGCTCCGTGGGTGAGTGAGGTTTGGTTGATGCTTTTGTTTCATGTTTGAGGACATCGTTTGGTCTGATTGTGTGTGGTGTGGACAGTGTGCCTTCAGGACAGTGTGCTGGCCTTCTGGAAGCACGGCATGCAGGGGAAGAGCTTCAAGTCCAACGAGGTAAGAACCATAATGATACTCGCCACACAATAACGGCTGTGTTCAGTTTATATGTATAGCACAGTTCATACACGAGGCAACTTAAAGTGCTTAATAAATTAAGACACATTAAAATCATAAATAATCACAGTACATTAAAAAGAGGGAAGAGTTAATCCTTCAGTTGTTTGCACAGATAAACAACTGTTTTTAACTTCGATTTGAACATTGTCAGAGATGAAGCCTGTCTCACATTTTCTGGAAGACTCTTCCAGATTTTGGCTGCATAAATCTGAAACGTTGCCTCCCCATGCTTAGTCTTGACTCTGGGGACCAGCAGGAGGCCAGTCCCTACAGCGTGAGTCCTGACTAGAACCAGGAAGTACGATCACATTAGTCCAGTCCTCAGGTCTCTGCTTCCTCAGAGAATAGACTTTAAAGCTGCTCTGTTTCTTACAAGTCTCTCCATGGCCTCGCACCAAAATACATCTGTGACATATTAGTGCCGTATGAACCAAGGAGGACTTTGAGGAGCACAGGGACTGGCCTCCTGCTGATGCCCAGAGTCAGAACTAAACATGGGAAGGCAGCATATCATTATTAATCAACTAAGATATGAAATAATCTTTGTGAAAATGTGAGACCGGCTCCTTATCTGATAATATCCAAATAAATGTTAAAAAGAGGTCTCTCTCTGGCCTCTCTCACTTTGGTGTCTCTCTCTCTGGTCTCTTTGGTCTCTCTTGGGTCGTAACTCTTTTTAATTCCTTGTGTGATGTTAGGCGACAGTAGCTCAGTTGGTAGAGCATTGGCCTTTGGGCCTGAAGGTCGTGGGTTCAAGCCCACCATAAGACCTACTTCACGACTCCCACTGATTACTGCTGTCGTTGTGTCCTTGGGCAAGACACTTAACCCCACTTTGCCTGAAGCTCCCACTGAAAGATCTCAGCTCCTGTGGACTCACCACCTGCAGGAGGATCAGTGAGGGGCTGGTGCTAAGTGTACTGGGTGCAGCTCTGACTGCCACCCCCCCCGACCCAGAAATGGATAAAGGGGAAGAAAATGGATGGATTTGTGATGTTAATGTTTCTTCTTGTTTAGTTCAGCACTTTGAGTTGCCTTGTGTATGAACTGTGCTATACAAATAAACGTGCCTCACCTGTAGAAGCCAACATTACACAGTCGTATGATCAAAGTGGGCGTGTGGTATCGTCGCCTCTGAACATGATCTTGTTTGTTCCACGTCTCGCCACATGCCTGTTTCTCATACAAAGGGCCTTTTATCCGCGCTGCTTCTCGAACGCACTGGACCTCAACACATTAAACCCATCCACACAAACACACATGGCCAGGTTACACACACACACACACACACACCACTGCAAAAAGTGATGGAAAATAAGTCAAAAATTGCTCCAATTTGGCGAAACTTTATGAGCACATTCTGACCGCCTTAAAACAAGATTTGAAAAATTATCTCATTTTAAAATGACTCCCTTGGACTCTCTCTGGTCTCTCTCTCTGGTCTCTCTCTCTGGTCTCTCTCTCTCTGGTCTCTTTCTCTGGTCTCTTCCTCTGGTCTCTCTCACAAATCAACAGTCAGAATGTACTCAGATTAAGATGAAACGATTCAATCATTTATTACTTCATATTCTATCATATTTTGCAGTGTGGGGAGCAACCCATGCTTTTAGCAACAACACTACAGGTCGTGTTTGTCGCGTTTGATTTAGTAAATGTCACCAAGCCGGTTAAAAATGCATGGTGATCATAAAGGGAGCAGGGGATTAAATATTCAGGAGTTTGAATTGTTCTGGTCGACCTGAGAGGAGTTCAGACGGAGACACGGCGGCAGGTGTGAAGGGCTGGAGCTGGGGTTACTCTGTGGAAGTCACTGGGAACTTTTCCGATGGAGAAATTGCTTTTCCATTTCAGTGTCAAACTTTTTACCTACATTTTAAAATCAGGTTCAGTTTATTATGTATTATTATTTATTTATTTTTCGCAGTAAAACAACATTGGAATACATGTGCAAAAGTCTGCATGCAACAGCCATATATATAAATAAAACAAGCTAAAAAGTGAAAGAAACTGTTGTCACTGTGAAATCGATCGACAAAAACTGTTTCACTACAAGTGAAGATCATTAAGTGCTTTGTTCGGACTGATAACAGCTTGAGGGAAGAAGCTGTTTCTCTCTCTCTGGTCTATCTCCTTCTGGTCCATCTCTGGTCTATCTCCTTCTGGTCCATCTCTGGTCTCTCTCTGGTCTATCTCTCTCTGGTCTATCTCTGGTCTATCTCTCTCTGGTCCATCTCTGGTCTCTCTATGGTCTCTCTCTCTCTGGTCTATCTCTGGTCTCTCTCTGGTCTATCTCTCTCTGGTCCATCTCTGGTCTCTCTATGGTCTCTCTCTCTCTGGTCTATCTCTCTCTGGTCTATCTATGGTCTCTCTCTCTGGTCTATCTCTGGTCTCTCTATCTCTGGTCGGAACTTACAGCAAAATCAATATCTTTAAAAAGTTTGGCTCCCAACTTCTTGCTCAGTTTTTTTTTTTCTTCCCCATGCCAAAAGTACTTGGTCTACACACCTGCACCTGTGTAGAGGATAAAGTCAAGCTGTATTTATGCTCAGTAAAAAAAAGGTTCTTTGGGATTTTAGCTCAAATAGAAGTCTTGCAAATGCGACAGGAGGGAATTCAAATGAAGCTAGAGTGGCCCTGTGTTTTCAGAGAATCGAGACTTCCGGCAAAATCAATACTTTTTTATTTGTTATCAAAACAATAATACCTGGTGTCGACTCTAGACCCTTAAGTCAAGCTGTATTTATTCTCAACACATGAAAAACAGCACTTTAGTTTGTTGATGTAGCACTTGATTCTCTGTGATGTATTTAAGCCAGAGTCAGACCAGAGTGTGTTGTTCACAGGTGACTCAGGAGATCTCTGACCCCAGCAGAGTGTTCCGCCTCCTCGGCTCCGACAGGTTTGTGCCTCTGCCTCAGTCACAACAACTACAGCAGCATCTTATACTAAACTACTAACTATAATCTACTGTCCCATTGGCATATCTCTTGGTCTCTCTTGGGTCTCTCTTGGGTCTTTCTCTCTGGTCTCTCCCTGGTCTCTCTCTCTTGCTCTGTTTCTCTCTTGCTCTGGTCCCTCTCTCCCTGGGCGCTCTCCCTGGTCTCTAGTTTCTCTCTCTTGCTTTGATCTCTCTGGTCTCTCTCCCTGGTCCCTCTCTGATCCCTCTCTCCCTGGTCCCTCTCTCTGGTCCCTCTCTCTGGTCCCTCTCTCTGGTCCCTCTCCCTGGTCGCTCTCCCTGGTCGCTCTCCCTGGTCGCTCTCCCTGGTCGCTCTCCCTGGTCGCTCTCCCTGGTCGCTCTCCCTGGTCGCTCTCCCTGGTCGCTCTCCCTGGTCGCTCTCCCTGGTCTCTCTAGCTGGTCTCTCACCCTGGTCTCTCTCTGGTCTCTCGCTCTTGTCCCTCTCTGGTCTCTCGCTCTTGTCCCTCTCTGGTCTCTCGCTCTTGTCCCTCTCTGGTCTCTCTCGCTTTGATCTCTCTCTGGTCTCTCTCCCTGGTCGCTCTCCCTGGTCGCTCTCCCTGGCGCTCTCCCTGGCGCTCTCCCTGGTCTCTCTCCCTGGTCTCTCTAGCTGGTCTCTCTCCCTGGTCTCCTGAGTTTGACTTGCCTGTAATCATTGTATTTCCTGTATATTATTATTATTATTATTGTTGCATTTCCTGGTTTGATTTTCTGATGTTGATGAATCTGTTGTTGTAAAGTCCTGCTTTATGATTGATTAGATTGAATTGGATCATTTCAGCGACACGCTTAAGAGGCCGATGGCGTCATAGTGAAGCTTGTAAACAAATTAAAATTTGACCTGTCCTCTTGCCCGTTTCCCTCGCTGTGCTAATGAGGAGAGAGAGGAGAGAAGAGGGAGAGAAGAGAGCAGAGAGGGAAAGAGAGGGAGAGAGGAGAGAGAGTGGATGCCCGTCCGGGTTCATGGTTTATTCAGACGCGTGGGCAGTGCCAGCCGGGTGTGAGTGTCTGCCTGTAATTTCATCTGACCTATCGGACAGTAAGGACCACAGCCCTCCCCTCCTCACCCTCCTCCCCCCTTTGTCACGGACGCAAAGACCAAAGACTGAGAAATCGCTCGGCTACGTTTGAACAAACCGCGGAGGTCAAACAACAGCAGAGCGGGCGCTGAGGGAGTGAGAGAAGATACAATCAGGGACATGATTGAATAGTAATAATGTATTTATTTTTTTCAATTCAATTTAATTTATGTTTATAGCCCTAAATCACAACAGTATTTATGGTCATTGGTCCATAAGGGGCAGATGATACATATTCATAAATGTCGAGCGTCTTGGATCATCACCACTGTAACAATGTGTAACATTTATTTTCTGAGCTTAATGTTGATGTACACTGTCTCTTTTAAATAAATACTAAACTAAACACACATTTTCTCTCTTAATAATTTGCCTTTTCCTCTGGCAGAGTGGTGGTTCTGGAGAGCCGGCCCACGGACAACCCCACCGCCTTCAGTAACCTCTACATTCTGGCTGGACACGAAAACAGCTACTGACCAAACTCCTCATGCTCCTCGTAAATCCACACAACGTTTGGGAGCCGAAATTACGGAGCCTCTTCTCAAAACACAAATCACCGGACGCACATTTTAGGAGCTAGCCCCCTGTTCGCGAAGGTCAACTCTTGTGAAGCCTTAGTATAAAAACGGACGATTAAACTTCTCAGAATTGTGGACTTTTGTTACTTTTTACTCTTCTAATTATTGTGTTACTGCATTAAGTGCCAATTTCTAACTCGTTTGGGAGATTTCTTACGATCAAACATCCCTATTTAAATCATTCTAGTGGGAAAGGTGCGTTTGATTCACCCACAGGAAATACTGGGTCAAAATCTCCCAATTTTAAATCCCATTTCTGCAGCTTCTGGTGGCGTTGTAAGATACTAGCGGCTGTTTCTTGGTTTTAAACGTTTCTGTACATTGTTTCTGTCTTTCTCTTCGTCGTCTTTTATAGCTTTTATTTCTATTATTTGCACCATGTAAGCACTTTTGTACATTTTTTTTTATTTAAATGACAAGATGAGGGACAATGCTAGGTTTGGCCGAACATCTCTTGCATTCCCCTTTTGCGAAACTGTAATGTAATGCTGTTTTTGTAATAAAAACAAACGCGGATGTTGAAAATGATTGCCTCGTCGAATGTATTAATTTATTATTCTATTTGGTTGATGGGTGAGAAACCTTCCTTTGTTTTATTAATTTATTGTTTATTTGGTTGGGACATTGCATGTAAATCACAAACACGCACCAATTCACCCTGAACTACATGTTTTTAGTGGTAGGGGAAACCGGAGCAGACACAGGGAGAACATGCAAACTCCACTTAGAATAGATTGTTTGAGTCGACTTTGGAATTGTTTTGTTTTCGAAACAAATTGGGATTTGTATCAAAGGAGTTGCCTAAAACCATGGGAAAACTGGAATAGCACTGGAGATTTATTCTAATTATTATAAATGTATTTATATTGCACCTTACAATTCTACAAACTACAAGTGCAATGTTTCTCTCCACAGAGATAAAGATTGAAATGTCAATGTCCTTTATTCATCCCACAGTAGAGAAATGTCAGTGTTGTATCACCAGTTACATAACAGTAGGAATGAGGAGCACATAGATTATAGAGGTATGAACAATACCTCTATAATCTAATCTCTAGCTTTAGCATAAAAAGAAGCAAGTCTAAAATACTGTATACTAGTTCAATATACTTGTATGTTTACATCTGTACATTAGCAGCATGAGGGTCTGGGACACAGTGACTCAGTAAAGTGATTTCTATTCACCCGAATCTTGCTTTGTTTAGTATTTTTTTTATTCTTGGAAAAACCTTCTGTAGATTACACCACCCCCATATCACTGCATGTTCCTGTGGTGTTTTGAAGTTGACACAAGGATGAATGCACACAGTGACATCACCGGCTCCTCTGGGACCCATTAGAGACGAGGAGATCCGGGTGAATGGAATATGCAACAAGGGATGAGGTTTTTGTTTTCTTCGACTCCTTGAAACACAAGTTTCCTCGAATGACCAAATACGTATCACTCTTACAGTTATACAAAGCAAATAAAATAAAATCGTATCTGTCTTTGGATTTATAAGCACTGTTTTTCGATTCAATTCGGTTTATTTGTGTTTAGTGAATGAAGACAGAAGCAGCTGCTGTGTCTTGTGCATCTGCAACACAGTTTTTACATGACGTGTATCAATGTGCACAAGACCAGAGACATAGAGATTTTAAACCTTGTGTTTACCTCGAGTCAAATTGAATCATCAAAATACCCTAAATATTTTTAGAGCTGATTTGTTTATATTTTTTCCCAACCAGAAGCACCGGGTCATTTGCATTGTTTAGACCCTAAATTAAAATCTAAAAGGGTCTTTTTAATCTCTGTGGTGGATCATTTTGACCCGAGGGTTGCACAAAATGTCACAGATGCCAAATATATAGATGCTATTAGCAATGTGGGTCAGAAGAAAAACGTTCAATTGAGATGATGTTTAGTCCTCAGGTCTCTGCACTGGCTTCCTGTGGCTCAGAGAATAGACTTTAAAACAGCTCTGCTTGTGTACAAGTCTCTCCATGGCCTCGCACCAAAATATATTAGTGACATGTTAGTCCCATATGAACCAGCCCGGACTCTGAGGAGCACAGGGACTGGACTCCTGTTAGTGCCCAGAGTCAGAACTAAACATGGGGAGGCTGCTTTTCAGATTCATGCTGCTAAAATCTGGAACAATCTTCCTGAAGATGTGAGACAGGCCTCCTCACTGACAATGTTTAAAACCAGGTTAAAGACAGTTCTGTTTAACTGTGCATACAACTGAGGGATTTTATATTTTTATCTTTCTTTTTAATGTTCTGTGATTATTTATGATTTTAATGCTTTCTTGTTTTGTTCAGCACTTTGAATTGCCTTGTGTATGAATTGTGCTTTACAAATAAACTTGCCTTGCCTTAGTAGTAATATAGAGATAACAGAGTCGGATTCAACAGCAGTCTTCTCACAGGGCTTTACTAAGATGTTGATATTGTACATATCTGACCTGAAGAGGCCATATTTGTTGCCTCTATCATGTTTGCACACTTCTTTTGCACAATCTGAGTGATCCTATATATGTAAATTTCTCAAGTGTGAGATCAATAAAGTCTATCTTATCTTCACCATCAACAGATCAGATGAACAAACAGTTCAAACACAGGATGTGCAACAATATCAAACACAGAAGCCATTGGTCAATCAATCAATTAATCAAACTTAATGTATAGAGCCGTTTACAACATTCAAGGCAACCAAAAATACAATAAAAAAATAAAATCTGTTAAAAAGCAAAGTGTCATCGGGCTGATGAGTTTTGAGCCTCAATTTAAAAAGGCCAAAATCAGTGCATACTACTACTACTACTACTACTAGGTTCTTCCAGGAGGAGCTGATGCCCGAGTTATGAACAGACAAGAGTTTGGACAAGTACAGAGGATCGAGACTATTGAGGATCATCACCGTCCTCAGACCCTCCTGCATCAACAAGGACTAAATAATATTAGAAAAAAGTAACAAACAAAGAGGAGACCAAAATTGAGAGAAGGATCCTCTAAATATAACAATAAAACGTCCCATTTCCTCGTCTACACAGACAGAGACTCACAGAGAGAGAAAGAGAGGAGACTGTTTAAGCAGATGTGTCACTTTCGCCTGCTTTGTTTTCAAACTACAGCCTTTTGTTTAGTGGGAGGTTTACAAGATACTTAAGTTACTGCTGTTCCTGCTCAGTGTATGTAAAGTTGAGTGGGAAGCATTCTGTTCTCCATGGAGACGGGACATACATCCTGGTCATAATTGTGGAATTTAATAGTGTTTCTTATGGCAACGTTTGCTGGATTTAACAAGATGAAATGATTGTAGATGCAGTAAATTTGGAATGTTCATAACAAGACAAAAGACATTTTTGAGGCCAAGAATGTGATGTCAACCAGAAAACCTTTCCAATGTTTTCAGAATTTATGCAAAATGAGAACTATTGTCAAAGTGTAGACACTGTATAACCATTAAACCAATATTATATGTTTTGGAAATAGTCCTTAAATGTTGCATGAATGTTATCTGAAGCTGAAAGCAACAAGTCAAGTTAGGATTGTCAAAAATCTATTCTAAGACTAGTCAAGATATATACTGAAGTTTAATGTTACTATAGCTGAGGAAAAGTATGACTCATATCAAAAATAAAATACACTTTATTAACATTACTTATAGATATACAATGATATATACGACCCCAGCCTGCGTAATTATTGATAATAAGTCTTTATCTAAATGTATGGACATCGTCATCCCACTATAGACCAATGGCTCCAATGTTATTCTTGTATTCAAACTGTGTGATTCTCCGATCTGTTGTTGAGGAATGGACAACTTTATATAGTCCTCTGAGACGACTGCTGTTTTGATTCAGGGGTGTTCTATTCTACTTCCGGTTGGCATTTTATTTTGAAAACTAACCGGAAGTCAGTCCGTCTCTGTTTAAAATGCTGCTGTGTTTGAAGGGCACCTCAGTCCGTGTGCAGCGTTCTCCATCTCTGCATCAAGACACAACACCGCGACTTTTACAGCTTTGCAACTCGTCTGCGTCAAAGTAAGTTGATTTGAGCCTTCTGAATGACTAAAGCTAGCTTAAACGTGTTCTTGTTTTGCACCAAATTGTCTAAGTCCATTCAAAAAGTTGTGTTTGTCAAATTGTTTGCTAATATTTTGAACTAAAACGTGCAGAATTCTTGTTAACTTGAGTGTTTATATATATTTTCACCAAATATTCAACTTTTAACGTTTACTACTTTATGGTAAGCCAAGGCAGGTTTATTTGTCTCGCACAGTTAATAGTTACACAAGGTATTCAAATTATAGATAATAATAGGAGTAAAGATACAATCCTTCAGTTGTATGCACAGCTAAACAGAATTATTTTTGACCTGGATGTGCACATTTTCAGAGCAGTCTTTCTGACCTGTCTCACATTGTCAGGAAGACTGTCCCTTGACGATACGTTTGTTTTCTCCGCTGTTTTATTCCCTGTTGGAAGCATTTGTTTGGTTGTGGACAGGTGTAGTGTTCCTTCTCTGCAATGAAAACTCCTACATTGGAAACTGCTCATCTCAACATATTATATTTCAATGGGTCATGTGTGTTATTAAATATAGCAGCATTTGTATAGATGTGTGTTCGTTATTATTTTGTATATGTATTGTCATCGTTTTCTCATTTCATGGCTTGTGTGTGTGTGTGTGTGTGTTTGTGCGTGTGTGTGATTAGACTGGTTTTATGAGAGTGACTTCTATGGTATTTTCTATCTATTGCAGCACTTTGGAAAATTGTCTTGTTTATGAAACCTTTTTGGTTTAGCCTGGCCTTAACACACCATCGTACAAATTTAATTTTGTAAATGATAGGTAAGTAGGTAAATGATAATTGACCAGAGTTTACAGAGGACCCAGGCCAGGCTATATTGGATTGAGATTTTTCTCTGTCTGCAAAGATTTCCTGCGGGTGCTCCAGTTTCCCCAGTTGCTATAGACACAGCACTTTATTTAGATCATGCTGAATAAGTGTGTGTTTGTGTGCCCATTAAAACACTATTCCAACAAAATAAACACTCAATTATACTGTAATACCGCTGCCTTCTATTACTGCCTTCTATTACTGTCTATTACATAGATTAAGATTAGGAGCATAAGAGATTCGTACAGTAGGAATGAGGAGCACTCGACACCGTTCTATATGAATTTATAAATGTAAAATGTTGTTTACCTTTGCAATTATACAAGCGTAGACATGGCAACAGGTGACCTATTTCTTGTGTTGTCTCTTTGCCTCATTAAATGTTGTTCTCTCACCGTTTGAACTCCACAGGTGGTCAGAGTCGGGAGTTTAGCTCATCCCCAGAGAATTCAGATTTGAACCAGAAACGGGGTCAGAGCGGCGTCACCTGCTGAAGATGGAGAAGTATGAAAAGATCGGAAAAATCGGCGAGGGATCGTACGGCGTTGTGTTCAAGTGCAGAAACAAAGACACGGGACAAATCGTAGCCATCAAGAAGTTTGTGGAGTCAGAGGACGATCCAGTGATAAAGAAGATCGCACTCAGAGAGATACGGATGCTGAAGGTAAGGGACCACAGGGACGTCGCTAACACGTATGCTAGCAACTTGTCGATGGCAAGTTCATTTGTATAGCACTGTTCATGCATAAGGCAACTCAAAGGTCTCAGCAAAGGTAGATAGAAAGAATCATGGAAGGCATTAAAATTAATAATCACATTGTATTAAAAAGAGGGGTTAGCACTCTTGCTTCTCAGCAAGAAGGTCCTGGGTTTTGAAGATAATATGCAAGAGTCCTGGGTTGTGACATAGACAGAAGATGTTTATTGATGGTTTACAAAGAGACACGTCACAAAGATTTGCTGCGTGCATATTTTAAACCATGGAGCATTATAGACACTCCTCTGAGCATGTGTGGCGGTGCAGTTGTGCTAGTTTGACTTTCGGAAAACCAAAACATTCAAGTGGAAAATCCCCTTATGTTCCTCAAACAATATAACAACATGTGCAATAGGTAATGTCCTCCAGCTCTGGTCCTGACCAAGCCGCGCATCAACTTCAACTGGACTACGGCCACCACTGTTCCCTAGTGGCACTGCAGGATGGGTCAAATGCAGAACAGCCCTTCAGAGGATGATTAACCTTGACCTTAACAATCCTTCAGTTGGATGCACAGATAAACAGAACTGTGCTTAACCTGGATTTAAACATTGTTAGAGAAGAAACCTGTCTCACATTTTCAGGAAGACTGTTCCAGATTTTAGCTGCATAAATGAAACGCTACCTCCCCGTGTTTAGTCCTGACTCTGGGCATCAGCAGGAGACCAGTCCCTGTGCTCCTCAAAGTCTGAGTTGGTTCATATGGCACTAACACAAATCACCAACAGCTTCTGTTCTTGGACATGCTGCAGTATAAAATGAAAACGTTTAACTAAAATTATGGATGTTAATAATGTAACAGTAGTGTGTGCGTGTGTGTTTGTGTGTGTGTCGGTTTTACACACTTCAAATCTAAGTTAATTAAAACAAACGTAAACCTATCATGGATTTTTTTTGGGGGGGTTTTAATTTCCTGGATTTACTTTTCACTGAGCAGATTTTATGTCCGTGAAATGTTCCTCTCGGCTGGGGTCCTCCTGACGAGAAGGAAGCGTTTTTGTTGGCTCATTATGAACTGGAGGCTGGACGTCCACAAACACAACACAAAAGAACAGACCTCACTCCTGCTTCTTCTGCTGTAGACCCAGGCTCTGACACCAGTGGCTCATTGTTATGGATTTACTACTTTTGAAATCTGGATATAATATGGAGCCAAGAGACACAGGTACATATAGACACAGAGAGACACAGGTACATATACAGTACAGACCAAAAGTTTGGACACACCTTCTCATTCATAGTTTCTTTATTTTCATGATTATGAAAATTGTAGATTCACACTGAAGGCATCAAAACTATGAATTAACTCATGTGGAATTATGTACGTACTAAAAAAAAGTATGAAACAACTGAAAATATGTCTTATAGTCTCGGTTCTTCAAAGTAGCACCTTTTGCTCTGATTACGGCTTCACACACTCTTGGCATTCTCTTGATGAGCTTTATGAGGTAGTTTCAACAGTCTTGAAGGAGTTCCCAGAGATGCTTAGCACTTGTTGGCCCTTTCGCCTTCACTCTGCGGTCCAGCTCACTCCAAAACCATCTGGACTGGGTTCAGGTCCATTGACTGTGGAGGCCAGGTCATCTGGCCCAGCACCCACCACTCTCCTTATTGGTCAAATAGCCCTTATACAGCCTGGTGTGAATCTACAGTCAATATTCATGAAAATAAAGGACACTCATTGAATGAGAAAGTGTGTCCAAACTTTTGGTCTGTACTGTAGACACAGAGAGACACAGGTGAAACACGAGGGCGGGGCAGACAATCAACAGGGGAACAGTACAGGAAGTAAAACTAACCTAAAACCACACAGAACTAAAAATAAAATAAAACCAAGCATAAAATAACAAAATCCACTCCATGACACATGTATTATCCTCCACACACGTCTTCAGTGCTTAGAAAATCCCTGTTTTCACCTATCACCTATCCCTGCCCCATTTCTTTAGACTTTATGTGACCTGAATTAATCTGAAACCTGTATGTGATTTGATGAGTCTTGTTTGTCCCCTGTCACATCTGATCTGCTTTTTCAGACAGAAAAGTGACACAGCCAATCAGCGCTCAGCCCAAAGCTTCAAATAGTGACTCAAAGGCAGTGTAATGGTTAGCACTTGTGCCTCACAGCAAGAAGATCCTGGGTTGGAGTCCGCTGTGGGACTAAATGTGCTCCAGAGGCTTCAGTCTAGTGTTCATTAATACATACAGTTCCAACAAAATAAGTTACAAATATTTGGAATGCACGATACATAGTATAAAATGTTTTTACTTTTCTATTAAACTTTGCGATTAACGTTTCCTTACTGATCTGAGGATGATATTATAGGAATCCATATGCTTGCAAGGTTCAGGTTCAAGTTACAAAACAAACAAACTTAAAAATAAACTGGTTTGGTTTCAAAGACCACACTTCATATGAAATCTATTACTATTGGAAATATACTAATCTTTTGGGGCGACAGTAGCTCAGTTGATCTGGTCTTTGGACCTAATGGTTGTGGGTTCGAGCCTACCACGACCCATGTCACCTGCTCCCACTGATGTCTGCTGTCGTTGTGTCCCTGGGCAAGACACTTAACCCCTCTTTGCTTGAAGCCCCCGCTGAAAGACCAAGGCCTTGTCTTTAATCACGGAGAAGCCATCATCCTGTGGACTCACCACCTGCAGGAGGATCAGTGAGGGACTGGTGCACTGAGACTTGGGTGGCAGCTCTGATTGCCACCCCCCCAATCTACAAATTTAAATAATATCTTGGCAGAAAAAAAATAAGGTCAGTTACCCCAGCTTTAAAGTAGAGTTGACATTCTGCTTCACATGTGTAGTTTTGCATCTGTAATGTGCTTGAGACTAAATAAATACATTATTAAATTATAGCAGCCACTCAAACTGTGATTGCAATTAATCTTCCAGCCTCATACTCACAGAAGCTCACCGTTTCCTCCGAAATGTTTACTAATTTAGTTTTTGTTCTTAAAACTGAAGCCTCTCGCCGTCTTTGTGGCGGTTAAATTAGCGATTCAGATTCACAGATCACAGAGCAACATCGTCATGGATACGGCCATTTACAGGCAGCTGGGCCAGACTCAAACCAGAGACAAAGCAGTCAACACTAAGAAAGTCCTCTCGCCACCGGACGAGTAGAGTTGGTTCAAAGATTCTCCAACTTTTAAGATAAGATAAGATAGACTTTATCGATCTCACACTGGAGAAATTTAAATGTCAAATCTGGCAACAATAGAGTCACTCAGATTGTGCAAACAAAATATAGTCTGCGCAGGATATAATTATGTAGAATAAAAAAGTGGCAATAAAAGAAAGAGTGGCAATAGCAGTGCTGGTTTCTCAGTCCTAGTGCATCAGTGACTTTAAGTGTCTTATAGCCCCGCCATGTTTAGATATCTGCTCATTGTGTCTCATTTGATTGCATAAGACTTCAGATGGTTTTTTTTATCCCATTGGTATTGGAATCCAACTATACCATTTTCAAAACTCGATAAAAATAAAATGTTATCCTTGTGATAATAATGATAATGCTTACCGCTTTTTTCACTCCATACACGGTGGCGATAAACTAGTGGTGGCCATACCTGCACCAGGGATGATCAATGTTCTTAAATGTCCTGGTACTACGAAATCACTTGAATGTGATTTGTATTAGACTAGATTATTTAAGTTAGTAATCTTTTATTTAAATAGTGCTAGTTTTGTTCAAATTCACAGACCAAGATCACAAAAAGCATTTTATAGCGAGACACAGAACACACTGGTCATCACCATCTGTTCACCCTCTCATTACAGTCAGACCTATCGTACATGTTATCAGTTGTAGGTTTTGAGCGGTTTGTTTGTCTCTAGGGGCTTCTATGGCACGTTTTTACAGACTAAGGTCACCCAAAGCGCTTTACACTGATCAGAGCCTTCGCATCCGAGCCAAACCCTGAGTCACAGTCTCCAAGTTCAACTCTAGTCCCATGTCCAGTTTGTGGAGTGAACTCATCTCTCAAATGTCACTGTGTGTGAAAACAAACCACACATAACCTTGTCTCTGTCCCCTGATTTAGACCTGGTTTGGTTCCGGTTAAGTTGTTCCCGTTTTGTCGTCCCAGTCGTTCTGGTTTTGTCGTCCTGGTTTTGTCGTCCTTGTCCTTCTGGTTTTGTCGTCCTTGTCCTTCTGGTTTCGTCACCTGGTTTTGTCATCCTGGTTTAGACCTGGTTTAGACCTGGTGCCTTGAATCACAAATGCTAACCATCAAATCGATGATGAAGCCTTCGCAAACCCTGAGTCAACCCAAGTTCAACTCTAGTCCCAAGTCCAGTCCGTGGAGTGAGCTCATCTCTCAAATGTCACTTCACTTGGGTGTGTTTACAAAGTGCTGTGTGCCTTGATTTTAGAAAACAAACCACAAATAACCTTGTCTCTGCCCCTCCTGTAGCCAGAGCCTGTACACCTTGTTCAAACATCTCGCGCCGCTGCCTGTGTCTCTGTGGAGGCAGTGTATTGTCCTCGTCTGGATGACTGATGCTGTCCACATATTGTTCACATTTCTGCTGCGCGTCTTGTGTCTCTGCAGCAACTGAAACACGCAAACCTGGTGAATCTGATCGAGGTGTTCAGGAGGAAGAGGCGGCTCCACCTGGTGTTCGAGTACTGCGACTACACCGTGCTCAGTGAGCTCGACCGCCATCCCAGAGGGTAAAGGACGTGTGTGAAAAAGATATGTTTTAGACCTGGTTTAGTCCAGGTTTAGACCTGGTTTATAACTGGTTTGCACCTGATTTAGTCCCAGTTGCGACATGGTTTCGACCTGGTTTAGTCCTAGTTAAATACCAGTTTAATCCTGGTTTAGACTTGATTTAGTATTGGTTTAATCCTGGCTTTTCCCTGGTTTAGTCCTGATTTAGTCCTGGTTAAGTTCTGGTATAGCCCTGGTTTATTCCTGATTTAGACCTGGTTTGGACCTGGTTTAGTCCTGGTTTCGACATGGCTTAGATTGGACCTGGTTTACTCCTATTTTAGACCTGGTTTAGACCTGGTGTCCACGCATCTGAAGTACAGCTTGGAAGTACAAAAATCTATGGATTGTTTTTGATATTCATATTTGAGTTTCTCTTCTAACCTGGCTAACCTGGCTAACGGCTACTTTACTATTGTGAAGTTCAGACAAGCCTCTGTGATCCAAGATGGCGCCCTATTCAAACCAATGGCTTGTGCTCAGTAGCGCATGTGACCACCATGGGCACCAAAAGATTAGTGGAACTCACAGGATATCGTCTGGTTCTCCTGGTTCTGCGCAGTATACGAGCTCCCATGATGCTTTGCGCATGTGTGGCTCTCATGCACAAGCATCGAGGGGCACGACCGCGGTTTGACCAATCAGAGCTGCTGATCAGAGAGGAGCTTGAGCGGGAAACAAGTAGAGTTTGTTGCATGAAAGTGACCTTTATGAAAGCTGTAGGTTCGGTCAGCTGAGGAGGTTGAGCTGTTTTAGTTTACATTGAGATCTATGGGACAGTACACGTCCCATCCATGGCGCCTCCTGTGCCCATGGATGGGACCGCTCTAAGCTAGTAATACCCCATGCTGCTAGTAGAGTAGTTTCAGAGTCCAGACCACTGCATTATCCTCTTACACAAGTACATTTCCTAAAGTTATTTTTCTCTGTTAAATCTCTCTCAGCTGCGATCCATAAATCCTCCCAACACTGAGACCTGTGTACTTTTTATTACCGCGGCACACATCACCCCCCTTCTCGCCCTCACCCCGTTCTATTGCCCCGGGGCAAGGCTATCGTTGCCCGGGCGACCCCAGCTCTTACGCCGAGAATGTTTACCGCCGCGATGATCCCCCAGAATGCTTTGCTGCGGTTACTGTTTCAATGCTGTTTCTGTCCAAAGAACCCCAAAGTCCAGACCAGAGGGAGGGAGGCTATTTTAGTAGAAGTGTAGTAGAAGTGTGGTAGCGATAGTGCCTCCTATGGAAATTGTCAGTCACCTCCAAAGTATTTTTTGGAGACATAAGAGTCAATTAAAGATTAGAATAGTCTTGCAGTTCTGAGTGTTCTGAGCTCTAGTAGCAGTAGCAATACACAGATACATGTGTGTACGTATTTACTGAGTTACAATCTGTTGGTCAGTAAAGTTAGCTTTAGGGAAAACCTGAGCACATGGAGGAAACTTACGGTGACATAGGAAGAGCACACAGAAAGGCAGGTGTAGTTTACTCCTAGTTTATTCATTCCTTGTTTAGTCCTGTTTTAGACCTAGTTTAATCAGTTAAGACCTGGTTTAGTCCTGTTGTATATTTTTACTGATTTACAATCTGTTTAGTGTGACTGAATAGGCAAGATCACTTCACTCAAATGAAACAAAACACCAGGACCTTGATTGATTCACTGTTTGCTAATTCAAAGTTGATATATTTTAGAATTGTTTTAGAATGTGTGTGATTGCATTCAAGCTAGGCCCATTCGCCCATCCATTTTCATTCACTTTATCCACAAGAGCCCTAGACAATAAAGTTTATCTATTCTTTTTTTAAGGAATTTTTAGTTATACATTGTTACATTGTTACTCAATCTTTTTCCTTTGTCTCTTCTCATGTTATTCTTAAATTTATAATGGGTGTAATCTGACTTTTGCAGAGTTCCGGAGCAGCTGGTAAAAAGCATCACTTGGCAAACGCTGCAGGGCGTCAACTTCTGCCACAAGCAAAACGTGAGTGACGAGTTTTTTATCTCTCCAGAACAGAGAATATCAGACAGTGAGCAACATCCATTAGCATTGACTTTACAGAGAAATACAAACGTTACAAACTTAATCCTCTGGTAAAAAGGTCATAGTCCATCACTGCACTCTCCTTTTCCCTGGTTCCCACCAAACTCTATCTTTACGATGGTTTTTACAAGAATTCCTTCCCGCCTTTGGTTCAGGTATCGCAGAGACGCCAGCGCTGAGGAGTTTGGACTATTTTACAGTTTCTCTCCTGTGTTTCCAGAAAGTACGTCACTAAACCACCAGCGAAATGTCAATGCTCACCTCATTATTGCATCCATATTTATTTCTGGGCTTTCACAAATAGCTGTGTGAAATAAGGCTTTAGAACAGTGGGGTTTTTTTGTTTGTTTTTGCCGATGCAGGAGGGTCTAAGGACAGCGATGGGGAGGTAAAAAAAATCATAATTAAACTAATTCATAATTTTACTGACAACTTCAAAGCTGGGTAACTAATACTGTATGTAGTTCCTCTTTTTGGACCAATGACTCCTCTGTCTCTTTGTTATTATTAGATTTTACTGATCTGTTGTTGGCGAATCAACAACTTAGTAAAGTCCTCAAAGACGACTACTGTTGTGATTTAAGGCAATACACAAATCCATTCAATTGATGGGGGAAATGCAGGTAAGTTGCATTTATCTGATAGTTTTGCTTTTGTTTCAGTGCATCCATCGAGACGTCAAACCAGAAAACATCCTCGTCACCAAACACCAGGTCATCAAACTCTGCGACTTTGGCTTTGCCAGGATCCTCAGTGAGTCACTGCACTCTGTAATCTTCTCAAGCCACAAAATGAAGCTGATTATAATTTTTAATGAGAATTTTATGTTACTGCCAAAGAGTGGGTCTTAAAGTGGCAGAGATCCGATCGCAGAGCTACTTTCATAAAACAGAAAGGGTAGAGAGCTACTCCGTCACATTAAAATAGTAGAAGAAATAATACTAGTCTCTACTCCTTCTGATTGTTTCCATTACGCTTTAGTATCTGGTACAGTATCCTAGCAACCTACCCACAACAAACCAGTATCCATAGAAATAGGCAGTAGGGTTGAGAACCAAGTTTAGCTGGTGTAAAAAGTGCCTATGTTGCCAGATAGGTACGCCCCTCATGATTCTCCCCTCTGTGCTCTCTGCAGCTGGTCCCTGTGACTACTACACAGACTATGTGGCGACCCGCTGGTACAGGGCCCCTGAGCTGCTGGTGGGGGACACTCGGTACGGGCCCCCGGTGGACGTATGGGCTGTGGGCTGTGTGTTCGCAGAGCTGCTGTCAGGACTCCCACTGTGGCCCGGCAAGTCGGACATGGACCAACTCTACCTCATCCGCAAGACTCTGGGTGAGGGTGAGGGAGGGAGGGAGGGAGGGAGGGAGGGAGGGAGAGAGAGAGAGAGAGAGAGAGAGAGAGAGAGAGAGAGAGAGAGAGAGAGAGAGAGAGAGAGAGAGAGAGAGAGAGAGAGAGAGAGAGAGAGAGAGAGAGAGAGAGAGAGAGAGAGAGAGAGAGAGAGAGAGAGAGAGAGAGAGAGAGAGAGAGAGATTCTTGTATAGCTCTAAATTACAATAGCAGTCAATATGAATGTGTATATACCAGACTCTTCTTTCAGATTATCAAGGAAAAGATAGAGATAGATATAAGATAAATAGAGCTTGTTGAAGTAGAGCACACTCTTTTCAGTTCCATTCAATCATAATTTTTTTGTAACTCTTAATCACAACAACAGTCGTCTTGTAGGACTTTGCAACGTTGTGGATTCGCCAACAACAGATCAGAGATTGAATCAGTTTGAACACAGGAAATGCAATACTAACAAACACATTGGGGTCATTGGTCCAAAGGGAGCGGGATGACCACTGTCTGTAAATGTGTTTGAATGTCCTGGATCATCACTGTCCTTAGACCCTCCTGCCTCGGAAAAAGAACCACTCAAAGAAAAGTGAGAAATCTCTGGGAGGCCCATATTGAGAGATGGATCCGCTCGCACGGATTGACGGGCAGTAGACCCAGGACTGAGGCTGTAGACCCAGGACTGAGGCTGTAGACCCAGGACTGAGGCTGTAGACCCAGGACTGAGGCTGTAGACCCAGGACTGAGGCTGTAGATCCAGGACTGAGGCTGTAGACCCAGGACTGAGGCTGTAGACCCAGGACTGAGGCTGTAGATCCAGGACTGAGGGTGTAGATCCAGGACTGAAGAGACTCCAAGGTGGGGAGGGATGCAATTTGCTTCTTTCATTCATTCTCCGAAGAATTTGAACAAAAATACAGCACTATACATTTTCATTGTTGAAAATGAATTGTTGAATAGCTTCTGTTTGCCTCGTGTTGTTTTCAATCATTAAAATGCATAATCTGTATTAATGCACTGATGATAGATTTATTGTTTATGTTTCAGGAGATCTTATTCCTCGACATCAGCAGGTTTTCAGTAACAACCAGTTTTTCAGCGGGGTCTCGATTCCAGAGCCTCAGGAGATGGTGAGCGAGTTTAGGTTTAGTTTAAACTTTGGGAGAGAAGTTAACTTTATTTAACTATAACAATATCTTTCTCTGGTTTTAGGAGTCTCTGGATCAGAAATATCCAAACCTGTCACATCAAGCACTGAGTTTAATGAAGGTAAACTACTGTCATTACTACTACTACTGCTACTGCTACTGAGGGAGACCAGAGAGAGGGAGAGATCAGAGATAGAGACAAGAGAGAGAGATACCAAAGAGAGAGAAAGAGACCAGGGTTTGGGTTAGAGATGGAGACCAGAGATAGAGTGAGGGACATGAGAAAGATAAAGACCAGACACAGAGAGGGGTAAAAGGAGAAAGAGAGAAACCAGAGACAGAGAGGAGGAAAAGGAGAAAGAGAGGGACGAGAGAGAGACCAGAAAGAGAGGGACCAGACAGAGAAAGACATGAGAGAGAAAAACACCAGAGAAGGAGAGCAGAGAGAGACCAGAGGGTCCAGAGAGAGGGAGACCTGAAAGGGAGAGAGGGACAAGAGAAAGGGAGAGACCAGAGAGAAAAGGGACAGAGAGAGACCAGCAACAGAGAGTGATCAGAGATACTCACATTAAAGTATATCATCTACATGGAGCTATATAAACACTACTACTATTACTATATATTATTATATATTACTGCTACTTGTAAGCGGTACTCCTGGCTGTAGCGTATAACCGTGCTCTCTCCTCAGGGCTGCTTGCGGATGGACCCCTCGGAGCGCCTGTCCTGTGAGCAGCTCCTCCTTCACCCGTATTTCGACTCGATCCGAGAAAAGAACCAAAGCATGACTCGCGACAAGAGAAGCCGACCCCAGAGGAAACACCTCCCTCCTGGGGTGAGTCTGCTGCCAACACACACCCCCCTTCTGGTGCTAAGATACCACCAGGAAAAACACAAGACTTACAGGAGAATTACAGGGGGTTGTTTTTAGTCAACAAATGAGACTATTTACTGTACTTTGTCATTTCAGGTTTTAGAGTGTGGAAGGAGAGACTAGAGAGGGAGAGTAGATGATGCTTGTCTCACAGTTTCAGGAAGACTGTTCCAGAGTTTTATGTCTGTTTCCCTCTGATTCCAGTACTTACCACAGCTGACGGGCAGCAGCATCTTCCCCACTCTGGATCACAAGAAATATTACAACCTCAGAAAATTCAACTACCACCTCCCAAACATCTAAAACACCATCAACTCAAACCAGATTTATGTTGTTTTTTTTGTTTTTGATTTTTCTACATTATTTTTATTAGTTTTTCTCATGTTTAGAACAGTGAGAGAGAGACCAGCATGATAAAGAGACCAGAGTGAGAAAGACTAGAGAGAGACCAGAGTGAGAGAGAGACCAGAGTGAAAGAGGGACTGGCATGAGAGAGGGACCAGCGTGAGAGAGAGACCCGAGTGTGTGAGACCCGAGTGTGTGAGACCAGAGAACCAAGATTCAAACCACTTTATTTGTTCTTTTTAACATAATTTTCTGGAGTTTTTTCTAAAGTGGAAATCTCCATATCAGTCTATGCACTATGTTTGCCATAAAGGCTGTTTGTGTAGTTTTGTAGATGACAAAGAGACGTCTCTGCTTCCTGCGACAGAAGGTCACGGCCTCGCACTGTTCGCCAAATCTTTTATTGTCTATAGTGCAGGGGGTCTCCAACCTTTTCCCTTTTCCTTCTTTTTTCAGGACAACACTGGTAGAGAGCGACTGCTTTTTTATTGTTGGCAAATTGTTTTAAGACTGTCAAAATGTTCTCTAATCAATTAGCCAAAATTGGTTTCTCCCTCTCTGCCCTTTCTCTCTCTAGTCTCCCTCTCTCTGGTCTCCCTCTGTTTGGTCTCCCTCTGTTTGGTCTCTCTCTCTCTCTTTGGTCTCCCTCTCTCTGGTCTCTCCCTCTCTGGTCTCCCTCTCTTTGGTCTCTCTCTTTCTGGTGTCCTTCTCTCTATAGGTTGGAGACCCATGCTATAGTCATCTGTGGTGATGTAAAGGGCTTAGAAGTGAATGAAATCTATATATTTATTGACAAAAGGAATGGATGACATTGGTTCTCAGATTTTGTTGTAACAGCTCAAAAATACTGTAATTTACAACAATGCAAACGTCTAAAGCGCGAGTTATAAAACAGAGTTGTCTTGTGAAGTTGGAAAGAGACTAAACCAGGATTGAGCTAGCATAGCATGAGCTGCAAAGTGGGTGGAGCTTAGGTTTCTGGAAGTCAAAATCCTGGAATAACAATAAAAAGTAGGGCTTGCCTCTGGGCTAAACGCGGACTGGTACTTTCCCCACAGTTTGAGAACCACTGCCCTGTTGTAGCATTTTCAGACTGAGAAGGCATTTGGTGCTAAGGACGCATTCACGGCCATCACTTTGATCTAATGTACAAACGCCAAATGTTTTAATGTGTCTGTGTCTGAGGTCGACTTTTGTAACAGATAAAAAAATAAAGTTATTGAATGTTAATATGATGTCGTGAATGAAAAGGACCAGAGAAAGAAAATACAGAAAGAGAGAACAGAGAAAGAAACTAGACAGAGAGAGAACAGAGAGACCAGAGAAAGAAAGACCAACAAGAGAAACCAAAGAGAGAAAAGAGATAGAACAGAGAAAGACCTGAAAGGGACCAGATAAAGAAAATACAGGGAGAGAAACCAGAGAAGGACAGACCAGAAAAATCCAAAAGGGTACATTTCAAACTTTATTGTCAATACTTTGCTACCATTTTATCATTCTGATTTCTGCAACACAAAAAAACACAAAATTAAACTATATATTTATCATTTTACTTTAGCAACATGTACAAAAGAAGCTAGCCACAACGTTGTCATTTCCGTGCCTGTATACTTTCCTCTGCGATTATTTTTCCAAGGATTCAAAGCTCAGTTCAAGTCCAAGTCGATGTCGAGCTTTGGTAGAGCAGTTTTTAACCTCTGCACAGTCGTGTCTTTGTCTTTGACTCAGGGAAGATCGCTGAGGAACAAGTACTCCAGCTTCCTGTGGGAGAAATATCAAATAAATAGTTATGAGGATATTCATAAAGAACAACCTCTATGCGGATTGAGGATTCTAAAGGTGGGGTACTTAACTTTAGAACCACAGAAAATGATATGACCATAATGCATGTGCAGTATTGTTGACATTTTTGGATCAACTTTTTCAGACAGACCAGAGAGAGAGTGACCAGAAAGAGAGAGACCAGATGGATACCCCAGATATAGGCCCAGAGAGAGACAAGATGAAGAGACCAAATGAAGAGACTAGAAAAATAGAGACCAGATAGATACTGACCAGAGAAAGAGACCAGCTGGAGAGACGAATTTGTGACACAATAAATGATGGTACTCCAGTTTTCATTTAGGCATTTCATGTTATGTTTAGAATATGAAATTGAAAAAATATCTTGATTAATATGAAATAGTCAAAGACTCCTGTCCTGGATCTACAGCCTCAGTCCTGGATCTACAGTTGGTTTCTGTCTTACTTGAGCTTGTGCAGTGCGATGAGGCCCTTGTCGGTGACGTTGCCACACGACACCACCTCCAGCAGAAACAGAGAGTTCTGCAGGTTCTGGATGGAGCTGAGTCTCTCCAGGCAGCTGTCCTCGATGTAGATGCACTTCCTAAAGCGGACCTCCTCCAGCTGCGTCAGTCCGTCTGCACAGAGACACAGAGACTCAGGGACACGGATCAGGGAGCTGGATCAGCAGAACCAGTAAAAAGCAGGTTAGAGATCATGAAAAATCTTAGTAACCCTATAATTTTTACAGTTTTGGGGATTCAATTCAGCAGCAGTTGTCTCGGAGGACTTTACAAAGCTGTCGATTCACCAACAAACAAACAAACAGAAAATCAATCCGTTTGAACACAGGAAATACAATAATAACAAAAACATAGGAGTCATTGGTCCAAAGGGAGCGAGATGACCACTGTCTGTAAATGTGTTTAAATGTCCTGGATCATCACTGTCCTTAGACCCTCCTGAATTGGCATCAACAAAACCGTGGGAAAAGCTGAGAAACCTCGGTGTGGCCATAGTGAGAGGGGTCTGCTCTACTGAGGCTGTAGATCAAGGACTGAGGCTGTAAACTTTTTAATTTAAATAATCTTTATTTGGAAGCATCAAGCAAGGAAGATTTGAATTGCATTATACAGAAACAATGCTGATTTACAGTGTGTGTGTGTGTGTGTGTGCGTGCGTGCGTCTTTGTATTTGTGTGTCTGTATGTGAATGATAATATGTAGGTCTCTGTTATTGCTGAATATTGCCATAAAAGTTAAATAGCTAAAAGCTAGATATTGATATTTGTGAGGGCTTTGTTTTATCTGAATTTCATCTTTAAATCATTTTGTCGTCTTTCCTCTCCCTTTACAACCACTGCAGGTTCATCTCTGTCAGAGTCCTGCCCTCTGACCCCTGGCCTTTGATCCAGTCCAGGCTACAGTCCTGTGTTGTTGTGGAGCGTGTGAGGTCAGAGAGAAAGCGATCGGTGTCGTACAGATGCACTTTCACCCGGCTCTTCCCTTTCGTGTCCCGCGCTGATACACAGTGTTTTTGGGGCCAAGCGCTCGGGTTGGAATCGCGTTAAAGATTGATGCTTGATGCTAAATGTACAGTTAGCACTAAAGCAGAGGGCGACACCTGAGAGCCTCATGCATAAGGGATAACAGAGAGGAGCTAAAACCCATGACCTCATCTGCACCACAGTCTGAGGCAATCTCACTATCTCACTATAAAAATATGACTGTAGAGGCCAGAAAGAGACCAGAGAGACCAAATAGAGACCAGAGAGAGAGAGGCAAGAGAGAGAGGCCAGAAAGAGAGAGACCAGAGAGAGACCAGAAAGAGAGACCAGAGAGAGAGGCCAGAGAGAGAGGCCAGAGAGAGAAGGGCCAGACAGAGAGACCAGTGAGAGAGACCAGATAGAGAGAGAGAGAGAGACATTTCTGAACTGGAATGAGATTTTAGAATTGAGACGAGACACCTCTCTCTGAAAGTCAGGTAACCTAGCTTTAGTCCCTCACAGACCTAAGTGGTCGAAGCCCTTGTGCATGATACAGGACTCTGTGGCGTCTATGGCCTGGATCCGGTACCGCCCCAGGGGCCCCGTGGGCAGAGCGTTGTAGTCCTTGTGGAAGCGCTCAAAGCCCTGGAACCGGACTTTGGCCCCACACCTCAACAACCACTCGGCAGCAGCGCGGTCGGGCCCCACAGCTTTGATCCTCTCATGGTCCACTCTGAGACACAGAGACACAGGGAAAGAGTAAGAGCTCACACCAGAGCGGCATCGATTCTATTCATTTCAATTTATTTTTGTATAGCCCTAAATCACAACAGTAGTTATCTTGTAGGACTTCACTAAACTGTTGATTTGCCAACACAGATCAGAATCAGAATATTTTTTTATTGCAGTGTTAGTAACAGGAAGTCACAGACTAGGAAATTGCTTTGGCTCTCTGTATCAGAGAATGCCACCGCTGCTATAGCCTGTGGTAAAGAGTCTAAAATCAGTAGCTCTAAAAGCACATAAAAAAGCATACTCATTCATTCATATCTTTTATTCCAGCGGTCAGGAACTTATGTCTCAGGAGCCACGTGTGGCTCTTTTGATGATTGTGTCTTGCTCTCAGACAAATCTTAGTAGGACTTAACGGTGAGAATGATTTAAGTATTGGATTAATTCAGTATAAAAACATAATAGGCAAAAAAATACATTCTCAGAGTAATATACTCAAAATGTGTTGATCTTGTATTAAAACAATCACACATATTCACAGTAAAAATGTGTATGGCTCCCACAGAAATACATTTTAGTATGACACATTTTTGTCCCTCCCATCTAAAAAGGTTCCTTCCCGACCTCTGGTCTTTTCTCTTGTCTGACGATCTCTCCTCGTGTTAAAAACACTAAAACTCACTTATTGAAAACAGCGTTGAGCCAACCCCAGAAGTGTCTGCAGCTCTGTCCTCTGGGAGACACAGCAGCGACTCTCACTGCTCCTGACCACAGCCTCATGTCTGCAGATAAACATTACAGTCTATGAGACAAACACACAGGAACACAAGACAAGAGAACCTCAATTTGTCCCACAGTGGGGAAATTCCAGTGTTGCAGTGCACACATAGGACAGTAAGAGCAACAACGTACAGGTCTCTCTCTCTGATCTTTCTCTCTGGTTGGTTGCAGTCTCTCTCTCTCCCTGGTTTAGCACTCTTTGTACTCAAAATAAAGATTACGTTTTAGATTAATACATACATTTCGCAATTTACACCTACATTTAGACTTAATTCTGATCAATGTCAATGTCATAGTTGCATTATTGAATACTATGCATATTCTAGGCCATAATTGAATATATATTTGATGTTAATATAAGTCTAAGTTTTGTCTTTTTATCTAAAAGTTCTGATTATGGTGTGACAATGTTCATAATCTTAGCTTGAACAGGTTAAAGTCTGAATGTCGAACCTGTCTGTGACGCACGAGTCTTGTTTAGATCAGGCCGCGTCCATTGCTGCGTGCAGGGTTGCCAGATTATTACAACAACATTATTAGCAAGCGACAAAGCCGTTGAAAATAAAAGTAAAATAAATACAAAAAATTGAACATAAAAAACGCTCTATTTATCCATGGACTGACCTTTTCAAACACTTTTTAAAAATAATAAAAATTGGCTATTTTTAGTCAGCCTTGGTTTTGTTTGGATTGCTTTTAAAAATAAATTACCCTTATGTATTATTTTATTATTCTTGAAACTAATTATAGACATTTTGTATTTGTGGAATACAGTTAAAATATGGATTTAACTTGGGTTAAAGAGGGTGTTACCCTCTTGGTCCTGGTTCTATCCAGGCTGAGCTGGTGTTCTAACTGATCAGAGTATTGCTGCTGGAAGCCATGGTTGCCAAGGAATTTCTCTGGATACTGGTTTGCTGTGAGCAGGTTGCTAGGATGGTACCACATACTAAAGCATAATGAAAATGCAACCAGGTGGAGAAGGGTAGAGTATACTAGACTAGACTAGAGTAGAATAAATGAGACTAGAGGAGAGATCTTGTCTCTCTTCTACTGCCTTCACTTAACTTTAAGAATATTTACTAAATTGCTTAAAAAGGAAATAATAGAGTTCATGTTTTGGAATGATACTTTATCCATGGTTCCTCCAGGTTTCTCCATACATTACCTGCTAACGACTGTCATAAAATTAAAACCCCAACTTCACTTTAAAGAAATAGACATGGCAACTCACTCACACAGACCTGAACTGACCTCAACAAACGATACATCCCGATTGGTTCTCTCCACTTCCTGATTTCATATTTCCGGAAGTGGGTGCCGAAGCACCATGGATCTATTATATTAACGCGAAGCACTGGGGACGACAACAAACGAGAAACAGACGAGCTTCACTTCCTCCGAGAGACTGTAGCAGAGACTACGAAGACACGGCCCCAGAGAAGATCCCTGCAAACTTTAACCATGTTCCGAGTTTTACACAGCGCTGCTTTCAGACCAGTCTGCTCCCAGAGGCTGCTGAAGGACGCGCGGAGACTGCACAGGTAACGAAGACAATGCAAATAACGCGATACAAGCCGTAGGTTGGGTAATACACACTACACATGCTACTCACCACACATACATACATACACACATGCACATACATACACATACTACACGTTATTAAGTAGCGAGCTCACAAGGAAATACCTGCAAATATCTACTTTTTCACATTGATGCATGCCCTTACCTGTTACTCTTACAACTTGTTTGCACCTTGAGCTAATTGCCCAGGCAAATTCCTAGTTTGTGGCTTCCTGTGACTTGCAATGGCAATACAAGGATTTTGATTCTGAGAAAAGGTTGCACAACGCCCCTTGAATTCAAACCAAATATCTGTTTTAGCAATTTTGTTACTGTCATGCTTGTTTTAAGATCACTTTGGCTTAAATATTATACAGACTCTCTCGGGTTAGGGTTAGACTCTCTCTGATCTCCTTTTCTGGGAGAGACCAGAGAGAATTCTGATTCTGAGAAAATGTTGCACAATACTTTAATCTATGCTGTTGAAATTACACCTGCTTTGAAAATGTTGTTACAAAAGTCAATGATGAATATTTGATGAAATACCCAAAACACCATTTCTCCAACCATCCATCCATCCATTTTCTTCCCCTTAATCCATTTCTGGGTCGGGGGGGTGGCAGTCAGAGATGCACCCAGTTCACAGAGCACCAGCCCCTCACTGATCCTCCTCCTGCAGGTGGTGAGTCCACAGGAGCTGAGATCTTTCAGTTGGGGCTTTGGGCAAAGTGTGGTTAAGTGTCTTGCCCAAGGACACAACGACAGCAGTCATCAGTGGGAGTCGTGAAGTAGGTCTTACAGTGGGCTCAAATCCACGACCTTCAGGCCCAAAGGCCAATGCTCTACCAACTGAGCTACTGTCGCCCAGTATTTCTCCAACCAAATGTGTATATTTTATTGCTTACAGTACAATAGGTGCTTGTTTTCTCTGTCTTGATTTGTTGATGTGGTGTTGTGCTTGTCCTATGGGAATTCTGGATTGTATTTCTGTGGCACAAACTGTAACCATCTGTTTCTCATTAACAAAACATTCCACTGTCTTTGCACACAACTTTTACCGGTTAGTTAAACTATTGCTTCTACTTCTAGGAGTTTTCTTTTCTTGGCTTTTCACTGTGTTTTTGCATTGAAATACACAGAGAAACGTAATGATTACAGCTTTATGGTAAATCAATCGAGGGTAACTTCTGTGTTCAGTTGTATTTATAGCTACTTCTTTCCACAAAAAAACTAAAATATTCTTTGTTGTCCAAATGAGTTTCTGCCTTCAGCGTTTAATGCTTGTTGTGGTGGACTGATGTGAACTCTGCTGGAGCCTTTGGCTCAGACCTCTCTTTGTAAATAGTTTCATGTGCAATAGGTCAGTTTCAAAGTCCTTCCCTCTGCTCTCATTCTTTCAGTGGACTCTGCTCTCTTGACCTACATAAAGAACATAATAATACTCTTCCTAAGCGTCCCTAAATGTTCATTGTGATGCTGTGCAATTCCGGAAAGTAGGAAACAAAAGTAACGACTGTAACTACTGTTCTATGAATCTTGGAGGTCTGCCAGAGATGGTGCTTAAGCACTGGATGATCATCCTTGCACATGCGTAAGAGTCAATAACAACCAAGTCACCTGTAACCTCCATTAGCTCATGCGAGTCTATAAAGTCATGTGACTCCAGAAGCGCAGTCCCTCGAGCCTTTCTTGCATTAGGAATCTGAGGGACCTGGCGACCTCAGGGTCATCCAGGATTCATAGAACTGTAGTTAGTCCTAACTTTTGTTATAATTCATCCTTCCTGACCACCAGAAGCAGTGCTTAAGCACTGGATGAATAATACACTGCACAGTAGAAAAACAGGCTGTCTGAACACCTCATTGAAGCTCTGGAATGAATGTGCACGTAGTGCACGTACAGGACACAGACGTTCAGAGGGATCTCCAGAACCAACACGGGCTATTTGTAGGAGCCCGTCCTGTCGACCAGAAGACACCTTCAGAACAAAGAACACGTCTGGCCACAGAGACACACCTGAGCCGTCAGGATGCCAACGACAATAGGCTCCGCCCACCGACAGAGCATGGAGTTCACTCGCCCGCCACCCTGAGGCCATAGCCAGAAGCAACGTGGTCTTCATTGACAGCTTCTAAGCATCTAAGCCTCTCCCAAGGGCTCAAACGGCGAGGAATGAAAGGCATCGAGGACAACCAAGAGATCCAAACCGGCACCAACAGGATAACGGGGCAGGTGTAACCAGTAGGCACCTTTCAAAAACAGTAATATGTCATGAACACGACCAACAACCATCAAACCCAGCGTGTCCTAATGATATTGCAGCATGACCTAGCTTCACTGTGGATGGAGAACGGCCCTTACTGAGCAGGTCCTGAAGAAAGGTCAGTATCACTGCATTTCCTGTGTTTGATTCTCTGATCTGTGCTGGCGAATCGACAGCTTTGTAAATTCCTCAGAGATAACTACTGTTGTGATTTGGGGACTATACAAAATGCATTGAATCAAATTAAACTTTATCTGCATTTGTATTAAATGCTGTATTTGAGTCTTGTATGTGGACATTGATTCATTTCCCAATCCCTTTGCTCAAAGCCTGGTTTTCCTTTCTTGTTTGTCTTGCAGCACTTACGATGTGGCCATAGTGGGAGGTGGCATCGTGGGTTTGGCCACTGCCCGAGAACTGATCCTCAGACACCCCAACCTAAACTTCATCCTGGTGGAGAAGGAGAAGGAACTATGTGAGAGGAAAACACATTGATTGTTCAAAAGTCTTGAGAGGCGCAGAGGAGAACTGGTTATTGTGTGTACTATGTAGAGCAGTTGGGTCACACAAGGATATCCAAATGTTTCTCTCCTTTTATGAGCCAACAAGATAACATTAAAACTCACTTGGTCCCCAGAAACCACATCAAATCAATAACATAAGCAGCTTTTTACGATCCAATTTTTTTTCGTATTTATTGTAAATATATAGTGTAAAAGTATAGCGTCTAAGGCAGACTTGGAATTTCTTCTCCATATGCTGTATTTGTTTCTAGAAGATTAGACTGCTGTAACAGCTGAAAATGTGAGACAGGCTTCTTCTTTGACAATGTTCAAATCCAGATTAAAGCTGTCCTGTTTTGCTTTAATGATTTTAATGCCTTGTGTGACTGTCTCTATCTTGTTTGGTTCAGCACTTTGAGTTGCCTTGTGTATGAACTATGCTATTCAATTAACCTCTTTTCTTCCATCTGCTCACAATCCTCTCTCCAGCCGTCCACCAGAGCGGCCACAACAGCGGAGTGATCCACAGCGGCATCTACTACACCCCTGGATCTCTCAAAGCTCGCCTCTGCGTCCGAGGAGCCACTTTAGCGTACGAATACTGCGACAAGAAGAACCTCCCGTACAACAAGTGCGGAAAGGTCTGTGTATGAAGCAAAACAACCCATTTTTTAAGCCAAGAAGAGAGAATAAACTGTTGAGCTTGAAAGTTTACTCACCCGTGTCGTTCAATTTCAATTCACCTCAATTTATTTTTGTATAGCACTAAATCATAGTTGTTTTCTCGGAGGGCTTGACATAGTAGTCGATTCGGAAACAGAGAATCAAACGGTTCAAACCAGTGGGGGCAGGTCCCGGCTTAAAAATGTCCAAAATGACGTGTGCTGACATGTTTGCATTACCACCCCGGGACGATGGGGGTGGACCCGGAATAAGAAGTATTCATTGCTAATGTATAGCATCTTCTTGCCTCTCAAAAAAAGATTTACAGGATGGTCCAAAAGTTGGCTCTTGGCCCAAAGCTACGTTCCCCATGTGTGTCAATGCTAAGGGGTGTGTATTTTTTTGGACCAGTGTAGTTTAGCCCCCGTCAAATGGATGGAACTAGGGCCGAGAGGGACTAAAGTACTACCTGGTGCCAGTTTAACATGGCCAGCGAAAACACTTCCAATCGGTACGCTATTGAGAAGTAGGGGATGGAGACTTGCAAAGGACAGAATCAGCAGGTGGTGTTTTGTTCTAGGGTATGGACACTTTTACTGTTGTGATTTAGAACTATACAAGAATACACTTGAATTGAATTGAACTAGACAAAGATATTCCCTCAAAGAAAGATTTGGTTCACTGCTTGATTTGGAATGTGGAAGCTTCCCAAATTCTGTCAGATTGAACCTTAAACCATGACACAATGGTCTGTTATCCTCTGTATAGCTTGGTAAGCAATATTAGATTATAAATACTGTATTCCTTGACTCTGTTTCAAACATAATCTCATATTTTGCTAGCCTTGTTGCTAATTGTGTGTTTTATTTTTGTAGCTAATCGTGGCAGTGGAGCAGGAGGAGATTCCCCGGTTAAAAGCTTTATATGAACGAGGTCAGAAGAACAACGTCCGCGATCTGAGTTTAGTCGACGCTAAAGGAATCCGGGAACGAGAGCCTTTCTGCAGAGTAAGACTGATGCTAAAAATAGTGATTTGTAATGTATAAATACTTAAGAAAATTACACTGCTATAGTTACATGGGATAATGAAGAAGCAAGTAAAATATTTTTAGCTTTAGCATAATAAAAGAACGTATGCTAAAGAAAGTGTAAAATTATCTGAGAATGAGCAGGGTGTTTTGATAGGATATTTTTCTCTCCAATGTATGTACAGCCCTTAATCACAACAGCAGTCTTCTCAGAGGTATTTACAAAGTTGTCGATTCCACAACAACAGACCAGAGAATGAAACAGTTCGAACTCAGGAAATGCAATAATAACGAACACATAAGAGCCATTGGTTCACAAGGAGCGGAATAGCCTACTCTACTCTGCTCTACTCCACCCTTTCTATTATGCTTTAGTATCTGTTGTGGGTATTCTAGAAACCTACCCACAACAAACCAGTATCTGGGGAAATTCCTTGGTAGCCATGGCTTCTAGCGGCACTCTGGAAGCCATGGCCATTCTCTGTCAGAACACTTTAGTACCAGCCCGGCCTGTAGGGTTGGGTAGGGTAGAGTTGGATTGGTTAGGTATTTTGGTTGTGCCTCCTAGTGAAATATAAGGAGTCTAAAGCCTGGAAAGGAGTGTGAGGTGAGAGTCCTGAGGCAACACACTCCCACCAATACGTTTGGGTTGAAGGATTAATTCGATGACAAAGTCTACACTCTGCTTCTCCTTCTCCCCTCAGGGCATCATGGCGCTGGACTCGCCGTACACTGGCATCGTGGACTGGAGGATGGTGGCACTGCGATACGGCCAGGACTTCGAGGAGGCGGGAGGTCGAGTCGTCACAGAGTTTGAGGTTAACGACATCTCAACGGCAACGGAGAGTCCGCAGGGAACCGCCGAAGGTCAGAGGAGCGAGAGCCTGTACAGAGGCTTTAATTCATGCGTTATTAAAGATATATGTTCGAAAAAGAAATACTCTAAAGTGTCAAGGCCAGTGGGGCTACAGGTTTGCAGACTCCTCAGGTTTTTAGGTTAAGACTGGACCATCTATAATAACAAGTGGGTAGGGTATTACTAGCTTATAGCTGAAACACCCTTGGGCTTGGGGGCTTCCCACGGTACTGCAGACTAAATAGGACTAAATTCACGTGAGCTACCCAGAAATGTTCCCTATAAAACTCAATGTAAACTAAACAAATCGACCTCAGCTGACGGAGAGCCTACAGCTTTTATAAAGGTCGGATTTTGTGGGGATTTTAGTGTCATCCTGAACTTCTTTTCTTTTTAAATCCTTCGGTGTTCTTAAAATCTATACTTTAGTGCAACAAACTCTCTTCATGCACTACTGAGCTGAGCACAAGCCTTGATTTGAATATGCCGCCATCTTTGATCGGCAGGGCTTGGACTGGACTCACTGGAGGAAATGGGTGGAGTCTGGTTTGCTCTTGCTTGGTTGGAATGAAAACATGGAGCACCTCTGATTGTCACCTCTGCTCTAAACTTAGAATCCAATCTTCATTATAACGACCCTAGCAATATTTTGGTGAAATGTGTAACTATGTCATATACACATAAAGTATCATAATTAGGGCTGTCAAAACTATCGTGTTAACGCACGTTAATTAATTGTTTTCATTAATCACGTTTAAAAAATTAACGCATTTGACGCATGCCCATGCGTCCCATAATAACACTCAGAATGCCGCGGACACATCCGTGTGTAAGATGGGGACAGAGCAGGTAGGCCCTCTGGGAATTCAAGTTTTGAAAGAATACACGCGTGACCGCGGGGCACTTGTTGTTTCCTGTATGAACTCTGCATGATGAGCTGCGGGCGCCACAGCGCTCTGGACAGCAGTTCCCACTTCCAGCGGCTGTGATCACGGCGAACGGCGCTGCGTAATGGGATCACATCCAAGACCACGCACAGAACTATTACAAACTATTCTCTAGTGTGCGTACGTGTCTTTGCGTAACCGATGCACACAATATGTACAGCGCTGAAGCTGGACTGCGGAGCCTCAGTCTCCTCCGTGTCTTCTCCCGAAGCGCACTCACTAAATTAAAGCTGAGGTACCTAAATTTCCTTTCGACCATCAGTTCATGTTAGTTGTGCCAAAAAAAGTAATGGTATGAGAAAATCAAACAGATTTAATGACATTCTGGATTTCAGACTATTTCTAAATGTCCCTCATCTGTAACAAACAATGGTTTTGGTCTGAGTCTAAACAGAAAGACAGAATGTTAATAATGTTAATTCCATTTTATATGGATTTATTGTTATAACAAACAAATACAGTACATATGTTCACTAAGCTGTCATTTATCTTTCCATTCAAACAACAATTTACAGAAAAATATGGCATAATTTTGCCAATAGTTTGAAATGTGATTAATTACGATTAATTAATTTTTAAGCTGTAATTAACTCGATTAAAAAAATTAATCGTTTGACAGCCCTAATCATAATCATGTGTTTTGTTCTTCTTGTAGGAATGGTGCATCCAATTGTAATTAGAGACACAAAGGTAAGTCTTTCTACAGAAATATTGTCCAAAAGAGAGTTAGAGAGGCCAGAGAGAGAGAGGCCAGAGAGAGAGAGGCCAGAGAGAGAGAGAGGCCAGAGAGAGAGAGGCCAGAGAGAGAGAGGCCAGAGAGAGAGAGGCCAGAGAGAGAGAGGCCAGAGAGAGAGAGGCCAGAGAGAGAGAGGCCAGAGAGAGAGAGGCCAGAGAGAGAGAGGCCAGAGAGAGAGGCCAGAGAGAGAGGCCAGAGAGAGAGAGAGGCCAGAGAGGGAGAGAGAGGCCAGAGAGAGAGAGAGGCCAGAGAGAGAGAGAGAGGCCAGAGAGAGAGAGAGAGGCCAGAGAGAGAGAGAGGCCAGAGAGAGAGAGAGAGGCCAGAGAGAGAGAGAGAGGCCAGAGAGAGAGAGGCCAGAGAGAGAGAGAGAGAGGCCAGAGAGAGAGAGAGAGGCCAGAGAGAGAGAGAGAGGCCAGAGAGAGAGAGAGAGGCCAGAGAGAGAGAGAGACCAGAGAGAGAGAGAGAGGCCAGAGAGAGAGAGAGAGGCCAGAGAGAGAGAGAGAGGCCAGAGAGAGAGAGAGAGGCCAGAGAGAGAGAGAGAGAGGCCAGAGAGAGAGAGAGAGGCCAGAGAGAGAGGCCAGAGAGAGGCCAGAGAGAGAGAGAGAGGCCAGAGAGAGAGAGAGGCCAGAGAGAGAGGCCAGAGAGAGAGAGGCCAGAGAGAGAGAGAGGCCAGAGAGAGAGAGAGAGGCCAGAGAGAGAGAGAGGCCAGAGAGAGAGGCCAGAGAGAGAGGCCAGAGAGAGAGGCCAGAGAGAGAGGCCAGAGAGAGAGGCCAGAGAGAGAGAGAGGCCAGAGAGAGAGAGAGGCCAGAGAGAGAGAGAGGCCAGAGAGAGAGAGAGGCCAGAGAGAGAGGCCAGAGAGAGAGGCCAGAGAGAGAGGCCAGAGAGAGAGGCCAGAGAGAGAGAGGCCAGAGAGAGAGAGAGAGGCCAGAGAGAGAGAGGCCAGAGAGAGAGAGAGAGGCCAGAGAGAGAGAGAGAGGCCAGAGAGAGAGAGAGAGGCCAGAGAGAGAGAGAGAGGCCAGAGAGAGAGAGAGAGGCCAGAGAGAGAGAGAGAGGCCAGAGAGAGAGAGAGAGACCAGAGAGAGAGAGAGAGGCCAGAGAGAGAGAGAGGCCAGAGAGAGAGAGAGGCCAGAGAGAGAGAGAGGCCAGAGAGAGAGAGAGGCCAGAGAGAGAGAGAGGCCAGAGAGAGAGAGAGGCCAGAGAGAGAGGCCAGAGAGAGAGGCCAGAGAGAGAGAGAGAGGCCAGAGAGAGAGAGAGAGGCCAGAGAGAGAGAGAGAGGCCAGAGAGAGAGAGAGAGGCCAGAGAGAGAGAGAGAGGCCAGAGAGAGAGAGAGAGGCCAGAGAGAGAGAGAGAGAGAGACCCAGAGAGAGAGAGAGAGGCCAGAGAGAGAGAGAGAGGCCAGAGAGAGAGAGAGAGGCCAGAGAGAGAGAGAGAGGCCAAGAGAGAGAGAGAGAGAGAGAGAGGCCAGAGAGAGAGAGAGAGGCCAGAGAGAGAGAGAGGCCAGAGAGAGAGGGAGCCCAGAGAGAGAGGGAGACCAGAGAGAGAGGTAGGCCAGAGAGAGAGAGGTAGGCCAGAGAGAGAGAGGGAGACCAGAGAGAGAGAGGGAGGCCAGAGAGAGAGAGAGGGAGGCCAGAGAGAGAGAGAGGGAGGCCAGAGAGAGAGAGAGAGAGAGGCCAGAGAGAGTCCAGAGAGAGAGAGGGAGAGAGAGAGAGTCCAGAGAGAGAGAGGGAGAGAGAGAGAGAGGGAGAGAGAGGGAGAGGCCAACTACAAATCTACAAAGGGAACAAGACAAACCGTCCTAAACCAATTCATTCAAAGTGTTCTGTGACCCGTCTCTCAGGGGGAGGAGGTGCGCTCGCGGTTCGTCCTCACCTGCGGAGGTCTGTATTCGGACCGTTTGTCTCAGATCTCCGGCTGCAGCAGAGAACCAAGGATTGTCCCGTTCAGAGGAGACTACCTGGTGCTGAAGCCAGAAAAGCACTACCTGGTCAAAGGAAACATCTACCCTGTGAGTAGAAAGTTTATGAGTTTATACTTTATGAGTTTCTCTGTTGCCTTGTGTTGTATGAACTGTGCAATACAAATAGACTTGCCTTGTTCTCCATAGGTCCCTGATCCACGGTTCCCGTTCCTGGGAGTCCACTTCACTCCCCGCATGGACGGCAGCGTGTGGCTCGGACCAAACGCGGTTCTAGCTTTTAAACGAGAGGGATACAAACTGCTCGACTTCAACGCACGAGACATGGTGGACGCCTTGTCGTTCAGGTACCTCACACACACACACAATCGTTCAGGTAACTCACACAAGCACAGATGTTGTAGATTACTGTATTTCAGGACTTAAGCAGGTGTCAATACAACTCTATGGAAAGGAAGAAATTTTTGAAAGTAATGATTAGAAAAAATTTCTAAACCTTTTCCCAGATCGTTATTTGATTAGATTAGATTCACAAAGCCGCCATATTATTCTTATGTCTGAGAGTGTTTTGAACACTTTTAGACGTACTTTTGAGAAAAAAACATAGACCATAGTTGAGAGAGATGCAAAAAGGGAAGGAGAGGGAAGGAGACCAGAGAGGGAAGGAGACCAGAGAGCAGAGTGAGTGAGAGATATTTGGAGAAATTGTTTTTGCTGTATTTGGCTTTAGCTCCACTGGACACATTTAAACATTATTGTTTTAACATAAGTGTGTGATGTGTGTTCGACAGGGGGCTGCAGAAACTGGTCTTGAAGAACATCACTTATGGTTTGGGAGAAATGTACAGAGGCTTCAACATGGCTGCACAAGTGAAACTGCTGCAGAAATACATCCCTGAGATGTCTGTCAGCGACGTGCTCAGGTCAGATTCAGATTCATTTATTTGCCATTTGCAGTAAAACCACATTGGAAAAACTGTGCAAGACTACCCCGGTGTGCACCAGACAGAGAAGACGACACACACCAGAGCTCTTGCCACGGCGCCATCTTTACGGCGCCATGCGACGAGGTAAAGACTGTATAGATCATGGTATAGATCGACAGTGCTAACCTGCTAGCTCAATGTAGGCTAATTGGGAAGTGCTCATGGCTCCTGTTGACTCTAGCTCTTCTATCTCAGCAATCGTTTGTGTGGGCTTAAAAATAGAGAGAGACTAGAGAGTGACTAGAGAGTGACTAGAGAGTGACTAGAGAGTGACTAGAGAGTGACTAGAGAGTGACTAGAGAGTGACTAGAGAGTGACTAGAGAGTGACTAGAGAGAGACTAGAGAGTGACTAGAGAGAGACCAGAGAGAGACCAGAGAGAGACCAGAGAGAGACCAGAGAGAGACCAGAGAGAGACCAGAGAGAGACCAGAGAGAGACCAGAGAGAGACCAGAGAGAGACCAGAGAGAGACCAGAGAGAGACCAGAGAGAGACCAGAGAGAGACCAGAGAGAGACCAGAGAGAGACCAGAGAGAGACCAGAGAGATAATAATATTAAAAACTAGCTTTAATCAGCTGAAGGAATCACTCTGTACTGCAGCAAATTCTAATGTTTTTTTTACTATTTTAAAACAGAAAGACACACTTCCAAGCTATAGATAAAGACTTGTTGCTCCTCTCTCTGTCTCAGGGGTCCCTCTGGGGTCCGCGCTCAGGCCCTGGACCGTGGGGGGAACCTGGTGGATGACTTTGTGTTTGACGGAGGAGTCGGGGACGTGGGGAGCCGAGTCCTGCACGTGAGAAATGCCCCGTCGCCCGCGGCAACCTCCTCTCTCTCCATAGCGGAAATGGTCGCCGACGAGGTGGAGAAGAGATTCGAGCTGTAAGCGTGGAAACTGTCAAAACGACCCGACAGGAAACTACCTCAGTATTTCAAGCCTTAGAGAGATATCTAAGTAAGCGTTCAACATGACCAATACATTTCTATACTATTATCCTATATTCTATACTATTCTGTACTTTCTGGACTAGAATGCGCACCTGTGTATATAAGCCGCTTCACCTTCATTTGAAAATAAGATAAATGTAATTCATCCACAAATAGGCCGCACATAAATCTGACTTGAAACCGATATTGTTATTGCGTTTTTAAACATAATCCTTACATACATACAGACATATGGAACAAAAGACAAGACAAACAATAAAACTAAACACACAGCAAATAAATTTTAGAATAAATATATAAACATGCTGGACACACAATACTTTACTCATTTATCCCCACGCAGGAAAACACACACCCTTGCACACAAAAACACTCACACACACACACGTGAATAAAAGCTGCAAGTTTTTATTTTGTAATATAGCTGATGACTGTGTTTTAACTGGAGACAACAGGATTTAATGATGAGGTTTTTATCAGCTTCACCGTTAGACTCGTTCACCTTCATCTATTCTGACAAGTTAAAATGATAGTCTATAAATCTACCACAACAAAAATACACACATTTTTGCCAAATCACTATATAATAACTGGAAAAAAGTAGCGGCTTATGGTCCAGAAATGACAGAATTTGTGGTAGGTCTGTGAAACTGAAAGGGAATTTTATCACCGTCTTAATAACGTTTTATACATTTTCTATTCATCTGTAAAGTGACGGTCCGTTCTTGCTCCAGAAGTAAGATTCCCCATTAATAATCCATGCAGTAGTTGAGCCTGTGTGAAAACCAAATGCTCAAAGTGACATGATGTTGCTTGGTTACGTTTGCCAAAAGTGTGCTTGGACAGTGTATATTTTAGGTTTTTGATTATTACAATTACAGTTCCAATGTTTGTGTGTGATAAGTAGGGCCTTGTGGGGCAACCAAACATTATAATAGTAGACAAATTTCAATGCGAAAATCGAAAGCCATGGAGAAAATCAGCTGAAGATTCGTGTGTCCAAAAAAGAAGCCATATAATTTCGATGTATTCTAACCAGAAAAAAACTCAATTCCCAAATTTAATCAATTCTTTATCATTAAAATGCTTCACTTAAAGCAGTGTGAGTCCAGTTTAAGTCAGATCCATGATAAGCTACTTTTTTGTCAACCAAGAATGTCTTTGGTTGAAAACAGCCCTAGTGCTATTGCAGTGTTACTAGATGCCTTTGAACGCATCACAAGGTACACAGTGCTAGATAGATTAATGTATGTATATTGAGACAAGAGGGGGAAGATCGGCTTGAAGTCTATATTCTCTGCTCACTTAACCCTCTGGTGCCTATGAGTTCACACGTCTGGCCTTTTTATCACGTTATTTCATCTTCAAATCCAGGATGGAATCGTAGGCTGTATATTAGGAGCCTTAATGCAGACGAGGCCGATCAGAGCTAGCTCAAATGTATGCTAATGTTGTTGGTAGTAGAAGGGGCTAATCAGGTTGCAGCTCCGGTCTGTACCCACTCGTGCTTCTCACTAGCTAAAGCAAAATTTTCGAAGAAAATATCACAATACAAACACCACACCGCTAGGAGGCTAGGAGTTTACTTTTCATTGTAAGTTAATAGGGGTCAGATTTAGTTGGAGCAAAACTTCCTCCATGAGCACTTCCCTATTGAACATCATTGAGCTAGCGGGTTTGCATTGTCCATCTATATACAGGCTATGGATAGAATTAATACAGATTTTCAAAGTATTTACTAGGAATGTAACTTGAATCCAAAACCTGCTACAGTGACCGGCTGGAGTAAGTTAGACCAGTCATTCCCAAAGTCAGTAACACCTCGGCCCCCTTCATAATCTGACGGGTCTGCGCGGCCCTCCGAAATACTAACCAAGAACACAACGTCAAAAATAAGCTCTTCTTGTTATTTTATGTGGGGGAAATAAAACATTTAAATGACGCACCCATTTTGTGATACAACAAATGATTACAATTTGATAATTCAATAATGAACACAAATATTTTAATATTACAAACAAAATATTATTAATTTTACATACAATAATTATATAAAACGATTTTTTTATTTGTATGACCTCTCGCGGCCCCCTGCAATACCCCCGCGGCCCACCAGAGGGCTGCGGACCCCACTTTGGGAGACACTGAGTTAGACAATAGAGATGAGTGACTTTCTCAATACTTAGAAAATGTAATAGAACATCTCAGTACTTTTTATTTATACTTTATTAATAACATTTAGACACTATGTTGCGTATTCTCAACAAAAACAATCAAAAACATGACTCAGAAATGTCTTGGTTTAGAGTAATGGTTTAAGTTGTGTAAAGAGTGTCTGCATGACTGTAAAACTGGATCTGTTTATTTTAAAAGATTATATTTTAATGTAAATCATGTTAGAGGTCCATATAATGCAAGGGTGTCAAACTAATTCCAGAAGAGGGTCAGCGTCCGTGCAGGTTTTCATTCCAACCAAGCAGGAGCAAAACCAGACTACACCCATTTCCTTAAGTGAGTCCGGTCTTAACCTGAGACTTTGAGGACCGGTTTGACACCCCTGGTATGATGTTGAGTGCACTACATTGTGAACGGGCAATAGTTTTTGTCTGTGGCTTGTGGCAAAATGCAATAATCTACTAATTTTAAGTGTAATTAATTTTGTGGTTCGGTTAGCGCTTGAGATAAACGCACAATTTTATGCTATATGGAGGGACGGGAAGAGGCTATTTTTGAGGGGTGACCTTATACATTTAAAACTATTATTTCCATCTGTTTATTATTATTCTTATTTGAATAGCTATTTGGCATCCTTTCCTATAACGCTGTTATTCTAACCAGAGAGGTATTTTTAGGACGTGTTCACACTTGGTCAACTTGGCTTTGTTCACACCCAATGCAACAGTTCTTGCAAAGCACTATTTAAAACTATTCCATTGTAATCCAATTGATAAAGAAGTGAGGAGTAATAAACCAGTCCGTTTGGAGCTGGTGCCATCTGTGGTCGAGCTGCATGTAAACCTGTTACTAATGAGACATTGGTCAGAGATGCATTTAAGATTTATATAAATCTATTTGGAAACCATTTTGCCTCAGGCGAACCAGAGTTTAGTTCAATGCACAAGTATGAACAAGCCCGTAATCAGAAACAAACACATTTTATCTTTTTTTCAATTATTTATTTTTGAAAAAGGGAGGGAATAGTGATAGTATGAAATGTTGTGAGTGAATAGCTTTCTAAATACATAACTTGTATTTTTCTAATTGTCTATGCTTTCTAGAAGTATGCCTTGTGTGTCTGACTGTTTCCATGTACTGTAATGAAAAACATGTTATTGAACTGTTATGCAGCACTTATGGAATAAAGGGTTTTATCAACCTTTAGGACTATAAATTGAAGAAAATATATTGACAATTGGCAATATTTCTGAGACAGAAAATATAGAAGCGTTTGAGACCAGGGGTCTCAAACAGGCTGCCTGCAAAACGGTATTTTGTTGCCCCCTATTGGACAGACGTTGAAGTTTACGAACCCTGAAAGTAAAAAGGTGTAATTCAAAGTAAAAAAGCAAACCTTATGCAGCCCAGCAGTCTACAAAGACTAAAGATGAATGTTTTATATGGACCTCTTTAGTGTCCATTAAAGTAAAGGAAGTAAAGAATAGAAATAATTAGAAAATTATATCCATACAAAGTCATTATTATATAAAAAATAAATAAATAAATAAAATAAAGCTTAATGATTATAAAAAGTCAATAAAAAGTCATGGGTTTTTGTTGAGACAATGTGAAATATAGGATTATTTTTTATCAATCGAGGAGCTACACTGTGTGAGTAAAATGGCCTTATGGCAGTTTAATTCTATATTTGCCTATAACTCTTGTGGCCTCCAGCTTAGTTTGAGACCCTGTGTTAAACAACTATAGTAGAAAGTAGAAAATTAAATGAATTGACTAATGAATGTAATACTGCCATCTTGCTCTTTCAAACATGTTTAATGATTTGTGTATTCCAAAGCCAAAGGTTGATTGTGAGCCATAGTGTAAAAGTGATTTGAATCATGTGTGTGTGATACAGGGAATTGTTTTCAGAAGAATAAAAGTATTTTGACAGATTTTTAAGCAAAAGTGATTGTGTCTGGTTTTTATTTTTTTCCTTAAAGACATAATGATGTATCTTTGTATTGAGAAAGAGTGGTGGTGTGTAGTAATACTGGATGGACTGGGGGACTTGTGTGTTGTGTAGTTTTGTGCATGAGGACTTGACCTGAGACCTAGAGGAACTTATGTAGGCAGTGGAGGGTAATCTGGTAAACAATGGCCACAATGTGCCACAGATGGTCCAGCAGCCAAAATACAGACAGAAGATACATTGGCACTGAACAAAATAATGACAATATAAATTCAACACATTCAAGATTAAGAGGCAAGGCAAGTTTATTTGTATAGCACAATTCATACACAAGGCAACTTAAAGTGCTGAACAAAACAAAATAGCATTAAAAACATAAATAATCACAGAACATTAAAAGGAAAGTATAAAAAATAAATATAAATAAAATATAAATAAATAAAAATATAAAATCCCTCAGTTGTATGCACAGCTAAACAGAACTGTCTTTAACCTGGTTTTAAACATTGTCAGAGAGGAGGCCTGTCTCAAATCTTCAGGAAGATTGTTCCAGATTTTAGCTGCATGAATCTGAAAAACAGCCTCCCCATGTTTAGTTCTGACTCTGGGCACTAACAGGAGTCCAGTCCCTGTGCTCCTCAGAGTCCGGGCTGGTTCATATGGGACTAACATGTCACTAATATATTTTGGTGCGAGGCCATGGAGAGACTTGTACACAAGCAGAGCTGTTTTAAAGTCTATCTCTGAGCCACAGGAAGCCAGTGCAGAGACCTGAGGACAAATATGGTCGTACTAAGAGACCCTTTATATGTCCCTAATCCAGTGTTGTATCACAAGTTACAGAACTGTATGAATGAGGGGCACACAACACCAGATGAGAATAGTAAGGATAACACAAGCCTGGTCTTACCATACCATCGAACCGTCGTTTCTGAATGAAAACGACATTTTAAACAAACTCATAAAAGATCAAACTGTTTTAAAACTTGAGTAACTAGAATGTTATCTGTAATCCCCGGTTCTAAAGGGTCTGTTTACACTGCAGAGGAACCTCCAAGTCACACAGCAGCAACAATAGCTTCAACATTAGCATCAGAGGATAACATTTACATACAGTCTCATTGAGAGCACTGTAAAGCAGGCTCTATGGTATGCATGTCAAAAAATGTTTTATGTAAATTATTATAAAGGTTCAGTAGTTCTCGTAGGAGTTTATTATTGCCCGAAGGACTGGTGCAAGATGTTTTAAAAGCTCCTCAAGTCTGCTTATTTTACTTTCATAGCGCTTAAGGCGAGTCAGTTCCTTCCACTGCCACGAGGGGGCGATATGGATATACATATATGTGTGGTCGCCTCCTCCGCATTCCATGCTGCTTCTGAGTCGCTGCGGTCGCTTTTGTTTGGGTAAGTTCAGTGCAGAAACTTAATTAAGTGCAATGTTTCTGCGCGTGCATAGAGATAATACTGAAATATTATGTCATGATGCAGGTGTTGCATAGCTCGGTGTTAGTATATAACAATCTAACGCTATATGAAGCAGGTTTTCTTCCACGGTCGAAAATACATAAGCGAGTGTATAAAGATCTGCCTGTTAACTATATATATTTTTTCAGAAGAATTGCATTTGTTCACATTTGTAAATTGTATATGACTAGTAAATAAGTGTAATGATCGGGAAAGATTTGAGTTCGTGCATATTGGGCTGTTAATGCACACCTTTACCCATGCCTTTACCTGACCACTGCTAAAATTACTATAATTTCTATCCGGATCCTCGTTGATCAAATGTTTAATGCTAATCACAAAGTTTATACCACAGACTCTAAATATTATACAAATATTAGTCGGTTAAATATACTACGAAATGGAAAAAGGTTTTATTTTTCTTCTTTGCAGCAACCCCTCACCAGCTAGCTTAACTTTAGCCGCGTTTTTTTACCCAACGCAGGCGACCCACAAACTTCTACTGAACAATGCTCGATTTATTTTTGACTAAGTACTTAATCTGGATGATTTATAGTTAGGAAAGTTTTTGAAGCATAGACTTTAAATATTGATTGGACAAATGGGATTCTTGGGCAATTCTGCAGTGGGGAAAAATAAAAACTCTCCCACTTCATCCCGGAAGTAAATTTAACAATAATTCTCCAGAGACATTTCCATAACTCTTATACATTAAATGCTTTATACTTTACTGTGGCTGGGAGCTGCTTTTACTGATGAAAATTGGCAGGAAGCTACTATTTTATTGGATCAATAAGTAATGTATTATGTAAATTCCTAAATAATAACACTATAATAATAGCAGTAGTTTCAGGGCCGTATTTATAGTGAAGGATACACATGATCATGAATATAAATATGTATTATTTTATTAGTTACTCTACAATATTATCAAATAATATTTTTGGCTGAAAAAAGAAAACAATCAAACATATGTTTCAAACCTGTACAAGACATAATAACATATCTTCACAGACAGATAGAATATATGTGGTTTGAAAAGAGATTGACATAACTTTTATGTGACATGAGATTCACTATTTTCTGGTTATTTTTTCACCAGATTGAACCAAAAGTTGACCAAATATAAAGTTAAACACTTTCTTTTTTATTGAACTTCTAATGCTCTAATAGTTTTAATTCCTGAGTAAATGGATGCTATATAACCTGCCTTGTTTACCCATAACCATCAATGCAGAAAGTTAATAATAGAGAAAGAAAATAATTTTAGGGGCCACTAAAAATTGTCTTGATTGGCCCACGAGCCTGAGACATGTATGATTTAGATGTTGTGGTCATTACAATTTTCAGTGTTTTTTTTAAATATATTTTTTCTAAAAGGAACGAGAAAATATGCAGACAGTTTGCAGTTCCTTTCGTAATTTTTATATCTTTTTTATATATTTGATTTAATTGTATCGTTGTGATCAGTTTACATTTTTTCCTGTTACATATACAACATAGTAAGACTCTATCCTTTTTAAAATCCTAGAAATTCTTCTTTTGTTAAAAAAAAAATGAAAAGCAAATCTTTATCATAAATGAAACAAAGTATAAAACAATAGTAAAAACAGAACAAATACACAAAACATGAGAAAGAAAAAAACACCTAGAACAATCGATAATGACTTTTCTCTTACTAATTGTATTTGTCTCTCATATGACATCACACATATTCGATAAATAATAATATAACATCAAGGGTATTGGCTTGTTTAGTCAATCTTTACTACATAGGTGTCAATCGGTTCCTCAAAGGGCTGATGTGCTGCAGGTTTTCATTCTGACTCAGACGCCACCCATTTCCTCAAGTGAGTCCAGTCTTAATCTGAAGATTTGAGGAAATGGGTGGAGTCTGGTCTGTTCCTGCTTGATTGGAATGGAAACCTGCAGCCACATTGGACCTTTGAAGACCAATTGGTCATCCCTGATCTTCTATTGTCATTGTTTGTAGGGTTCACATTCTTGTCTCTTATTTCTTTTAACACAGAAACCTTGTCCATGTGAAAATATGGAGACTATAGAGCCATCAGACCAGCATAACCACGCAGCACCAGACCATAAGGCAAACAAGTTGTTCCAATGCAAAGTCTGCGGTAAAGTCTTCGGCCGCGCATGTAACCTGGTCCAACACATGAGGGCCCACTCTGCAGAGAAGCCATTCAAATGCCAATACTGTGACTGTAGCTTTAATTCTGTAGCCAATATGAAAAAACACAATCGCAAGAAGCACGCCGATATAACAAACAACACAACGATTGAAGTTTCTCTTGGCGTACTTGAAAGGCCAAGAGACAAAACTCTCGATGTAGAAGTTGCTGAAGAGTTCTCTGAATGCGAGGTGGAGGAAAAGGCGGTAGATGAATCCACAAAGAGTGTTGTGGAAAACCTTGCTTGGGTTTGCGACAAATGTGGGAGGAAGTTCTCGAGTAAATCCCGGCTAATGACTCACATGCGCTTTCATGAAGGCAAACAAATCTTTAGCTGCATCTACTGTGAGAAAGACTTTTTGAGCCGGGACCAACGGAAAATGCACGAAAGGATACACACTGGGGAGAAGCCGTACAAGTGCGATCACTGTCCAAAGTTTTTTTACATTTTGTCCAAACTGTATGCTCACACACGTAGTGCTCACAAAGACTCATCCGCCAATACGCAGACAAGATGGCAATCTTTTTTATGTTATGTGTGTAAAGAGGAGTTCAGTACCAAGAGAGCACTGATCGAACATCACGCTTCACTACATAAGAAAGAGCGCTACCAGTGTAAATTCTGTCAACAGAAGTTCATCTATAAAAGCTTGCTCAGAACCCATGAGAGAACCCACTATTCTATTTCAGATAAGGTGGAATTAGCAAGACTTAAGCAAAGCAATAAAAAATCCTACTCCTGTGAAAATTGCAGGGTTTATTTCCCAAACAAAACAGACCTACAGCTCCACCAGCTGACTCATTTCTCAGACTTGAAATACTGCTGCCGCTATTGCAAAATGAGTTTCCTCAACGAAAACACGCTGATTCTGCACGAGAGAAGTCACACAGGGGAGCAACCGTACAAATGCGACTACTGCGGTCGGTGGTTCAGCCTTTTGGGAACTCTTTACGGCCACATTCGCACACAGCATCCACATGCGGAGCTCCCAGATAAATCGCAATTTGAGAACTTGAGCAAGCGACAAGCAGATCTGTCGTCCAAGCCTCCTGCCGAGACCTTCTCAGAGCCAACCAGCGAGGCCTTATCTCAGGCAACGTCCCCCTCAAAACTTGTTCAGACTGTTTCACAGCCAACAACCAAGCAGTCTTCACCAAGATCTGCCAAGCTTCCTTCTCCTACAAAACTCATTCAGGCTTATTCGCAGCCAACAACCAAGAAGACTTCTTCTAGATCTACCAAGCTTAGTTCTAAAAAACTCATGGAGCCTTTTTCGCAGCCAACAGCCAAAGCGTCCTCTTCGAGATCTTTCAAGCTTCCATCACCACCAACTCCAAAGTCCTCTTCCCAGACAACTCCAAAGCCTTCCCTTCAGCAAAACCTAAAGTCTCTTCCTAAATCGCTTTCAATTAATAGTCCAGGAACCAAGCTCTCTCCCCATAAGTCTACCAAATCTCTTTCAAAAGTTCCTTCACAACCAACTTCCAATCTATCTCTCCAATCTTCTGCCAAACCTATTTCCAAGCAAACTTTGGACAATGTTTCGGGGTCTCCTACGGGCGAGATGACAGATAAACTACATAAATGTGAATATTGTGATCGGGGTTTCAAAAAAACCAACCATCTCAAGGAACATCGGTACCTGCACATTGGAAAACCCCACGTGTGCATCGTTTGCGGGCAAACATTTACTCGACGTAACAGATTTGAGAGTCACATGTTGAGTCACACTGGAAACGACAAATTTGAGTGTGGCATATGCCGCTACAAATTCCCCACTATTAAAAAATTGGTGACGCACAGAAGTAAAAACCATAACGGCAAGGCACAGGATAATGAAGGCTACAAGTGCCAATACTGCGATATCATCTTTGCCTACAAACACAATCTCGAAAAGCATTTGAAAAGTCATGCTGATGAGGTTGTTGAACAAACGTTACCGTCTAAAACAGGATCAATTTCAAGCGATGGTGCACAGAAGGAGTTGACTTGCAAAGATTGTGGGACAGTGGTGAGATTGGGACGTACCACTTTGTCTAATGTGTTTTCTGTGACAGACTTCTCCAATGTGAAGTGTTTGTTGAATAATCACACAATGATCTGACAAGTCTACCTCTGAACCACTACAGTGCCCGCCTACCTTTTTATACTTTGATATTGTAGTGTTGTAAAATGTTTGTGATCAGTTTTTATTGTGAATGCTCTTGAAGCATACAACAATTAAATCAACAGTTAGTAAAAACGTGTTTGTATTTTTTTTTTTTTTTTCTAGTGCAAATTGGTTTAATGAATCTTCAGTCTGGTAAATAACTACTTTTGACTTTTGCATATTGCATAATTTAAGGACGACTACTCTATACTTTATATTTGTTACTGGCTGCAAAATAAAACCTATATTTCTAATGTAAGTAAAGTAAGTAATCGTTATCTATATAGTGCCTTTCACATACCAGAGTTACAAAGCAGAGCACCATATATGCTATTGTTTTGGGCATTTCTCCTCTCCACACAGATGGGAGCAGGGTTTTCATTTCATACACTAGGAGCCTGCCAGACCTATTGTACATGTTTTTAGTAGGAGGAGAAACCAGAGCACCCGGAGGAAACCTACGTAACCATGGGGAAAACATGCAAACTCCACACAGAAAGGCCTGGAGGTGGAATCAAACCCAGGATGTGCTTGACTGGTTCTCGGTCTTTCCTCTCTTCCTATCTTGGCAGCTCAGAAATGCCTTGATTTTAAAATGTTGAGTTTGGCCACAAGGGCGCGTCAAAACATAATTTTTACTGATTGACTGCTACGTGAAACAAAAAGTTCAGAAAACAATGGTCTCAAAGCGGTGCTATTTTATTATGGCTGTAAACACAACGCTATTGTGTAATCACACAGATTTGCAAACAAAATTAATTTATAATCTTTTTTGGTACAGATAATTTGATGAAAGATAAATTGTCACATATAGAGCAAACATGGCAGCACTCACCAATGGGAGCTGGTTTCACACAGCAGTCGTTATGACTGCTCCATAATGATGGCTCAGAGGACACTCAAACAAACTGAGCTTCTGTTTCCTTTATTTTGATTCTAATTGTTAAATAAAATTATATAATTTATTTTAAGCATCTAATAAGTGAGTTTGTATTTCCTAATATGACCACAGTGTGGCGTCACTGGACCAACAGAATCAAGTATGTTCCTATAATAAAGTGATGTTGATAGCTGACTATGCCTTTTCTGCGTTTTTATCTACTGCCATTTAATATGAGAAACTTTTAGGATTTATTTATCTGACCCACATTTACTCTACGGAAAACAACTTTTATTGTTAACATTTGAGTTAAACATGTTCTTTATGGAAATAAATACCAAATATATATATATTGTATAATATGTGTTTTGCTTGACTATACCATTGACAAAACGAACAGAACAAACAGGCTGGCAACCCTAAAGATGTGTTTAAACCTTTTAGTAAGAGGGCCACTTTATTATAGGGGCCAACAACCCGGATTTTAAAACAATTGATTCACAGTTGACAGAACTGACGTTTATCAGGATTGTGTCCTTAGGCAAGACACTTCACCCACATTGCCTAGGCACGGTGGCTGAGCAGATAGCACTCTTGCTTCTCAGCAAGAAGGTCTTGGGTTCAAATCCCGGTTGGAACAGGGCCTTTCTGAGTGGAGTTTGCATGTTCTCCCCATGTCTACGTAGGTTTCCTCCGGGTACTCCAGTATCAACAATCAACAACAATGGCGGTGGTCAACTAATGCAACATGCGTGTCGAGCGCTTCAGCATGTTTAGTTTATTTTTAGTTTATTTTTATTTAAGATGACAAGGACCGTGCACAATAAACATTAACCTCAAAAGGAGAGATGCGTTGTACCAGGTTATAGCTCAAGAGCTAATTTCCACCTGTAGTCCCTGGGCAGGCTGATGTTATATCACTTGTTGAGGAAGTGATTATACTGGCGTCCACTTCCCCTACTGGCTGGGTGCTAGAACTACATCGTTTTTCGTCGGCAGAGCATGGTCATTTCTGCAAATTGCTTTGCAGTGTCTCCGCAGCATCTCCATTGAAACAAGACCTGAGTGATTGGTTGGTGGTGGTTGTGGCCGTCCCACTGATGGCACATACGACCTCGTCTCACTCCTCTATGTATGGAGTGAAAGAATAATAACATGTGAAGCATCTTTGAGTGTCCAAAAAACCCCCATTATTTTATAATTATTATGATGTGAACGTGTTTGGAGGTGTACTGGGCACGTCCCAGCGTGGGGGAGACCCCAGGGAAGACACGCTGGAGGGACTATGTCTTTCAGCTGAGCTGAAGGAGGTGTGTGTGGACAGCAACGTCTGGGCGCCTCTGGTTAGACTGCTGCCCCCGCGACCCGGCAAGTGAAGAAGTGGAAGAAAATGGATGGATGGATACTATTTTTATCAGCTTCATGAGTGCCATATATGGGATTTTGTGACAAACAAAAACACAGGTCTGTCTATATCTACACACATGAAAGTCAATAACTGGATTCCAGAGCCTTTGAGCTTTACAAGGTATAAAATGTCTTCGTTAGTGAGGTGCAGTTGGCTGGATGACACTGAAGTTAGCAAGGCAGAGAGCCACAGGAAGCCTTAGTTTGGGCATGTCTGATTTAGTTTTTTCTTAAACACTGATTTTTGATATAATGTTCTCTTTTATTTAATCCAATTTGTTTTTTTCAAACTCTGGGGGTCTCAAACGTGAAACTCGTGGTGGGTCTGTCCCCGTCCGCCCCCTTGTTGTTTACGCCCATGCGCCTGACAGACAGCGCAGAGGGAGACACCGATCCGAACATCTCCGACTTTACCCCAAAAACAGCGCTGCCTGCCCAGTACTGTTCACTGCTATCCCGCCTCACGACCTGGACCAGCCTCTTCTGGAGGGATTTACGGGGCTCACCAAAACATCGGATCACATTGGAGAAAACATGACTAAATATGAAGCAAACAGCGCAGGAGAAAGTGTGCCTTGTTTGGATCTAAACGGGTCTTGTGCCACTACATAAAACTCACCGGGGCCTGTTAGCTCGCTAGCTCTCATCACTGTCTGCTGATCTTACAGGTGTTTGGGCAGAAAATAGCCAAACACAGCTTACAGGCGTGGTTGATTGGTGTCATCTCTACGCAAATGTCTTGACTTTACCTTCAAGTTAATGTGCCTGATTGCCATACGCGTTTAGCAAGAAACAGTAAAGCTAAAAACGTAGCAACATTATTATTAGCCATTTGCGCTCCTCCAGCTAGCTGCAAATTAGCTTGTTTACAGCAGGCTAGCCGCATTAGCCCGAGGAGCTAGCGCTGCAAGTTTATCGCTACATGTGCTCTTTAACCAATGTAGCAAGGATTTACTGGGGCTGACTCGATATACAAATATCCAGTGGGATTTAGGATAGCTTTATCAGCTGCTAAGTATCTGGATTTTCGGCGTGTTTGTCCTGGACTGACCCACCCACAGGACTCTTCACCACGGGGCCGATGCTGACAGTCCAGCCTGGAGCACGGCCGCTACAGCGATGCAGCCCCAGCAGATATATGACTTTTCCAGTGACGAGAACAGTCACAAATGGAGAGGCCTCTTCGTGCAAGCCTTACGAAAGGTAATGCAAGTTTTGTTTTTTTGAAATGCTGTACAAAGTGTTTTTTCCCCCATTCCATCCACATCCATGCACTCGTCACTGCCAGCAGAGGCGTCTAGCTGGCAGTACTGACAGGCTAAGCATTAAATGTAAAACAAACGTACAGTTTTATCCTGAAATCCCGTGATTTTCATCATAAATCATACCTCTGTTTCTCCTCCATTATCTAACACAACCTGGACGTGAATGTCATTACACGTACACACACGTTGCATATTCTATAGACGTAAACATATCAAACCCAATAAGGACTTGTGCAAATGTGCAACTCTTTATATTTTACACGCGACTTAGAAGATTTACATTTCCTAGTTGAGACATTTCAGAAATTGCCCTTCCTAGACTTAGTCTTAAACGCAAGTTCTGTACATTTTAATAACTTTGAATTCTACATCTTTTACTAGTAAATTGGCTCAGTTCTTAGACACTTACTTGAAAACATCATATATTATACATCTGTTTTGAATCCCAAACAAATTACCTTTCCTTATTTTTGAAGTTTCTTATTCTATCAAAGACGATGCCGCAATAGTGCAATAGTTTCTTCTAAAATGGAACAATGTCTTTGTTCATGGTGACTGTTCTAGTTCAAGGAGTAGCAATCGTTTGTTTCTGTATTATTGTTGATGGTCATAGTAATTTCCATTTGGTTACTACTTGGTGTTTACAGTTTTTGTTGTGAGAGCTGCCAGGCTGTTTTGTTCCCTGATTTTACCACCATTCTCCTGCTTCCATCGTGCAGTCTCTTGTTGACCTACAGTACTTTCTGGACTATGAGCTGCTACTTTTTTCAAAGTCTTCAAACACTGCAGCTTATATAGTGTATAGAATGTAATGTTTTGTTGTTGATTTGCAGAGCTGGTGTTGTAGCATTCCTGCATCAGTGTGTTTATGTGAACAGCAGAGTCATGAGGAAAAGGAGGGAAATACACAGGACTTGTTTATGTGCTTATTATCAAGAGCTGGGGTAGTACATATTATTTTTACTCCAAGTTTTAGTAGGAACGTTATTGTCAAAAGACTGTATTTGTGTTTTAACGATATTTGCTTTGATCACAGTGAGTTAAGACACCTTGTAATATAATCATGTTGTGTCCAGTTAAATCTGTTTTATTATCTGCTTTGTTTTTCTTCATCTGTTAAGTCGGTGTTATATTACAATATGAAAACCTGCAGCTTATATTCAAGTGCGGCCTATCACTTTCTTTTTAAATGTAGCTGGTGCGGTTTGTATACAGGTGCACTTGATAGTCCAGCAAGTACTGTAATCATATTATAGTATACATAGTCATCTCTCTTGCATACCCAAAGAGGTATTGATCAGCCCATACTCAAGTTTAGTTTCTGTTAAATGCATGTAATTTAATGTAATTTGCTCCTTTATGGTGTAATATACAATGAATACAATACACAAAATAAAAGGGTAAAATTATACTCAGTCCTATGCCTAAATTTATTCTCAAAGAGAGCGAGCACATCTTGGCCATCAAAGTGTGCTGTGCACGGGGATCTGCAAGTCATATGAACTAATGAAGGTCTGCAGAATGTGTTATTAAAGGCGCTATACCCGTTTCTGCAAGGTTTGACTGTTTAGCACCGCCCCCCAACTCGCTCAATGGCTTCTCATTTCCCCTGCGCTCTCATAACACAGAGCCATCTAGCTCAATTTGCGATCTGATATGTATGCTAACATTACAATCACTGATGAAATAGTACTAAAGCAACGCACTGCTAACACAATATATAGGTAAAAGAATACCGCTAGTTTTGCATCCGAATGTATTCATTTAACATTAGAATATATTAGAATATTTAATTATAATTTATAATACAGCTCCTCACAGCAGCAGTAGAACACTCCATTGACTTGAATGTAATTCTACCGATCATTTTTTCTTGATAACAGAACTCTCAAATCAATAAATGACCGCTGCCCTTTGGCAACGCAATCTGTTTGTAATTCAGGTGTGTAAAATACTAACATTTCTCTGCAAGTACAACAAGCCTTGAGCTTGTTGAAATGCTGTACAAACACTTTGTACAGCATTTCAAAAAAACAAAACTTGCATTACCTTTCGTAAGGCTTGCACGAAGAGGCCTCTCCATTTGTGACTGTTCTCGTCACTGGAAAAGTCATATATCTGCTGGGGCTGCATCGCTGTAGCGGCCGTGCTCCAGGCTGTGCAGCTTCTCTGCATACAGTTGTCTGTGCAGAGTAGCTAGCGGAGCTAGCCGAGTTAGCCATGCTCAATAAACGAATACATATCAATCAATCCACGCCATTAAACGTTAATCGGACAGTACAGTATACATATACATCCTTAACACACATGCACGGACGTCTTCAGAATTTGGTGTTAACGTTTTCATGACAAAATTACAATTTTTATGTGACAAAAAACGATTGCGAAAAACCCGGAAGTAACCATTAACATGAAACGAACATTTTAGGACACATTTGAGGAGGATCTGATGGATTTAGGTTTGGTATATAAATTCGTAACTCACCGCTGATTCTTCAGAATTCTTTGTTCAGTTTTCATGTCGTTCTAGAGTTTATAAAACTAGCTAGCTTAGTTAAAAAACTAAGCTAGCTAGCACGTCACGGTGAAACTTTTGGGAGCTAACTATTTTATTTGCAGTCATTAAATACATTTCGAATTATAAGGGCTGTCTAATATTTGTTCGAATATATATATATATATATATATAATTTTTCATTTTAGAATTATATTCGAATTTCGAGGCCGAAGCCCTAATGTTTAGCAGCGCTGTAGAGGCTAGATCAGGGGTCACCAACGCGGTGCCCGCGGGCACCAGGTCGCCCGCAAGGACCAGATGAGTCGCCCGCTGGCCTGTTCTAAAAATAGCTCAAATGGCAGCACTTACCAGTGCTATTCTTGTTTAAATCATACTTACATGCAACTTACAAATGGCATATAAACTAGAGCCGGGACTTTAACAAGTTAATAAAGATTAATTAATTACACACAAAAAAGCGCGTTAAAAAAATTACGCATTTTAATTGTATGTATTTTTGCACCGCGGAACGTTCCTCACTGAATAAGTTTCAGACGGACCAATTGAACTGACGCACCAACCGGAGCTCCGTGACTTTTCTTGTTCAAAAGTACATTATTACAAGCAGAGACCAACTTTAAATTCGAGTAAATTAGACGGGAATGAGCGCTGTGTATGGAGCGATGGACTCTGTGTGTGAGGAGGAGGAGCAGTGACTCCTGTGTGAGCGGAGGAGGAGGAGAAGGAGAAGGAGGAGCGAGACACAGGTGTGTGAGCTGCTAATGCTGATGTTTACTCCGAATGCACACATCAAAAACGTATTATAAAAGCTTTAGCAAACAGCGCATGCCCAGCTTTAGTGCTCACAGCGTGTGCAGTGGATTTTGGGCTTAAAAAGAGTATGTTGTCGTCAGTGTGAGGAGGAGGAGCATATTGTCGTCAGAGTGTGGAGGCAATGACAGAAACGTTATTTGATGTTTAGAAGTTATCCCTTAAACTCCATATTAACATGTGTTGCTTAAGCCTCATGTATTCAGTCATTATTCAATGGTAAACTAAAAATCCATGTGAAAAAAATTACTTCTCACTGTTCTCAGGTCAAATATTTATATGCGATTAAAATGTGATTAATTGCGATTAAATGGGACTGTCTTAGAAGTGATCATTTGTTAAATTTGAAAAATGTGCACTTAGAGAAAATATAAAAGTTTTTCCACAAAATAAATATCATTAATTATTAGTAAAAACATAGAATTAAAGGTAAATTGAGCAAATTGGCCATATCTGGCAATTTATTTAAGTGTGTAACAAACTGGTAGCCCTTCGCATTAATCAGTACCCAAGAAGTAGCTCTTGGTTTCAAAAAGGTTGGTGACCCCTGGGCTAGAGGACGCAGGCTGTTCGCTGCTTGTTCTGTGAGTGGAGGAGAATGAGAATAAGACTCTACTCAGTACTTTTCACATGACGTTGAAAACGATGTAGTTCTAGCGCCCGGCCAGTAGTGGGCAGAGAAACTTTACAACACGACACACGACCCCCAGCCCCCCTCCCGGCAGTATATTCACTTCCTGTACCAGACCCTCAGAAAGTACCAACATCATTCTGCATTTTAACAGCAGCTGTGAACATGGGAACTGAACCTAGAGCTTCGCGTGGTCTCGTTTGGACGAACGAAGGAGTAGAATTATCCTCTGTCCCGCGCTGGAAGCCCACGAAGCTAGTTAGTGTGCGCGGCGCCATTGTTGTTTTGGTTGATTCTCTGCTACTGCGCATGTCCAAATTTACGTGCGGGGAGCAGCGCGGAGGTGGGGGTCAGAGCAGAGGGGGATTTCACACCTTTTTCCCTCTCGCGGGTGTGAAAGAGCTCCCCGCTGTGCAGCGTTTCTGAGTTGTCCCACTCTGCAGGCTGGATCTGAACACTTACGTTTTGACCCCCCTGGAACACAGTCTTCGTATGAACGGTTGGTAGCAACCGACATCCAACTATACCGTTTTACTGCCACATTGTCTCCGTGTAAACTCAGCCTAATGCCAACATGGCTCACTTCTCTAATTGGCAGGTGCCCAAATCTTTTCAATCTATGAATCTTATCTGTGCGATGCATCTGTAGCAGCTTCTTGAGTAGCTGCTTTGCTAATTTACACACACCCAAAGAACAGAAACCTTCTGTTCCTCTTCTGTAAAATCGAATGACTTTATAGTTGCAAGTGACAGGGAGCCTTCCTTTTCTTGATGACACATTGAGTCATTTGTTAAGAGCCGTTACTTCTGTCAAAATCTTCCAAGAAACTCTCTGTCTCTGCAGTTTACCAGAACCATTACTGCTGCTTGCCCAGACGTGTTGCAGTAGTGACAGATTTTGACAAATGAACCTAATATTAGCAGTGAGAAAGCAAGCGTGGTCTTTCCCACCACAGGCCAAAATGCCTCACTCAGCTTTTTCCAACACATTTTTCAGATCAAATCTTTTCTCCACTTCTTATATTTAACTGTTTTGTGTTGGTGTAGAGAAGGATCTCCATATGTCTGTTAGTAAGGGTGTCACGGTATCACAGTTATTGTGACCAAAATAGTCACGGTTTTTGGTATTATGGCGGTATTTCTTTTTAAGTTAAGTGAATATGTTCAGAAAGCATTGATAG